ATTGCTATGGGGTTACGAGATGACGATGCGAAATGTACAGAACCAATCGGTTACCGATCCCCTAAGTCCACAAGCGAGGTACACGATTGACCGAACAATCTGTAAGATTTGCCTGAGTCTCTTCTGCTATTATTAGCGGGAAGGAAAATGAGAGTCGTAACTCCGATCAGCCTTGGAGCACGCGGTCCTGTCCGGTTTTCATTCCCGTAAAACCCCGGCAAGCAGCTTTGCTCCGTCCCCCGTCATTCTACCAAATCTCGGAATAAAAGTTCCCGCGGCGATATCGGCCTCGCGCGCGGACGAATCAGTGCAACGCAGGACGCATGCGCGCGTGCGGGTTATCAAAGTGACCGTGAAAAATTAAAATAGGCGAACACAATGTTATCTTGCGCTGAAATCATTTTCTGAGTTGTCGCACGGGGCAGAATTTGTCATTATGATTTCAGATCGTTCAAAATGGTTGTGATTCTAATTTAAAGCACATTTTCAGTGGGCCTATGTAGGTTGGGGTTATTCTGTCGATTTTAATTCCGAGTGTAATTGAAAACAAAATCAGATGTTTAGATAGAGAATTACGTATACGACTTTTTACCATTAACATTTTCTTCACTATCCGTTATGTGTGGTGGAAAGTTGATGCGGACGCACCGTCGACCAATCTTCAGGTGGATTCAATATGAGTGGAACCGTTATGCAGCTGCTTATAATTGAAACAAAAAAAAAAACTTTTTCGGGCAATCTTTTGTGTGTACAACAATTATATGGAGGCGTCTGCGTGTAGTCAAGGGTAAAAGGTGGTAATTGATGGTTTTGGGTGTTTTTTTTTAAATAATTTTCACAATAACAAAATTAGGGTAGGGGCTGTCGGAATAGGGTAGGTAGGGAAACCGGAGGCAGAACTAGTTAGCCTAAGGTTAGGAGTTTAAAACATTTCACTGAAACATTAATTAGATATCATGTTTGTCTGTCAGGGTTGTTCATTTTAATTGGCCCAAACAAATGAAAGGAATTATGGCACTTTGTAGCAGAAATGGCAGAATGTCTGTACTAGAGTGACCTCTTTTGTTTTACGATACGTAATTAGCATGATCACGTTGAAGGACGAACTAGCTGCTGATTGAATCAAGTACCACCGGAAATGCGAGACCGCTCCACAAAGGCCAGAGATTATAGAAAGCTCAGACAGAAATCGAGATTTTTTCATTAGTCGGGATATGGGTACGGACACTATGTAGATCAGTCTCCGGTAAAATTAATGCAAATTGGAGAATGGACCATGACGGATCTGGATTAGCAATTCAAATAAATGTTTTATACGATCTATATAAAATAAGCGGGTTCGAGGTCGTACCACAATGATAGCAGTCAGAAAACAACTAAGGAACATATCCAAATTATTAATTTGACATTTTATATGTTCTGCTGCACGGTCCGCGTCCGGGGGGGGGGGGGGGCTTGAGTCTTCCTTGCACATCTGACCGCCTCACTGACTCACTCACTGACGGGGTCCACCCGATGTTCCCCAGTCCCTATATGTTCCCCAGTCCCTATATGTTTCCCAGTCCCTATAATTATGTTCCCCAGTCCCTATATGTTCCCCAGTCCCTATATGTTCCCCAGTCCCTATATGTTCCCCAGTCCCTATGTTCCCCAGTCCATATTATGTTCCCCAGTCCCTATATGTTACCCAGGCCCTATGTTGGGGTAGGGTTGTATAGGGTTAGGGGAACATAGGGAAACCGAGGAACATATGGATTGGGGAACATCATGACCGGGGAACATAGGTACGCACCACTCACTGACTGTCACAATGTGCATTCGACTTGCTTAAGTCTCACTTGGGCCCCAAAAATTTAAATAGGATTACCACGTAACGCCATGCGTGAAATGTACTTCCAGTGAATAGCCCTTCTGAATCGATTGAATAGAATGTTGTGCACTCTGGGACCAGCTCTACTATAGGCTCCCCTGTCTTGCCTTCCTACGTTTGCTCTACAAGTTCCATACCCCAAGAGGGCCAAGTTACATCCCTATGAAAACATCAAGAACGCAACAATATACAGAATAAATAGAAATGACAATATTATAGAATCATCCAATGCAACAGACAGGTGTCCTCTTCCATAGCTTACAATGTGTTCAAACTGAAACTTCTACTCTAGATGTGGTTATAAACCCAACCCAAACCTTACAGACAACCAAGCAAGCCCGTATCACAAATCGGTCGAGATCTTCATTACAAATATTACTTCGAACCACCGTGAAAAAAATACCAAATGTACATCTTACAACCGTCCGGACAGAACGGGCATAATGTATGACCAAAAAATAATAGAAATCCATCACAGAAATGCGGATGGCAGTTGACAATTTTGACAAATGAAGAATCACATTTAACAATGATGAAAGGTCACGCCGTAAGGGGGAAAGAATGAATAATAGAACTCTGCTAATTGACAAAAATTGCATTAAAATGGCTGGATGGCACTCGGGCGGTACTTGACAGTAGAAAGGGTTACGTATACGGTTCTCGCCTTTATGCTCTGGCGGTCGTGTTAAGTGGCAATTAGGTAGAGGTCATTGTGTTTGTTTTAGAACCGCCGTTTCATAAATAAAAATTTAAGGCGACAGTGATTAATATTTACTGACAAATATGAGCCAAGCACCGAAAATCAAAATCAAACACCAAGCGAGATTGAGGCTGGTGTACACTATTGACCTGGGTAGGCATTCAGTGTGTGTGTGTGCCTTTACAAAAATTGTAATTAGGCTATTATGATAAAAACACCTTGAACTCTTAGTGTTTTCATATTTGGAATGTTAAAGGCATGCCTATCACGGCCTTGTACGCCATGTTGGAGCAAAAGAGAGGGCTAAGCGTGCACAATCAGTAAGGTCACGCACTGTTAAAGCATTTTGAATTAACAGGTCTTTAACTGAAACAACTTTTAAAAAAAATGTCTTTGCCATTTGATGGCTTTTTCATCCACTTTTGCGTTGTCAATTGTTGTTGGTCCTATATTTAAATGGAACACATTATATACTAAACTGAGCATTTTGGAAGGCAATTTCACACTTACATGTGTGTTTTGAGTAAGAAGTTAACACGGGATGGGAGCACATTTCAACTGTCACACCTTCCATTTTTTAATAATCAGACATCTGTACTTCTGTATATATGTTAAAGAGTCGATACACTTGAGTCAATATAGGCCAAGTCACAGTCATTGTAAAGGCCTGAGAGGTAATAGCTTCAATCTTAAGTTCGTTACAATTCACCCACACCACTTTTAATACCAGGTTTAATCTCAAGCATGCAAAATGTTGAAATGGAATTAAGATGGTTAAATGATGGACTTACCAATAATGGCGATGCGGTGATGGCCATAAAACAACATTTCCTTTCCTGACTGAACACTGCCTAGTGGTAATGCCTATGGCAGTTTAGTAATTAACTAACCTCCTGACAAAATTGTTCATGGCTTCGTTATTTCACTCAAGTGGTTGTTAGAGACCCCAAGTGCCTGCCAGGTTGATAAAGCGCTGGGAACAATGACATTTTGACAGACAGCGCCGGCGCACCTTGGCCTCCAACTTTGCTAACCCCGCAGAATGCACTCCAATAATAGACACACTGCCAAGTTTATAGTGGGTCAAATCACGGGGGAAAAGACAAGGGGCAACCAAAAATATGTGTCTCTTTATTATGCAAATTCAATGGCGGCCTATGCCTGTTTACCAGATGTGGATGTCAACAAAAGGCGAGATAACATTCGATATTTCTCGACATTGGCCGGATTAAGCCCATAGATGTTTATGATTGGAAAACATTATAATGTCGATTTTGTTCACTGAAGCTAAGTGTTAATTTATCAGCTGGAATTTTTTTTTTTGACCGTCAAAAAAGGAAGATACTAGGCCCAAAAAAAGTCTCCGGTTTCTGGTATGAAGCTTGCCCAAAAAGTGGTGCGGCGACGCGGCTTTTTTTTTTTTTTTTACCTGTTTTTTTTTTGGGCTTCAAATGTCGGCTGATGACTGCAAATGATGCCCGACTAAATTTAGTGCAAAATATATGGGAGTCCAGAGAGGCCACATAAAGCTTATTCTCGACCATAACCCCATCTAAAAAGACGTTAAAATTGTGCAGCAGCAGGATTCCAGTCAAACCAGTGAGTTTGGCGGTTTTGAGACATCATCTTTCATTAAAAAAAAACTTTTTTTCATTTTGCCGACGCGCATGGCTACGGCGACGCGCGCGCATACCAGAAACCGGAGACTTTTTTTTTGGCCTTATATCGACAGCCAATCTGTAACAGCACCACAAAGCATAAAAGCCATTCTGGAAAATTAAACGAATATCGATTTTTGTGTGTTCGTCATGCAAGTGGGAAGAGAATGTGTTCATTATTTCCATCGTTTTATATGGGGTGCTCTATTTCTTCCATTTCAACACAAACAATTGGTGGCGCTGTTCTTTAGTTACCGGTCTCGAATTTCAAGTTCGTTCTTCTGGCATTTTCAAATAATTATTCAGAATATTCTACATTTACCTGCTAGCTTTTTCTTGTATGTAGACTTGTTAAGCTTAAGACCAAATCTACATAACCACACATCACGTAATTTCAAGCAAACTCCCCTAAATTTCGAAACTACCCGGCGTTCAGCACGGACCGTCTATAATTTTGCATCATACAAAAGTAGTCATCATCAGGAGGACACGCACGAGAAAGTTTGACACGTTGAAAGTGTTTCCATCAGTCCTAGGCCTACCTTCTTTTGTTGGACTCAAACAAATACGAATGCTCTCCCAAATCTGTGTCGGTTCTTGAATGTAGTCAACCATGGTGTACATTACATGTCCCACTGGCGGCATAGGCAGAAAGTTGTTTGTTAATAACAATTCATTTTGGGCGGCACTTCCTGATCCTAAAGTTGCAGACGTTCACACCAGTCACGTGGAACTAGAACTTGGAAGTATAGTGCGCACGCGCGAATGAACAGCGTAACATGTAGTCGATGAGGGCGCTCTATAGATACACAAAACAGATCGATGAGTGACAGACGCCGGAGCGAGAAAACGACACCAAATCATCGATTTGCCCAGGAATTTGCAAGGTAGACAATCGTTGTGTATATAAAGGTTGTAAGACTCAAGTTGTCACGGTTGTGTCACTGAAATGTAAACTGTAATTTGTTAAATCTATGATTCAAATTCGGGGGTGAATTAGTCAATTACCAATACATTCGTGGGTGAATTACCTTTACCAGTTATGTTATGGCTGATTGGTACTGTATTTTGTTAAATGTTAGTTGTTACATGGGCGTGAATGTGTCAACCAATAAAATATTTAGTTCCATGTAGATTATTCTGTGTTATTTATGTGTGTAGAAAATATTTCAAAATTTCACGAATTCCCATAGGCCTACTAAAAAGTACTAGACTTTGTACGCAAACACAATGACATCAGGATAACATTCTTTCCCTTGCAATTTTTCTAACTTTTTGTCTTTGGAAAATAAAATTAAAAAACTGAAAAGCAATGAAAGTGTAATTGTAAACACAGAAGACAACTTTTAGTTTATAGGCCTACATGTGCAGAGAAGGTAACTCACGAAAATTGGAGGGGATTTTTTAATTAACGAACTTGAATTTAATTAGCCTTTTTTTTCTTCTACGCTGGGGTCTCAGCGTTGGATGCACATATGGCAGGCAGACCACTTCACGGCAGTCCGCAGCTCGGTGGCCACAGTTACGTTTCACTGGCTGAGACAAACCGTTCTCGTCGGCCGGCATCGCTGTCTGGTGGCAGTGGGCCGGCGTCCCATTATCAGATAGGCAATCCCCTTCTGCATCATCAACACCAGAGAGCTCAACCAGGTACTGGATATTACCTCTGCCAATATGTTTTCATCGGCATTGGTTTGTTTGTTTGTTGGTTGGTTTGTCTGTTAACAAGATAACTCCAAAAGTTGTGGACGGATTTTCATGAAAATTTTTATTGGGGTGGTCTTTGATACAATACCAGTACTTGTTAATCCGATTTTGGAAGTGATCTAGATCTAGATCTGGGTCCACGCCCAAGACACAGTGGACCTCTAACATCCCACTGCCCCTACGGCCAGTAATGGCTACAGGACCTTTACCTTTACCAAAGTCGAAGTGTAAAAAAAAAATGGGTACAAGTTTTCCCACAGAGCTGGGGGACGGGGATGTAGAGGTTTCAGGGAGCAACAACTATGCTTTGGGAGTTCACGTTAACTTGTTAAATCTTGCAGCGTATTCTCACTCATCAGGTCACGTAATCACTGCACTGCTATTATACAAATCTGTACCTTCTGTATCGCCAGCAAGCAGACACAGTCTGAGCGGTCCCTCGGTGCCTGCCGCACAAGTCCCCGTCACCTCGTCTCATTCTAAGCACCAGCCATCGCAGCGGGAGCATCGGTCCAGCCTGGCAGGCATAGGTCACAGCTCGACGGTGACCACGTCGCAGCAGCAGTCACAGCATCATGTACAGCAGCAGCAGCACCAGCAGCCCGGGGTGTGGGCCATGCCACAGATGAGGCACATCGGCGGGCCGGCCAGCCAGAGCACGCCCACGGAGCAGACCAAGAAGTCTAAGGTAAGGGCTGTGTCTGAATCTGGTATTTTATTGGCTACGTCTTCACTTTTGCCATTGACAGACCATGGTGATGAGCCGTAGCTTTAGATCATGATATTCTGATCCAGCATGACTTAGGGCTGTATTTTGATAGGATTGGGTAACCAGGTGCTAGAGTCTTACAGAATTAATAGTCTGAATTCAGAAACGTTTATCCATAGGATAACAGTCAGCATTTGAAAGTGAGGTGTCCAGATTTGCGTTATGTTGAAAATCAGGGCAGATGAGTTGCTTCAGTTTTATGCTTTTAAAGAACATTGAGGTAACAAGAGGGAGGGTCAAAAATAGCCTAAAGACACCCAGACTCATACTCCCCTTTAGCTAACACCCTGTTACTCCATGTCTACCAGAAATTATACCACATCATATTTTCTAGGAGTCAGTGCGAAAAACTTGCCACCAATGTAATTCACTGCTTACTCAGTGCTGTCTGAGAGCTTGAAAGAAAGAAGTTCACATCTACACTAACAAGCTGGAGGTTATGGGTTCGAATCCCACTTCAACCAGCTTATGATTTTTTTTCTCGTGGGATTTCGAGTCTTGAACTGTAATATAATTAAGTCTTGTAATATAATTAAATCTTATAATATACATGTGTAATTAAGTCAGTGACAGTGGTTTTATGTTCATTTTATTCAAATTTTGTTAATTGTGAACAGGGCAGGAGGAGAAACCGAGGCAACACCACAGACACGGACAGACCCTGTCAGGAACACAGCTTCATCACTGACGTCAATGACATACAGACCATGCAGGACGGACTGCTGAAACTCATGAGAGACTTCGAGACCGGCAAACTCAGTGCTTTTGGTAAAATGAAAAGAAAAAATTCCACAGCTTTTTCACTAATTTAACGAACCGGTACAAAAGTGGGATATCTGAGCTCGTAAACCATCAAAATACTTCAAATCCTATGTTTTAAGTTTAATGACTGCACTAGTCACCCACATATTAGGTTCATTTATACAAAAACTTCCCCGATAATAAAAACAGGACTAGGTTTGCCTTGTCAAGCTCGACTAGAAAGTCTCAGTTCAGTGGGTCACTGGCTCAGTCAGTCGGAGGACACTAATCAAAAAACAAATACAAAAAAATCATTCCGCATTAGAATCTGACTTATTGGAGTCCTTTCTTCTTTGACAATGAGGTAGTGAAATGTTGTTTTTCATATGGGATTTTTGTTTATTCCAACAGATGAACACTGCTCTTTTGAGAAGATGAACAACGTCCGAGACCTTCAGGAGAAACTGGGACGAATGCACTTTAAGATGGAGGCAGACATCCAGAATGCTGGGTAGGTGCTTTGTAATAGGACCCATTCACCATACAGTGGGAGTCAGGTTGGCGTAGCGGTACTTTCCTCGCCTTCCACTGCTGTGACCCGGGTTCGAATCCCGCCTGGGCCATTATGTGGATTGGGTTTTCAGTCCCTACCTGATTCCGTGGGTTTTCCCCAGAACTGTCTTCTGGGCCTTTCCTCCTACCTCTACAACTGTAATTTCTTCCCATTGTCTTTTCTCTTTTGTTGGGAAGCTTTACCGACTATAATATACAGATACAGTGCACCACGTATTTGCTTCGGATCATAAAAATAACAACCATCATTACAGAAGAAAAATTCCCAATTTGTTGGGGATGTCAAAAACAGATAAAAACTGCTGAATATCATTAAGCAATGTTTAAAAATGGTGTGTAACTTTTCCCGTGATGCACTTCAGCCAAAGACGATTCATGCCCCTAAGGCTGTGCTTTTGTATTTTGAATGGTACAATATTTTTATTTCTAATTTAGAAAAGATTAACCCCAAAGATTGTGCGTTTTCTAGTAATCTTTTTGATTCAATCACTGTGAGTGTCATTAGCATAACATCCTTTATTCTAATATTCTTACTTCTCAGAGCAAATACAAAAGAAGGAATCGACATCGCCACACAGAATATGGACCATCTCCTTTCCAATGTGAGTCTAATTTATTTACTTTTTTGGGAAGGAATTTGAACTATATTTACTCCAAGTGGATTTTCCAATCAGAAATGTTTGTACATGTTCATTACAAACTATTCGAACCAGATTTGAGCGAGATCTAGTATTGAAGCCCTGAAAAGCCCTGATTTTAGATTTAGATCGAGATTTTTTTAATGGTGTCATGTCAAGCCTTAAAATTAATGGAAAATGGAGTAACTGGGAATAATCCCATTTGATCCACATCTGACGTGCCCCATCCACTGTTGCATAATGTAAAACAACCATCACTGTACAGAATTATGCATTTTAATTTGGAAAAAGCAATCTTCCCAAATCCATGGAAATGAACTTTTTAAGTTCTGAGAGAAAAACAAAATACAGTTCACGACTCATGCGTGTCCTTTGAATTTAAAATCCGGAAATTCGTTTTCTTTGCTTTTTTCAAATTAGTTACGTGCAAATGTCATTCTCGGCAATGTGCATCTGCTCGGACAGTCTTTTATGAGATTTAAAAGCATTACTGAATACATATCATTCACTAAAGAACTAGGATTTAGGATAAAGCAAGGACTGAGGGATTTATCCCTCTGAATTTTATAGTACAAAAGGCTTCCTGTCTTCGTAAATTATAAATCAAAGAAAGAAAAGAGGCTTACGTTGGAGGCTTTTCTTCACGATCAAGCTTTGAATAGGCTTACAGCTTTAAATCCAGGTGTCCTGTAACCCGGCCAAAAAGGTCCACACACAGAGGAGTTGCCCTTTAAAAAATTTATTACTAGAAAAATAGGATTGGGAACATGTAAAAGATGCTTTTTTGGTCAGATTTTGCGGCATATTGCCCAAACTATTAATAGGAAGTCTTGGTGATTCGCAGGTCTTGTTGTAGTAAAAACGTCATTTTTTGCCATATAATATATTTTATAAAACAGTATCATTTGATTTGTGAGTGTCCAAATCATTGAATTGAAGTGAATACCTGATAAATTTGTAGATATGGTATCAATGAAAGAATGTTGTTACAATAAAAGTTAATTAAAAGAAAATTAACAACATTCTGTAATTCTGTGTCAATTGGACTTTCAAAATACACATCAAGTAACCCTGGGAGAATTTATTCAAAGGAATGATGAATATAAGCAAACTTTGTTCGTGAGGTGCTCTGGTAAAATGAGACAGAACTGGGCAAAGGTTGAAATGAGGGTTTTGAGGGTATTAGGAAAGAGAATAAAATTGTCTTTACAACACTGTTTGTTGCACTTTAATCAGACATGTTGACAAGTTATGGCTGTTTAAATTTTGCATTTATCGACATGTCAAAAATGTAAAAGAAAAAGGCCTGTAAACCTTCAAGTTTTGTAGTCTTGAAAATAAAAGGTACCAATTGCTTTTTCTGAAAAACACTTTTATTCCACAATTTTTGTACTATTTCTTTAAAATATAAGATTACAAACATCGATAACTCTGAAAATCTGAACAATTCACCCCATTCGTTTTTTTCATTTTTCTCCACTTGACGGACTGTGCCCAGTTCCGTCTCATTTTGCCAAAAGGCCTCTCAACTTGCTCTTTCTTTCTTTCTTTCTCACAGTTGGATCAGCTGAGTATGGCGGTGTATCCTTTGAGCTTCAACATTCAGTACTTATGGCATTGTTGTAAATAAGGCAAAAAAAAAAAATAAGTCGGTCTCTGGTCAGCGCGCGCGTCGATTTTAATCACGCGCGTCGATCTTTTTTTTTTTCCAAAATGTTCCGCGGTAGCTCCAACAGCGCCCTCTATTTCTGCACCTCCTCAATTTTTTTTTACCAAAGAGCACCAAGGAATAGGAAATTGCACCAAGGCAAATGATCGAAAGTACCAAGGCAAATTATGGAGGACACCAATGTACATGAGGACACCAAAAAAGCAAAATAATATCCACCTTGTCTGTACAATCCAAGCTTGAAGAAAAAAAAAAAAAAAGCCGTGTGGCTGCGTCAATTCCGGAACTTTGGTCTGACCAGAGACCGACTATTTTTTTTTTTTGGCCTAACATAAATTGTGCCATTGTCACACAGGATTTTTTAATCAAATCATATCTGTGTTATTTTGTGTTGCGGTTGTAGACTTGCTGTTCCTTTTCCTTGACCATATTCTTCTTCAAACTAGCCAAAGTTTGCATCCCCCTGGTGATTCATCGGCCTTTCATCCAGAGCCACCGGTATGACATCAATTTGAAGACGGTAACAGGTATCTATCCCCCACTGAATAGGTCACAGTCTTGTCCTGGATCTTGTGGCCCATTTAGATGCATTAATGTATAATGTTATTGTACTGTTACATACATGTATGTACACTTGTACGTGTTCTACATAACCCCCAAGGACCGACACAGAAAGGGAGAACAACAGATCCTTTCAGTCCTCAGGCGTTGGGTCTTTTGTTCAAAACGGTCCTCTGTAGTAGGTTTGTGTGCTTAGTCTATGGGAGAGTGTTATATTACAGGGACAAAGGGAAACAAAGCATTGTCCTCGGGAGTATAGTAAAACAAGAGAACGTGCATTGAAAGGTAACATTGCACTTCATATGATATAGTTACCCTTGTTTGATGCTCAAATAGTCATTTCTGGATTCATTTTTAACTCACCAGGAACATATTCAGGTGTCAGGGACATTACAAATCAGATTTATTTGTAATTCAAAGGTAATATACAACATTTGCTTTTGCTGTAATTTTCAGAAATTGATGGATTTGGGGGTTAGTATTTATAGCAAATTATTGTAACACTGACCTATTTAAAGTTTTTGTTCGTGGATGCTGGAAAAAAAACCAAGACAAAAATGCTGTTCTTGTAGTCTATTTCCCTGCCCTACTTCAGACGAAACGGAGCAATTGATAGACATTGGGGAATTGTCTGGTTAGGGAACCAGACTAGGTGGCTTTCACCCGTTCACGGATGTGTAACCAATTGCAAACAAAATGTGGACTAACTTAATTTGGTAAATTGGGGGCAGTGTTTGAAAAAAAAGTCAGTTTTTTCCATCGATGGTCGGCTGACCATCGTGGGAATTGATACAAAAATTCCACATTTCTTGAAAATGACGGCACACCAGGTGCCATGATTTCACAGGATGCTTGAGACTATTATTCACTTACAGTCAAGTAAGGTGTTCCGTAATCATTAGGTACATGTTGTTTTTGGTTTTTGATGTTTGTAAATGTTGTGTATTACCTTTAAGAGTTCAGTGAATAAACTGAAAAATGTATTTGTCAAATCTTATACATCAAGGCATAAGGAGATTACAGACTAGGAGTTTTGGATCATTTCCCTAAATCTTTAATTAGGTATCATGGTTAATTGGCTCTGTCATGGACATTACATTTTCTTCCAAAACTCTGGAATTGCCCTTGTATTTAGAAATCTCGATCTGAGGTCAAGAGTGATTGCATTGTCAATTTCTTTTCAACTGTCTGCCGCATTATTTCTGAAGATCAAATTTTTAGTGGGTCTCACATGTTCGTTAAGGTGCAATATTTAAAACAACCATGAATATTAATCAATAATCAGTTACATGTACATGCATATTTTTTTCTCATACATGTATATTAAATACTAAATGTTTGTTAATTCTCTATATCATGTATTATATCTTTTTTTTAAACAGTGAGTTTTTATACTTACTGAATTATACACAAGCTTCAGCTCCCAAATAATTCCAGATCTGATTTTGTATTATTGGAATTTAGGTAAAATACTTAGAGTTCCATGAATGTGCAACATTTACCACTTTTAATAAGTTTATATCTTTGACATGTAACAAACAAGACAATAAAAAAATTGAGACATCAAAATATATGTACATTTTTTTATTTTCCACAATTCACAATTTATTTCTACTGCATTCTGTGTACACAATTTTTTTTTGGATTTCCCAATAAGGAAAATTCAGTTGTACATTACTTCACATGAAACTACCTATACAGAAACCTTATGTCAACTATAACACGTTGCAATTGTATAAGCCATTTACAAGATAATATTTTGAAAAGCAAATTAAAACTGATAATTCCGTTTTGACAAACATTTCATCTACAGAAACAACAGAAACCCACCACCAGTTAAAGACAGCTCTTTAATTGAAATTATTTCATTTTTTTGGTAGTTCATCCTATAATGTTTTTACTGTGACAGTCTGTGTCCATTTTACAAACCCTGGTTCTATTTATTACTTTGGCTCCATCTCTGGATCCACAATCATTTCGAAGACTGTACTAGTGTTGTAACAAAAATGCACTCTAAACTGTGGCTTCCAAGTCAGGTGTGAAATGCTGAAGCCTGAAGCCATAGCTCGAGACAGATTCGTAGTTTGGTAAACTGCAGCCCACAGCTAGGCCGCGTGCGAAAATTTGATTGGCTGAGGCTGAATATTACACACAAGTCTATGGGTAGCGGCTGCAGCCGCTTTCCGTAGACTCGTGTGTAATTTCAAGCCGTAGCCAAGTAATTCGGACACAGCCCCAGGCTCTTGGCTGAGATGGGCTGGTGCAAGGGACGTAAGAGCCAACTCTACTATTGCCCCCATCTTGTGATATTAGGAACTAGACAAGATGGCGAAAAGTAAACGAAGCCTACTCCTCTTCAGGGGTTTCAATTTCATTCTAGTTGGTTTCTTACATTCGTGTTCCTTTTATCCTGTAATTGAATTTCAGTGCAGGTTTGTTCCTTGTTATCAATTCACAAGGTTTGTTATGTCTCCTCGCTTTAGCCTTCTGAACATATTCAGTGTCAATTTGGCCAGACACAGCGACATTGACACACCAAACGTAATCCACTTAACCCGATTTTGCAAACTTGATTTTCCGAAGGTGCCCCCGATCCAGTTTTGGGGAAATAATTTCATTTAGTTGAGCTTGTAGCTAAAAGACTCGTTACAACCAACACACATACTAACAGACATTCCCCCTTTGGAATTCTACACGTGTTCAATTCAGCCTCAAATTTGTTAAATAATTTGGGCAAAAGCTGTACTAAGAAATTTTAATAGCCAGTTTCTTTTCATATTGGTGAAAATACTTAATGAGAAAACTGAATTTTTTTTTTGAGTTTTGGGAAATGCTCTGTATTTGAGATAATTTCTGCTAATTGCTCAATGTAATGTGTAACGAAGATGTTTTACCAATTTTGACATCACTAACTTTATTTTTTTGTGCTGGCTATATTTCTTACGTACAGCAGTATAGTACCTTCTTTGGACAATGTAATAAGCTACGGATACAAGTTAACTGTCCACTACAAGCTTGACGGAAAGAACTTTGGGAAATAGAGTTTTAACCCAAAACTTGTGAAGAATTTGTACCTACACTGTAACTTCAAAATTGTGCAGTGAAGTTCAGTGTAAAAGATTACGTACTGAGAGCAATCAGATAGTTTGGCTAGAGAAGATCTACTTTTAATTAAAGTATAATTCTTCAATGTTTTTAACTACCGTGTAGTATCTGTATATGACTAACTCCTACAATTTTATATGGCACTGGACACGAGTCGTTTGAATGTGCACCTGGGCAGATTTTGCCTAGTAACACACAAACTTCGGCGGTTAAATACACATTTTTATTTTGGTCAGTATTCACTTGTGGCCCATTTCAAAAAAGAGAGCCGGTTTTACGAGCCAAAGCTGTCATTTTAATGATTTTTTTTAACCTAAAAATGAAGACAATTTGACTGAAAAGGCAACATTTCCCGAAGTGACAGCAGTTTTGCGAGTAAAACCGATCTCTCTTTTCCCATGGCCTTCTTGATCTTGGTTATCTAGGGTGGCAAGATTTTTTTGGTTACCAACTAACACACTTACAAATCTACATTGTTACATTAATATACACCTAACTAATACTCTTCATTTTTTTTCTTCATATAATCATCTAAATCTTTAGTGCAGCGGCTTCTGATGTAGCGCCCGCCATTAACTGTCCATAATGTGTTCCAGAACATTCATTGGAATGAAGAGTGGTGAATGAACGAATTCATTCGCAGTTAGAACATTCTCTCAGGCGGGGCTACACTCAGTCAAGCCGAAATTGTTAGTGCAGTATAAAAAAAAGGATCAGAAATTCTAGATCAACACACGTTCTGTACAGACTACATTAGAATGAGATTCACGCATATAATATCGCCGTTATATACAAAACTGTGGTAAATGCAGGAGACTCGACAAATAATAAAATCGCGGTTTCATGCCGACCGCAAGATGTAAACTTTCCATTAAAAATACGAGAGAAGCTGACAGCATGTGTATGTGACATGTAAACCGTCAAATGTGAAAATTCACGGTTGCCGTAAACACTACGTCACTGAAGTCTTCTAGTTAGGATTGAGATTTCTAGTTTCTTTTTGAGATGTGCTGTTTGTTAATCTGAAGAGTGATATTTTCAAAAGATAATTTTGGAAAGCTGTTAGCAGTCAGCTAGTTTGACAAAAATAGGAGAATAATGTCAGTCAATATTTGCACAGAGCAAGTAACTTCCTTGCCGTATGTTATTTGAAAACCTCCAAAGTAGAGGCTCGAAAGAACGTTCCCGCCAAAACAAATTTTCGAAGTTGGAATTGTTGGATTTTTGCGAAGTTTTGTTTCCCGCGTTCCGAACACCCACCGCAGTTTTGTAATTTTTGGCCGCTAGATCTACTCACGAACATTCAGCACCATTGTCAGCACGTCATTGTAAAATGCAGCTCCTTGTGCGTGCATTACAATGTACAGGGTGGTCTCCAACAAGTGTACACTTTATCAGAGGGTGATTCCTCAAAATTGAATAGTGATGTTGAAATTGATTTAAGATAGTCCTAAACAACAAGATCTTGGTGGTATATGGTGAAAACGGCGTTAAAAATAAAGCTCAAGTTAAGAAATAGCGGCCATTTACAGAAAAATTGTCAAGAACTAGTCTGTCCACATCTATGGCAGTCATATAGACGTAATTACAATTATTGCAATTATTATGTGCGCAGTGCTATTGTGTTGACCACATCTCATAGACTTGCGTGTTGACAAAATGGTTTCTGACCATCTTTCTTTAAACCATCGCCAATTTCTTAATCTAGGCTACATTTTTAGCGCCGTTTTCACCATATACCACGAAGATGCGGTAGTTTAGGAATATCCTGAAACGATTTTAACATGTCTCCCCAATTCCAAGAAATCTGAATCTGAAAAAAAAAGTGTAAACGTGTTTTTGGACCACCATGTGTATGAGTTGTCTTTCTGCTATAAAATACAACACACATTATCCTATAGTAAAAACAAACAAGATACATTTCTTTTCTACCAACGTAACATCTACGACTGAAATGATTTTCAACAGGTTTGTTATCAGTGTTTCATAATAACAAACTGTCTCTCAGAGGTATTAAAAGGGCATAGAAAAGATCACAGATCACGTCATAAGGGAATTGACTATGTACACTATTCACATGGAAAAACAAACTAAGTAAATTATAGATATCACGGTAACAGTATAATAGACTGGAAAAGTCCATACACAAATCTCAACATTAAACATCCACTACAAAACAGCTAAAGAAAATCGCATTTGGGGATTTTCACATCTTCGTAGAAATCTTTACACGTTTTCTATTACTTCTATACCAAAATCTAAACCTACTATACCGATCTAACGGGGAAAGGACTTTCACAAGTCTACAGTATTTATAATGCAGCAATTATGTGGCGAAACGGGTGCCTCATGCACCAAAGTAATACACTGAGACATATATTTCCACACCACCGTAGAGGGCGCCACTAGCACGCCCTCTACGATCAAAACACACCATTATTAAACAGGAATTAAAAAACAACAACAACATGATAAACCATTAATTAATGTTGTATTTCAGTTAGGTATAAACATTAATGAATACATTCTAGTGCTACTCTATCAACCCCTCTATTCTCATCAACTCCTCTGCTACATCAAAAATGTAGCAACAAAAATCGCTCGTTCGTGTTTGTGCGCCAAAGTGCGCTTCACCAAAAAATCTCGAATGTTTAAGAAGTGTATATGTGGATATCTGAATGAAGTTTTCACCAGTGCAAACCACTCGTTATTATACATAATCTCATCCTCCCTGTGTCCAGTGTGATTAGCATTGCATTTACTAATCCGCAAAAAAATTAAATAATTAGCGATAGTTGGCTATTTTTTTCTACGTAAGCAAGAGCGCCCTCTCGAATCCACTACGATCTAATTTGCTAGCTATTACATCATTCCTGAGTTGCCCTTCCAATTGCGAAAGGTCGTCATAGGATGTCAACCTTGACGTCCTTACGGCAGCATTTCTGTGATATTTCAAACTTCTTGCAGCATTAAATTAGTCTTTTTTAAACATCTAATTTTCTTCTTTTTTTCTAAATCTACATTTTATTTGCGTTAGCGCGTGCAGCATTATTGTCCAAAACAGCAATGATGTACCCCGACTGCGAATACATTCTCGTGCTTGATTCACGACGCATGCGTCGTGAATCAAGCCCGAGTTCAAACGAACGCAGTAGGGTATTTCATTGGCTGTTCGTGGTCCGAAAATTTACGACGCATGAGCAGATGATGCCAACGAAAATACACGAACAGCCGATAACCAGGCTAACCCAGATCATAATCCGTACGACGTACTTGTATACGCGCACTAGTTGGGCATCTTTACGTTGACACAAACATCCACTCTTAATACTTATTTTGGCTGATGTGACCCGAGAAAAGTGGGCAAAAGTTGTAGGATATTTTTAAAAACAAATTTCAGTTAATTACGCCAATCACCTATTAAAACACTATTTCGTCCACTACTATCACATAATACTATATATTCAGGTTGGTAACTGGTTTGGCAACTGGTATTCACTTTTGACACAAGCTTTATGACGAACCGCCATAAGCTTGACATCAGTATATTATGGGTATTACACTTTTAAAACAGAAGATTTTAGGAAATACCATTGTGCAAGTTTCTAAAGAAAAAGGGTGAAAATTGTGTAATCTATCTACGTGCAGTAATACTGTCACTTTAAGCTCCACAGTATGTTTTATGAAAGAATGTTGCATCCTGATGCCACTTTTTCCATCATTATCTCAGTGAAGGTCAGTCATTGGGAAAAAAGGTTGAAAAAGACATGGAACTGGGACTGAGAAACATTTCCAATTTTGTTAGAAAACACTTGTACTTTGAAAATGCACTCGACTCTCCATAGACTTTGTACATGACCAAAGAAGTGACGTCTGGATACTACATACTTTCCTGTACGTATTTGTGCTACAAGGGAAAACCTAACTAAAATTAACACTCTAAAACTACGTTTATTTCCGGCGTGGTCATGCGCAGTAACGGACACCAACAAAAGAGCATGCGCCGAATTTGCATTGCGTGAAAAAAAATTAATCCATGGATCTGCTATTAACTAGACAAAGCTGCAGTTAATGAAATGATGAATTATTGTGCGACATGTTGAGATGTATTGAGCCAGTTGTACGTGGCTAACTTTGAGTTTGAAGAAGTAGTATGCAGTGACGTCATCTTGAAGTTCGCGGTGATTGGTGGATACAAAGTTACGTTTCTTTGTAGATTTCCAAGGATTGGTGAAGTTTAAGTCATTGTGAACAAAGCAACGACCAGAATTCATATTGGAGGGCACTTAAATCTAAGATACACAAACACAGACGAGTTTTTTTTTGTGAAGGAAATATCGACGTTGCGATGAACGAGGTGACTGGAACTTCCTGTTACCGTGCTTGTATTGCACCAGGAATAATGCGCGGACTTACATTCATGTCTACGGGAAGTGGTCGGCTACAGGTCTGGAGACATCCTTGGCTCCGAATGACCCTGGCCTTCATGCAGGCTGGTTTCGGTCGACCTTGTCTGGTTCCGGCCTGCTTGGGTCACCAGTTGATATTCAAGGGAAGCTGCCAGATCATGTGATGGGTTGAGCTGCCTCCGATATGATGCAAATCAATCAGGGTGCATTCTGCCTGTCAGGTGACCTCCCTCCCGTGTAGTTGACCAATGGGGATACTCTCTGCCCGTCAGGTGAACGCTCAGGGCTGACGCATCTGCGTTCGTCTGCTGGTATTCCATGCCTGTTGTCATGCCAACGCATCATGACGTGTAGTCCTTCCCAGCCACCTCGTTCCATCGTTACCTGTTCGTAAAAATAAGAAAAGTACAAAAAAGAGCGATAAATATGAATCATTGAACTTGCGAGGGATTTATGCGAGATAACATTGGCAGCTTTAACAGTCAGCAATTCACAAATCAACTGAACGTTCAGTTGATTGAATCTTTTGATTCAATGGCAGCGCCTTATAGTCACGCGATAAAATATCTTTTCACCGAGCCTCAGGGCCTGAAACATTGCTGTATAATAACGACTGGCAATGTTCCAGAGTTGTCAATTTGAGCACAGGGTTAGAAAAGGTCCTGTGTGAACATTTTTTTCTGATGGAATTTGTCAGTTGCTCAGAAAAATAGCAGAGCGCACCAACATTGCAGGTCTATAGCAGCTATGTCGACCGTGCCGGTCCGTTGAACCGTTCCCAATGCCTCAGATCTAAATGGTTGAAAACATCCTCTTTTATAACCCTCCAAATTTTTGGCACAATTCCCAACATGTTTTGCCAACATGGCCTATATTATTGCAGCGCTACATTTTGATAAGGGAAATAGTATGCACTTGATTTACACCTAAGTTTTTTGACGCACTGTTTCCACGTCACATTGTTCTTGCGTAAAACATACAGACTTGCGCAACCAATATTGTGTCTGTATTTATCGCGTGCGCATGTCATCGCAGTTTATCGCGATAGATAACAATGTTGTGAAATATCGTGAAGAATGCCGTACCAAAGCAGTTCAGTTACGATAAAACCTACCTCACAAAAATGACGTTGTATATTTACTTACGTTGATATTTTGTAATTTGACATCATAACCGAATTATCGTTGTGTTGCAACGGCGAGAAGCGTTTACAAACATGCTCGTATCAAGGTTTGCTTTTTTCTGAATTCTCCCCTTTATAAGTAAACACAAAGAGTCCAGTGATCTAGAAAATTATGAAAACATTCGAAAACCCTTCTCGTGCCAAGGTTCTTATTCAATTCGCTTGCCAGAGACCCAGATTTCGTGAAGTGGGCCTGGTTCACGCGGAGAGTTGTTTGCGCATTCATAATTTATTTTAATCCGTTCGTGCGGTGATGTGACACACTTTCACAGCGCTGCAGTGCGCCACTCGGTGTTTACCTTTCCGAGAAATTTCATATTTGTTGTTGACAACGGAAGCGCATTCTGTAGGCCTACACCGCAAAAAAATGACCATTAATCATTAACTCTTGAAACTAAGTATATTCGCAAGTTACTGTAGGATTACCTTTGCCCAATAATTTGACTTTGCTGGTACCAGAGGGCCAGCGTGCAGTCCTCTTAGTGCCTGGCCGACTCACTGACCCACTGACTCACTTGTGAATTAGACTTGCATAAGTCTCCCCTTGGCCCAATAATTTGACTTTGCTGGTACCAGAGGGCCAGCGTACAGTCCTCTTAGTACCTGACTGACCCACTGACTCACTTGTGAATTAGACTTGCACAAGTCTCCCCTTGGCCCAAATAATTTGACTTTGCTGGTACCAGAGGGCCAGCGTACAGTCCTCTTCGTACCTGGCTGACTCACTGACCCACTGACTCACTTGTGAATTAGACTTGCATAAGTCTCCCCTTCGGCCAATAATTTGACTTTGCTGGTACCAGAGGGCCAGCGTGCAGTCCTCTTAGTGCTGGCCGACTCACTGACCCACTGACTCACTTGTGAATTAGACTTGCATAAGTCGCACCTTGGCCCAAAAATTGAAATACGTTTACCTCGTAATGCCAATAAATGGGCTAGATCCAGCCCACTGTGTGGCCCATAATCATGGAACGACTTTCAATAAATAGCCATTCTGAATCGATTGAATAGAACTTTGTGCGTTTTCACTTGTTTAAATGGACATGGGTTTCACTCATTTTTTTTTTTTTTTGGCGAGTTGAATGACCACCTCTATATCGAGGGGACGAGTACGGTGTTTGCTTTTCCGATTAATGCCCTAATATTCCGTCGGTAAACAAGTTCACCGCGGTATCGCATGACGATCGAAACTGTGGCCGTGTTTTCTTATGATTATCATGGATAACTATGATTAGTCGTTGACAATGCATTGGACGATTGCCAAGAATCGCTGAGGGCATCTGAGTTCACTCCATTGTGCGCGCGGGTTATTTTGAGTTCAGCTCTAGTTCCTTATTCCTCGTTTCTTATTTCTTCTAAAAATATCTCGTGCGCTACACTATAAAAATGTGAATCCTAGTTTTACAAACCTTTAAATAAGTGAAATGATTTGTAGTTCCATATTGAATTCAGTCTTTAAAAACCTCTGCTGTGAATTGTACTGTTTTGTTAAAACCCAAATTGGCGGTTTTAAGTGTGCAATTATAGACTGAGGGTCGTTCAGCAAGTTGAAATGATAATAGGCCATCCCTCCACAATATCAAGTTAACTTGTTATCAAGACACTACACGTCATTACGTGCAAGTCGTTACGCGTCAACAGAATCATCTCACGTCATCATAAGTCACAGCAAGTCATCAGAAGTCAGTCGCAGTCACACGTCATCATAAAGTCATCCCAACTTCATCCCATCTCGTGTCATGTTACAAGCTATATACTCAAAGAATCTGGGACAAAGGCATTGCTTTGTCATTGTTCATCGGATCCCCTGTTGGTGCGACAGTGTGATTTGCATTGATAATTGACTTAAATATGATTGAATGTGAATGTGAGTTGAACAAGTTTGAAAACATGTTTTTAATTTTATTAAACTGTTTTTTGTTCTTTTGTTTAGAAGTATCTGATGTATATAAAGTGCAAGCGATACAGAAACTCTCGAGGAAACGTAATAATTATACTTTCGACAGTCTGAAAGTTTCGAATGTGCACTTGTCACATAGTGCGTCAGTGTGAACACTGAACATTTTATTAGGCCAAGCTGTGAAGTATAATATTGTTAGCTTGTTCCCGCCGAGTTGAAATTATCGAGGACTATTAAGATTCGGACGCGGCCACATTCTTTTTTTTTATCAAGACTAAAACACAGACTTCTATAAATACCTTTCTGGTTTCCTCCACTTCCCACTCATACTGTGTTTTCCCCTGCCTCGTCTGCCGCGGTGAACCGCTATCTCATGCCGGTATCGAGGTCTTGGGGACGCCTCCGCTCATGAACCCGGTGGGTCTGGGCGTCTAGCCGCGGTCTAGTCCCGCCGGCCCGGCTGAAAGAGGTCGTGCTGGCCCTGCTGTTTCCGATGACTTGAAAACTCGTCTCTGGGTTCTTGTTGTGTTTCTAGTCTGTGCCTTGTTAGGAAGTCAGCGATTCGATGTTAACCTCACCTACAAATGAAAAATATGAATAATTAATTGTTTTGTTCTTTGATTTCAATTCTGATCGGTGAAAGCTTTTGGATTGTGTTTTTCAATAATAACACAGCGTATAACCAGTTTCACGGTGACTGTCTGCAGTCTATCCTATGTAATATTTTTTTCCAAGAAGGCTTTTCTTGAATGATTGATTCCGGTGTAAATTTTGGGCAAAGCCGCAATTGAGCTCCCTGATCCCAGTGAGTCTTCAGTCTCGGAATCGCGAGATGACGTCTTGGAGTTTGGCTACTGGAAGTCCTTGACAAGAGGCGCTCAAGTATTAGTCAAGTCACGCACAATGGTGTGTGGGCTGCTTGTATCTGTTGCCCTGTGAAGATGTTGCAGAGAGCTTGAGTAGACACCATAAGAAAACTGCCCCGCCCCATAAGCTCTTTCGTAACGTATTATGGACACTTGAACACGAGGGCGCCTTTTGATTTGGGTAAAGGCAAAAGAGATTACCTTAATAACGCCCTCCTGTTGTGTCCAAATAGGCTAATGGAGAGTTGTACTGGAAAAAAACTATTTTATTTGGGTTATGCGCTGTTGCAGCATCCGACCTCACCAGACTCCAAGTTCAACCCATTTTCCAAATTAATGACACCATCATAATGAGAAATCACGTTGATCTGTGACGTTCCTTATAACTCCGGATGTAGTCAAGCTTCCATGTGTCTGGCCTCTTAATGTCCCAGCCTTCAACCCCGTCAGATACTGATGATTTCAAACCATGATTTATTACGACTAACTTGGCCATGGTGAAACCGGGATGAAGAATGCAGGATCGTCTGAAAGTTGTTTGTCATCCTGCCTCTCTGGTCTCGATTCAAAGACCCATTATAATACTGATGATCGATATGCACAGTTGATGACAAATGGTTAAACCATTTAGTGCCTTGGCTAAACTGTGGGTTTGAGGTTTTTGCTCGGGTAGGCCTACCAGTCATCCGTGACACATAAAACAATGTGCATTTCCGGTGTTTTCTTGGCAAGATAAGGATGAGTGTTTCCTGCTAAAGCTAACAACATGGGCCAAAATTTTGACACCATTATGGTGTCAAAATCTTCAAGCAAACAAAGATCTCACCAACGCCCACGCTATGTACACCAAATGCTCTGAACCGTTAGTGTTGTAAGTGAAGACTGACACGTTGCTGCATTGTGGTTGTGATAAAATTATGAACTTGTTCCAGCGGAGTTTTCGAAATGTAAGCTTTCGTTCTGGTTTCGGCTTCATCACTGCTTTCAAAATCATTTACAAGCCCGATTTAAACGACCAAACTAAATAGATTAACTCATCTAGAATATTAACTGTGGCCGAATGGTAGAATTTGACGTTCACAATGAGGAACCTGGACTATGCATATGGACCAATACCAAGTGGGCCTATATACATGTAATTCTACCTCCGCCAAAGCTGAGACATTACCGCGGTTTTAGTACACTTGCTGCAGATTTCTACACAGCCAAAATATCTGAGCCTGGAGCGCTTTATACTACACATGCACGTACCACTTTGGAAATTGCGCATTTTCGTTTTACATAATCTACACACAGCCATTCCTTCAATTGTCATAAAGGTAGCGTAATGAATACCGAAGCTCCCGTCACAAGGGACGAATCCATGCCCAAATTGATGAATTGAGCAAAGAAAATTAAACCATTTGTTCAAGCTCGTTTCGTTACGTGATTCCCAACGGCTATTGCCGTTCATAATGCGCCGTGCACGTAAAATTGCAAACGTATTCAAATGGGAAAATGTATGCGGCAATATCCGATTGACAATTGAAATTTTAATACTTGGAAGAATCATAGCTCCATGGTCGAATAATAGATCGCACGCAGGAAGGCAATACACCATTCGAGCATGCATGTAAACAATAACCACACAGCATCGTGAAACTATGATCGGTTATTCAACCCTATTCCTGGAAACGCAAGTCACATTACTGCCGATAATAGATGTGAAACGTAAGAGCATTATACTTACATAATACTTCTTAGAACTTTGCGTAATGCACGAAGCTGAATAACTCAACACCATTGCACACAGTACACAAGGGATCGGTGCCATTGAAGAAATGTAATTCATTGCCAGCATCTTTCCCTACGATGATGTAATTTTAAGTAGACGAAAATCGACAAAACGGCAAAAAAAAAAAAAACGTACGGGTGACTACGTGTGATTTATAAACAAGAATCCATACCATTGCCTGCTTTGTGTTGTGAGTAGAGTTTGTGCTAATCTGCATTCAAGTTGCTTGTTCGTACGTCCACCCATGAGTGCTGCAAAACTGCACGCGTGCAGTTCGTAAACATCTCTTTTTTTTGTGCGCCTCCGCAAACAAAAACGTCCGTCGAAATCGTTCCTCTCTGCTGGGCCTCTTTATGCACAATGAATGATATATCGTAGTCTCCCTCGTTCGGTAAACCTTGCATGAACCGTTTCCCAGAAACGCTGGGGTGAGATGTTCAAGGCCCTCTCGGCCGATTAACCAATGAGTCATTGCCGAACGGGCATGCATATTCATTACCGGCGCGCGGTACGCTGTGCTCAGCGTGTGATAGTGTGGCTTGCTTTGCCATTGTGCGCAGACCACGCCCCCTTGCTTGTACTATGACATGTGGCAGACGAATTGACCTCATACATTATTGATGCGGTCATCGGAATAATAATTGTTGATGTGTCCGGCAAAATAGTGCAGTGCACGGTATAATTTTAGCCGAGCTCTGCTCTTTGGACATGTAATGTGCATTGTTCATGCATGTCCACGCGACATGTACCGACTGTACTTTTGCAGTGTACAAAGTGCATGCACAGACAAATTTTTTATGCGAGCAGATAAAATCGCATAGTTTTTTTATCAATCCAAATTTTTTTTTTTAACAAAACAACGAATACATGTACATCTTGCCCTCTATAAACGTTCTGTGTCTTTCAGCTGGATATTTTACATTACAATCGCTAACAGACATTGGACAATAAGATTAATGTGCAAAAGCAGACGCTGAAATTAAAAACAAAATCCCCACAGGAGTCGGCCTGGCCTACAAAAATGATCAAGTTCAAAGTACATGAAAATCCCTGCTAAACAGATCTTGATACCAGATGTTAAATCACTCATGTTAGCTGATGACAAAATCATGTTTGCCTCGTCATGCAAAAATGAACATACATGGACAGTTTAGTTGAAACCAATTTGAATATTGATGCAACTCGTACACTATTATTGCCGTGATCTGAATGCGAAACCAGATTATCTGGAAGAAAAAAATACCCGAACGCATGGTACTTGTCGTAATGTAAGAGGTAATTTCCAACCTACGACAGAAATAACTTTTTTTCCAAAGATGTTTCTATCAGAAAAAAAAGACTGCTACGAATGTACCTGTATAGCTGGATAGTAGAGATACTCGTATAATACTTAATAGCCACGCACGACTAAAAAGCCTATAATGAGAACTCTGCGCAGTGTACCAGACTATTATCCCTATTATGCCACAGCGTTCTAGACAAGTTGACCCCATACTCACCGTGCAACCAGACGGTATCCGCGCCGGCGCGGCCTACATTTTCAGGTCTAGACCACTGGGCCAAACCTAAATCGTCTCAGGCTGCCGGCCGGCCGGCCGTAGACAACCCGCTCGTAATGCACAGGGTATTACGATTATACCGTGTTTTGACAGGGCATAATTTTATTGGGGGCCGAACATACAAAAAGAAATAACTAGAATTCCGCGTGCGTTTTTACCAACTCCATGGTCAAACGTATTACGTTGGGGTGGTTTTAATCCGCCATCGAATTGAAACAGATACATTTATTATGCGAAGGAGTACAAGAAAGGGTAACACTGTGCCAACTGATATGACGTTAGTTAAAGAACCAGTTCGAAATGTTCTGGATTGAAATCTGAATATTTAATTTGTTAAATAACTATGTTGAGTTTTACATTGCTGTATGCATTTCCTTAATTAAAGCTGGCAGTAGAAAACAACTTATTTATAATGGTATTGCTCTTCAAAAACTTCAGAAAAGACCTAAGTTAGACCTACCGTGAAATACTGCGACAGCGCTGCTTTTGCCGCCACCCCTCAGCTTATCAGAGATGCTTGACTAGTTTTAGTGACTTTGATAATTTTGAACATGAACTTACACTGGCTGGGCCCTATGCCCATTGCTATGGTACTTGATGTACGTACATGTACATGTACAAATGTACATTGTACAGTACATTTACATTGTACATTGTACATGTACATGTACATGTATGATGTACGTGCGTGCACGCACAGTAACTGGGTCCGAAAATAAACTAACTGCGCTGAGGTGACGTCACCAGGGCACGCGCTACAAGCAGCCAATGGCAGCTCACCTACGGGGAAGATGATTTATCGTCTCTTGGTCAGGGTCCCGACTATACCCTGACCGCGATTGAACTGGTGAATAAAGACAAAGCTTTTAGCCCTTTTTTGAACAGCTGAGAACTTTGACATCTGAGGGGTCAGACAAACAGTACAGATTGATGTTTAATTTACGGCTTTATTGATGTAGCTATAAACATTAGGCGCCAAAATTGCCATTTGATAAAGTTCAAAAGTTGGAAACATTGAGGCGATTCGTCATGATGAAAAAAATTCCCCATTTCGCAGCCTCAAACTCTCAGAAAACCATTGTCGTCAAAAGCTAGTTTCACACATGACAAAGGTCTGGAACCTTGCCAAGTTTAAACCTGCGAAGTTTAATATTGTAAACACATTTCAGAAAAAAAATTACATTGTTCAGTTTACCTCAAATCTTTTGAAGAGAGGTGTTTGTCAGTAACGCCCAATTGGACCAGAAAAATCCTGCCTGCTCATTGTGTCCAATCGGCGCCACATTCGAGTTCGAATAATCGACTTTGACATTACCGACAAAGGAAAATGGGCCCTTGAACTTTCCACAACCCCCGTGCTGTGCGGTTATCTGCATGCACATCGCGGGGCATGCAGGATAACGTGACCATGACCGCCGAATAACACATTCGAACAAAACAAAAATCGATTCTGATATATTGGATGACTAATTCACCCTAAAGCAAACACCAATGTTCTCTGTAAATCTGATAGAAAGTAACGGCTTAGCTGTTACGAGTATTTTATTCTGAGTTGTTTGTTGGTCTTTTTTTAGGATATGTATAGGCCTACAGCGTTTTTGTATTCTTATGAATCTTTCCTTTATTAGAAATAGAACCACCATGCCAAACGAGTGAAGTGTATCAAGGTAAAGCATGATTTCTATTGTCATCACTGACGACGTTTGAATATCTGTTTGTTATGACTGTTCTGAAATAACTCATAACTTAAAAAGTGTCATATTTGTGTGTACATAGGGGCCTATACGCGTGATATATTGTTCACTTAGTTTTACCAGAATGTGTGCACACGTCGAGGATGACCTGTTTTGTACGTTGTAGTGTCGTACGGGGCGGGGCGTCGGTTCGCATTGCCATAACTCGCAACCGACGTATTCTCAGTGTTCGTCAATAACTGTACAGTGCCACGTAAACCATTATTTTCGCATCAACAAGACCATTTAAAAAGTATCGTTAATGAATCATTTTTATAATATCTTAGTCAAAAATAAGAAGTAAGAAGTCTTTTCGAGTTCTCAAAGGCTATATAAATGGTACGAGGCCCTATACTATATAGTTTGAACGACGAACTCATGTACAAAATGGCGACTGCGATAAAATTCGATCAGCAACTCACAATTGAGTCGTACAAATCTTCTCTAACAACGGTGCTCTAAACCAGTCTTTAACCTTAAAGCAACTGTGAATACAAATGAACTTGTGCAATACATGTTGCCATAAAAACAGTATTTAAATATGCGTCAGAAAGTTACATGTTGGAATACAAAGGAATTTCAGATACAAGTTAGTAAATTTCTTCGATACAATTTTTTTTGAATGTCAACCGTCGTTCCAACATTCCCGTTTGAGTGTATCAAATGATGGCAATGCATCTGACAAAATAACATCGTTGTCACATAATTTGAAGAAGGAATTATTCGAATACAATTATCAACTGTCAAAAAAATACAAAAATATCAGTAAATACCTTTGTTGGCTTCAGGCGCAGGCTATGATGTTCAACCGCCACTGTAGCCTGAGTTGCTCCCCTTGTCTAATTCAGAAAAGTCGACCCGAGTTACGACACTTTCGGAGTTCGGAAATCCAAAAATATCACCCCTCAAAAAGATGAATGTTATTCAACGCAGTGTTTCTCCTCTGACATTCAAGTTCATCCCAAATGATGTCTATAGGCAGCCGTTTTTTGCACAGCCAGCCTCGGCCACTAGACATGTTGTGACATGCTCCAGGAACGAACCGAACTGCAGTCTCACTTTAACATAATTTTATTCATCAAGAAACTTGCGGTTGTGGTTCAATGTGGAAAGAAAAAAAATAGTCAGACCTCGTTGCTTGGTCTCACGTTGAAAGCTATGGGTGCGGTGCGCGGTGATATGTAAAAAAAACTGTGGCCCGTTCTTTGTACGAGTTGGTTGTGCATGATGTTGTCCCGTTACCGCAACAGCCACCACCGGTTCGACCCGTGAGTACGCGGGTCAGTTCGGCGGGGCCGCCGGCGCGCTGGCCCCGTGGAGCCGAGCAGGCAGGCCCCGCTGAGGTAGATTGTCTGATTCGGTCAACAGCCCTAACGGGGTTTATATACCCCTGACCATGGCTAGAGCTTGTGATCAAGCGGTCAGTTTCGGCCCGTCCAGTTCATTGAAAATGTCATTCATTGCGGTGGCCGGAGCGATGGCAAAAGTTCATGGTCATTCCTTATTGCTTGCATATTTTATACCTGCACTTCGGCCAGTGGGGAGGGTCAGTCATTCTTTTGGCCAGCGGCCAGGGTCATTGCCATTAATGCAAATTTGGCCCAAAATAGTTACTGGTCAGCCTTCGCCTGACCACGAACTCGGACAACGGATGTGGGGTCAAACTTGATAAGTGGTCACAGATTAATCAACATTTCAAGATCGGGGCCAAGAAAACTTTGTGCCCCTAAAATAAAGTTGAAGGTTCTGCCACTCAGAGATTTGGTTGAAGAATTTTAAAACAGCTTTGCTTAAATCTGTGACAATTGAAATAATTTTTGAAAGTCGTAAGTTGCTTTTGTAGCTAGTATGGTTAACCTTTGGCATAAAACGCATACATTGTGGGTGGGGTGGATGTGTGTGTTAGTGCTTGTTTATGTTGTAAATCGAGGATTTTCTATTGTTTCCTTCTCTTTGTTTATGGTGTAAATCCAGGACACACACGTGCAACATCATCGATGAATTGAGGACAGGAACCAAATCGCGGCACGGGCAGTTATGACTCGGGCAGTTATGAATTGCACAATAATTAAAAACCGCACTATTTTCTTTGTAATACAAAAATAAACAATCTTCATAATTATTCTTCATTTTTAACTCTGAAGACGATTTCGCGGATCACTGCATTATTTTCTCTTTCCTCATGTTGATTTATTCATCCTCAACAAGACAGGAAGACAATCAAAACGCAGGTTTCCCTCTGTAATTTACGATGTACAGGCGATAAACCTTTGCTCTGTCTGGTCAAGGCGAGCGCAAAAGCGTGTATAATTTACACTGCGCAGTCAACACGCGGTCAAAAGGTGACACCGAAGTTCATGGAAATGCATACATTGTGTGCAAAATAATACAAATACGCTATTGAATTGTGTAGATCACAATCGATTTGTGGCAGTATCACAATAGAGAATCGTTGTTACGCAAACAAAAACAATTTGATTGGGGTTATAATTTATATGAAAAAAATATTGCCGCAATTTCAGTCTAAAATCCATGTTTGAATGAAGTATAGAATATATTAGGGGTTTTTTTCAAAACACATTTAGCGAACACATGATATTGCACTTAAGTCAGCGTATAACTAGAATTGAAAACATTCAGTTAACGCGTAATTGGAACTTCATACCTTGTTGACTTTTAGTGGTCGTAGAACTCCACACAAAACCTGTTTACGATCCTCGTGAAAGTAGGTGATCGGTTCCGGGTGAAAATTATGAATGGAATTTCTCAGATGCGTGGGCGTCTGTTTGTGCGCGTGTGTCGCACTTTTTTCCTTTTAACCTAGCCTTGCGGGTGGATTAGACTCGCCTCAAGTCCTCAGTAGAGTAACTTTTACATCTGGATGTTAATTAAGTCGCCCCATGTTTACATGATTTCAACCTAGTTTCCAATATAGCAGGTACTGGGAGCGTACTGCTGGACACAATTGGACCGAGGTTGGTATATATAGATGGGGATTGTGCGCCCGCAGGGGGAAAAATCGTCTGAGGAGTTTTCGCTAGTTCACTGTCACTCACTACATTCATACAGCATTATTGATCCTTCAATCGTCCCCATTGCTTACTTTATTCCAACCTCGTCTCCAGTAGTAAGCGAGAGCAGGTACGGCGCATACTGCTCGACACTCTGGGAACGAGATTGATAGATCCTTTCATGGTAGTTAATATATGAATGCGTTTCTTTATGAAACCGGGCTAACATTAGGGGCGTGGCTACGAGAAATGAGAGATGGGGATGTACTCTTTCAGTCTGAAAATGCACAGGTTACCCTTTTTACAACTGAGGCCTAGGAACAATTACCTGAGATAACAAATACTCTGGGGACCTGAACGCAAGTCCTCGGATGGGTTTCGTGTACAAATCTTACTGCTCATTGTCAAGAAAATATGCGCACAAACGACAGGAGCAAAATAAATGGTATGGGTAAAAAATGCAAAAACAGACTGCGCCATATGTTAAAAGTGTCTTCGGTTGTTGATCTTCCTGAGTCATGTTTTGACAATCAAAAAAAAGGGATATACATAATTTTCTGTGGCTGTAATTACATCGTATAGCATGTTCTCCATCCCAGGTATCGTCATAAGCACATCGATCGTTAGGAAACCAGATCTAATCCTCTTGCGCGTGCGTACTGACTCGTGCCCCAGTTGGCGATCGAGATCAAGGTGATGGTCACCTCTGAGTGAACTTACAGTTAATCAACCCGTGTGGTAGTCATGATTCAAGACGTCAGTGTGGATTAGTGTGGATGTGGATCGTGAGGGCATCACAGTGTACAGTATGGGATCGATTGGTGAGACTTGAGATGAAGTCTACCTTTCACAGTAGGCCTAACAGGGTACATGATATGATTTTTTCTTAGGAACGCATTTCGTACAACTTTCTATAGATCTAGTCCTCTTACATAATATAAAAACTACTTGACATCCCTGTTTGGTTAATTTTATTGCAAAGTGCACTTCTTTAATAAAACATAAAGAAATGTCATGCTTTTCTGGACAACTGAGGGCGCTGTTGCTGTGATGTCATTTCAGGAAGGCCTTTTGTCAGTTTAGAGGTGTTGTGTGCAAATTGTGAACCCAAAATTTTGCATTCGACATGTCAACGAATCATCAACATTACGAAAGCAAAATATCCACAATTCTGGCAATGTCTGGTGCTGAAATAGCTTCTGATATTGAGGTTTCTGCCTGGAATGACATTACACTTTTCCTCATGAATATGGAAATTTGCATTAGCATCAAAACAAAAAGGCACCCAAATGCCCTTGAAAAAAAAATGGCAAAACGAAAATTTGAAATATGGTTAAATGGGTCACATAGGTTTCAAGGATTGCATAAAAAAAATACATTGCATAGCGTCCTTCCCCTTCACATTCTATTGATATGATCAACGTGGTTGGACACTCTTTCTTGGACGAAGTAAAATTATGGCTGTATTAAACACAGAAATTGTATATTTTTTTCAATCTAATTTGATTTAAGCGACACAGTTATTTTTCACTTACATGATAACTGGGGGACCCAGAACTTCACAATTATGTCCAGTTTCTGTGGCCAAGTCCTTGAAGAAAATAGTGAAAAGCTTTTGCACAAAAGGCAACTGAACAAATAAATCCCAAAGAGTTCCGTTACTGCAGTCTTGATTGTTTCATGCAAATTGCAAATTATCATGAGAATCTACCAGAACGATTCATGAAAATCTATCTGATCGATAGTTTGACTGGTCAACAACTTGCGATAGACAAAGCATCTATGTTTATGGATAAACAGATAGGGGCCTATGGAGAATTTCAATTGATGAGCTTTGTTTGAAGCAGTGCCTGGCCTAAGAACTTAGCATGTGAATTGAAATGGGGCCAATTTCGGAGTTGCCAACCATAACACACCTGCTCAGTACATTCATGCGCTAAGCAAACGTCAGCTGCCGGGAACCAGTCACAAGCAATATGTACCCTATGGTATTTTGGCTGGTAACCTGTTTTTGCTAAGCAAACGCGGCTTTTTGTGCTGAGCAAATTTCTCTGCTAAGCAGCGCAATGAAAGTGGCCCCTGCACGAGGATAAAAAAAAATCCTTTATAAGTTTTCTACTACTAAAACGGCAGCAAACGACACGTGCAAATACAAACACTTTAATTCTCTAAAATTTGTTATTGTTTTATACTCGTGTAATTGTATTGTGCAATTTCTGTGTGTGTGTAGGCCTATTGTAGTGTATTTTTAAAAATATTTTTAGTTACTTTTTTAATGAGAGACGATATCATGTAATTTCCGGTGGGGGATTTGTTAAGTTGTATCTATCTACCTATATCTATCTATCTACATGTATCTATCTATATAACTAAAAAACTTACCCAATAGATGTATCAGCAACAGTCACAGCATCACAATGATCCAAATAAAATATCCAGGTCTTTTAGAAGTGCACATCGGGGTTCCACTGCGAACAAGTAGGCCTCAGTATTTTTTTTATTTCATGATAAAACCATAATAAGTCCGTCAAGAGCGGGAACACACAACAGCTATAGCAGCGACCTTTGATATTCCGATTCCCAGACACCGATAATCTGCCTAATTTTTGTTCTCCGTTATTCATTTATACCGCTTGTATTTTTTTCGCGCTGTATTCTCGTTTAGGGGCTCGCAATTAAGTGGATCTAGACGTTTTGACGGGGGTTCGCGCTTCGCTTGACGGCGCGCACATGACCGAGTAACCTTGGTGGACGGGACTGCTCCGCCAGAAAATGGAACAAAGAAGCGAATTCAGCATGCCGCGAAATGTGTTCTTCAGAAAAAAAATGACAATAAAATTTAAGGTTGTTTTTAATGGAATACGATCCGTGAAGCTTAGAACATCTGCCGTATTGCAGCAGCACAGTTTATTACTGCACTCAAAATTTATTATTGAAAAAAAAAGGCAAATATATTGGTCTGCTATAAAACATTGTTGGGGACAGATATTTTGAACATGCTTTGAACATTGTAAAACATCGAAAAGATTTTGAACGTGCTTTGAACATTGTAAAACATAGAAAAGATGAGTTTTTTTTTTAATACCCACCGTCGTCGGGGGGATGGCCGCCCGCCCCGCTCAACCCCCCCCCCCCCCCGGCAAGCAATTGCCCCCTCCGCCTGCCGCGATATTTTTTTCCCGTACATCCTTCAAACCACATTGGTAAAAGAAAATGTTCCAAATGACTAACAAACCTTTTTAAGAGAAAACAAGGAGTAAAGAGGAAGACATTAAAAAAAAGCATCCAATGGGAATCGAACTCACACCATCGGATTTTTAGTTCGATGTAGTATCCATGACACTACAGCATTGACTCGATCGATGTGGTAGTTTTAAACATTATACTATTGCAAAAATAAATCGCCCCCCGGCCAAAAACCATAAGCATCAAAATTATGTGTACATGTATTTGTGCTTTCTTGTGGTGCGCCCCTCTAGCCGGTACTGTGGGCCCCCCTAATGACCGGAACTGGCAACGGGGCTGCTTCTGTGTCTCAAAGTAAGCAGTTTGCAGTACTTTTTATTCCCTTTCATAAAAGCTGTGAGGTATTAAAAAGGCGAAGTAGCTTTCATCAATAAATCTTTCCCGAGAGAGGGCGCTATTCATATCATGCATATCAAACTTTATGATACTATTTTTCTTAGGAGTACAGAACAAATTGATTAGATGGAGCATTTATGTAATTTTAGCATTTATCATATATAAAATAATATAAAGCAGATCTAGGCCTGTGCTTGTGCACATCTCCACTGGAGTCCAACTAGCCAGGGGACAAGGAATGAAACTTTCAGAATTACAAAACGGTGAAAATCCAAGAGAACTAATCTGAGAAAATCGATGCAGTGGAGAAGGGTCACCCGAGTGTCGAAAGGAGAAAGAACAAAGCACAAAGAATACAATATGACGTGTAAATTCCAACCTTTGTTATTCAGCTTCATTTATTAACATTATCATATTTTTTTTTACATTTCTTCTGCTTTATCCCCACGATGGTAATAAAGACTAAAAAATTGAATTAAAATTACCACTACCAGTTTTAAATTCAATGCCATGTCTTTTTAATAGGCTAAAATATGTACCAAATAATAAGGGTGTAATGACAAAAAATATTTACAATGTACATATTAGCAACAAACTACACTACTGTTTATCATTTGCAGTTTAATGTATATTATCTGTGTACATATTTCCATCGATGGGAACTCTGTGGAATTCTTAATTGAGGTATTTCACCTTTCAACCAAAAAAGTCTGGATGCATTTATTACGGAATACCTTTAATTTTGAAGTTTAGGCGCCGTTAATTTTGATCTTTTTCGGTTGATGTATTACAGGCATATAGGATCATTTACATTTATCCCAAAAGTAGTCGAGTGAATTATTATTGAAAATTTTACTTGGATTCAAGATTGTAATGGTACTAAATACCCCATTAAATTATTCCGTCTGGTCTGCTGTCACTTAGGAGAAATCAAGAAATGTAGGTGATTGACTAATTTTTGAAATCAAGAGTGCTATGTACGAAATCTTGTTTCGTGATCTAAAGGTTGTGCATGGTTTTACACTGTTTTCTCGAAAAGTGTAATATCCACTGAGCTGAAACTTCAACAGGTTAAGTTTTGAACATTCTTCTTTGTATTTTGAGCGGTGTATTATTATTGAAAACTATGAACAAAATGCATGAAGAGCTGCAAATGACCCTATATGCCTTTTAACGAAGTTTGAACACTCTTCATTACAATCAAGAATGAAATGATTTTCTAGGAATAAAAATAAATGTTGACAGCTAACGTCAACGTACCACTGTTGTCCAATGCTGGTTCTCATGAAATTCCCACACATAAGTAAATAATTATATAACTAAACAGTTAAAATGAATTAAAGCCAGCATGGGCCACATCATCAATAAATAAGTGTTTTCTCTTTCCCCTAAATACCACAAATCTATAATGCATCGGTGTAAAAAAGAAGAATCAAGGTAAAAAGGAGCTGAAACAGTTGTAATTTCTCTTTTAATAGACAATACAATTTTTGCAACTAGTGATGCAATCTGATTAAAAGTAAAAAGCTTTTTCCTCAACCCAATAAGAACAACTGTTTTTCTCCCTCTTATGGCAATGTATTAGCAAAGAAGAAAGCCCCCCCCCCCCAATAAAAAAAATTACAGTAAGCCTGTTTTCCTAAGCAAACTTTTTAAAGATTTTTTTGCAAAATATACATCTACCATCCTTTGTGACAAATGAACTTGAATAGAAGAGACAAATGAATGCAGCTAAACATGATCTAGCACTATACCTTATGCATATTTATGATATACCTTCTCAAACCACAATTGGTCAAACCAATGCCTCATACATATTCATGATGTATCTTGGATCCCTCATTGGTTATGCGACTATCGTGGCAGCCAATTAGCCTATTTGAGATATTTGATGAACAGCGCCCTCCTATTGTGTCCGCCACATCTCAAATAGGCCAATAGATTTTCTGACAGACATATCTGGCAAATCATATCCTGGATATGAATCAACAGCTAAGATTGTGTGGAAGGCATCAACTGTTTCATATGGGCAGAATAATTTAAATGAATTTGAATATTTCATGAATATGTATGAGGCTTGTTAAAAAACAAACAACATTGCATTATTTATCTATCTTGTTCATTAGAATTTTCTTGATTTTGGAAGCTGACCATGATATACCTCAGCTTGGCCTTCTGAGATCAATTGGTCCATTTACAATTCCTTAAAAAACAAAAGTTACCTGTCATAAAGACTTTGCCCAAATCAGGCATCTTTCAGGCTATGGCTTGGTTTATATGGCATTGATACTCTGCCATGGATAGCCACAGCCACAGAGAAAAATGCCAAATTTGGACATGGCTTGGAATATGTACAGTAGTGAGTCGTGAGTGGATTACTTGCTCTCCGGTGCGCCCTCATCCTCAAGCATCTGATCGATCTCTCGCTCCCATTCCTCATTGCCTCCAGTGTCTTCCTCTTCTACTACCTCGTAGTCCTGGGAAGGAGGCAGTAAAACATGCAGAATGTCAGCAGCGATTATTGAATTTTCCTCATACCCACCACCCTATCAAAGGGTACTGGTATCGGCTAAATTTCTTTGAGCTCTCATCGGACAAAATTTGTTAAACTGGTGTCCGGGATCAATACTTCTGTGTGTGCAAAGACTATGTGTATGGATCTTAGCCTTGACGTGAGCTACCCACGATGCATTGGGTTTCCTTTATATTTGTTAACAGAGACTAGCTGTCAGCAGCACCCTTTGGTAGTGTGGTAGATACAAGGAAATTTACTAGTACAAGGAATTACATTTCACGCACTGTATCTGGTGCTTTTATTTACTAAACTTGGGAAAACAGTTTCACTCTTGATTCTAGTATGGACCTGTTCACAAGTGAAAAAAATCAATCTTCAATTAAATGTTTTTAACGTCATTTGTGAACTAAAGCAATTTATAAAATTGGCTTGGAAACTGTAGACTTACTTGAAGCTCTTGCTGCAATTCTTTCTCCCATTCTGGAATATCTTCCTCACCTGAAAAAAAAGAAAAGAATTTCACAATTTTGGCAAGTCATGCATCAATAATTCTTCGCAGGATGTTGCATATTCCCCTACATGGCAAAAACTAAAAACCTCATCCAAATGCACAAGCTTCGCTTCATAGTCTCGATCTAGTCCAAGCATTCCAAGTATGCTGCCAGTGCATGCCAAGGTGCCCATGCAGCTTGAACATACCAGGAGGGCTAGGAGGTGGCGGTGGATCAGTGGGCGAACGGCCACTCCGTTTGGGGGACAGTTTAACAGAACAGAAGTACTGGATCAGGAGGACTACTAGGGTGGGTACTAGCCGCCCGCCTGAAGGGGAGCAAGGGGTGTATTGATAGGATTACAGGCCAGACAGTAGGGGTGAGGGAGGGGTGGGATGGGTGCAGTGTCTGGGGTAGGAAGGACTGGTAAGTTGACCAGTGCATGAGCACTGCCATTGGTCAGACTTGGAGGGGTGACCTAGTTTATATCATTCTCTTGTCTTGGAGTAAATCTGATGTGATTTGCTCATTTGAAAGCAAAAAGGCACTTGCAGTACATGCCACAGTACCATGTGGCTCAACATGGAGTCCACTGCATGACATAATATTATACAGCCAAGCTTTCCTATTGCATGGACTATCTGCTTTCAATGTAAACTGACATTGGGCTGTCCTTGATGTCACCCTTTATCTGAGTTAGTTCTTAAGGAACTTTGAACAGACTACTTTCAATGTGTCCCCCTCCATCAATCGTCATGCCACATATCAAACAACTTCACCCCCAGCTTAGCTGATGCTTCATAATCCCAGGCCCTTTTCTTGTACAATATGGTGTACTTTTTTGGTTACATTCATTTTTTACTACAGGAACAATCTTCTCCTGATACAGACGAATCCAGGCACATGATCTCAGCACACTCACGAGGCCCCCTTCAATGGAGAAACCATTGTGCATGCTATTGTACAAAGCAATTGCCCCGTGATGGCTTTCGCCATTGTGGAGGGCCTGCGTGATAGAATTTATAGCGTGCCTGGATTGATCTATACTACACCAAATGTTTGAGTCTTATTTATTTGGTTCTAAGGCTTACAAAGGCTTGGATATCCAGCTACTGAGCCAAAGCTAGAAATGAAGCCACGATTTGAGAAATTGGCTTAGTCTCCTATTCCAGGAGCTTTCAGTAATCCTCACCATTATTTTCATCTTCCTTTTTGTCCATGCCCAGCTGCTCAAACCCCTTCTGGATCTCAGCCTGGTCAATCTCCTTGTTGAAGTTGTCGCTGATAAACTCCGCCCCCGGGGGGCTCCCCGGTACCTCGTCGTCCGCTGGGGAAGAGGGCGTGGGCTCGACGGATATATCCAATGCGCTGGACTTGTCTGTAGGCAAATTATGGCATGTTATAAAAAATACAAATAAATAATCACAGGACCATAACACTGTTGGAATTAACAACTAAGTTAAAGGGAATATACATCATTTGCTTTTGCTGTAATTTTCAGAAATGGATGGAATTGGGGGGTTGGAAATATATAGCAAACATAGTTGCACTGACCTTTTTGAGGTTTTGGGTTCGAAAATGCTATAAAAACCAAGAAAAACAATCATTTTCCTGTAGTCTGGTTCCCTGACTCCATATAAGAAGAAACAGAGCAGTTTACATACACTGGTGAATCGTAAGGTCAGGGAACCAGTCTAGCTGGCTTGTACCCGTTCATAGGTGTGTAATCGATTGCAAACAAGTGCGATGGTCAACTGGGGTCAGTATTTGAAAAAAAGCCAGTTTTTTCCAATGCTGGTCAGCCGATCAGCATTGGAAATTGATACAAAAATACCACTTTTCTTGAAAATGACAGTATACCAGGTGCCATGATTTTACAGGATGCTTTACACTGTCATTCACTATCAGTCCAGCAAGGTATTTCAAAATGATTTGGTAGTTTTATTTTTTGATGTTTGCAAATGTTGTATTTTCCCTTAACATGCATTTTTAACATAATGTTTAACTTGTGCAATCTGCAATCTATTTTTTTTTGTACAGATCAAATTTCTTTAATGGCGTGATGTTGGAGTCCTTTTCATTTTATTTTGCCTCTGACACTCTTTCCTATTGTTATTTTTTAGCGTGGTAGGAGGATGGGTAAGTGGGGTAGGAAAAGAAACATGCAAACATCCAATGGGGCAAGTATTGTGAATATGGAAATATTGACGGTACCTTTACCACTCTCTGACGGTGTGTCGTCTGTCTTTGTGCTTGATGTATCAGCAGACCCAGAATCACTGGAATTGCCTGTTGTTAATAGCATGCAAACCGACAAAAAAATAAGCATCTGGGAAAAATATCACAACTTTGTAAATTCTGATCCTTTGGAACAAGCTGCCCTTTGTTACTACCAGTGTTGCATTCCAAGAATTCCAAGTTTTGAGATTTCCCCAATAAGAACCAGTGCTAGTGTTAAATCAAGCCAAAGCAATTCATAGTAGGCCCGTGGGTTTGATCAAACTTAAACTGAAAAGATTAAAAGTGAAAAGTCATTGAATGTTGGCTACAGACAAAATAAAACCAAAATGATAGCAAGTATTTAAAGTTTTTAAGTTAACATGATATATGGTTTCAGTACCTGAGGATGCCGCAGCTAGGGAGGTTAGCTGGGAGGATTGCTTGATGAGGGATACTCGGTAGAAATAATTCCTCCAGAAATTCTCCTCAACAATCCTAGAATTTCATTCAAAGAAACATGCAATTTATCAATATTCATCCATAAAAAGTGTTTCAAGTACTGCTCAAATCATAATTCTGTATTTTAAATAATCACAGTTGGTTACTTTACTGAATGTACAAGTATTGCTCCATTAGTATCAATATTAATGCTAACTCTCACAGATTCTATTTCTTAAAAGATTTAGAAGGAGGTTCTGGAGTACTTTGACAGGATAAAGAAAGGTAGAGCCCAGCCATGGGGCTTAACCCTAATATTCAAATGTACCTGAATCCATCCAAATCCACACCCCTGTTTTGGAAGATTTCGGCAGATTCAGGATACCTCCATGTTAAAGAAGATGGGGGATTTTGATGGATTCAGGACAGTAAGCCTAGCGGTACAGGATTTTGATGGATTCAGGATCTCAACAGTTGGCTATATGTGTGGTGTGTACGAGGTATATGTACTACACTGGTGGATTCTGATGGACTCAGGACACCAACATTTTTTACATGACAAAATTGGTGGATTTTGGCAGATTCAGGATACTTTCTAGTAAAAGCGCTCAAGGGGTTAGGGTTTATACTCTTTAAAAGTTCAAGTATTAAGAATGTGCCATGGGCTTCCTTCAAAGTGGATGATTATGGAGGATTCAAGAAGGTTTCAAGCACAAATGCTATTGAGGATTGACAAAATGAACGACAAACTTACATTTTGGGGACGAGGTCAAATCTCATCTTCTGAAGCTTCTCGTCTTCTTGGAGTGTCGCCATGGCGACTGGAAACATGCTGGCAAAATCAAACTGGAACTGGACCCCTGCAGGTGGGTTTCTGAGGAAATTTCTTTTGTCCTGAAAAGAAATTAAAACATTTACACCTTAACCAATTAAAACTTGAATACATCTCACAAGTAGTAAATCCACGGAACGTAGATGTAGTTGTTCCAAATTTCAGTAATACAGCCCCTCCCCCCTCCCCCTGGGAGGATTTGAAAATTTTTCGTACACACCTGTGACAACGCCATGATCTGTTCTTTCATCTGTTCCTCCTCATTGTATCCCACCCATGGAGGCACCGCTGCCTCAGCCCGTTTAGAATGCTTCTCCTTGACAAACTTATCCTGCTCCTTCTTGAAGTCGCCTACAATCGTCTACAGGGGAAAAACAAGCAACATACTGGGGTACAGTCTTGGAACATTTAATTATTGTCAACTCTTGAACTATACTTTTGATATACACGTACTATAAAATCTTGAATGAATTTCACAGAATTCACCGAGGCAAGGGATTGTTTTCCCTTGGTCTTGGTCTTCAAAACTGATGTTTCATTTTTTGCCTCTGAAGATCTTGTTAAGATTGGAACGTCAGGCTGTCTTAATTTTTTTTATTAACATAAACGTCCTTTAAGTAGGCATAAACTTGCACAAAGTTTGTTACCAACACAATCATCTGCATATTACAGACAAATCCAATTAATGCAGTTTCATGTGTATCCATATCTGTTGGTGCATGTTGCAGAAATGAAAGTCTGGCGTAAATGCTGATGAATCCAAAGTTTAGTAGGTTTGAAAAACACATTTAATGTTTTGTTTACCTTTTCTTGCACAGTTTTCTGAATAATTGTAGCTGTTTTAGCTGCAGTTTCTGTGACTTTTTTCGTTCCTTCCTTTGCAACGTTGAACAAGTAACCTAGGGAGCACAAAAAAATACATTTACAAAAGATGTTCAAAGATGTTTAACTAAAAGCAGGCACTGTCGACCTGAACAGTTTTCTTTTAGATAGTGGATATATTGCCGCATCCGGCTTTCTTTTAGTAAATGATATTAAGCCGGAGAGATCGTACAGCGCCCTCTTTGACACGTAAATGACAAGGCTAACAGGTACATTATTAAGTATTACATTACCACCATCGATCGAGCAGCAAGTATGACAGAATGGATGGCGCGTCTGGGCGTCTGATATGTAAGCAAGATATCCCAGGTTCGAAGCCCCTGTCGGGCTCTTTTGACATTTTCGTTTTTATTTTTTTTCAATCGCAAAAATTTTGAATATTCTTCTTTTATTTAAATTTACTCCTACATTTGAAGACAGTCCGCGAGGATCGATTCCCATGGATCTCCCTGAAGTAAGTAAGTGATTAATGATAAAGTGGAATGAAGGAAAGGAGAGGGTGAGAGTAGCGGAGGGAAAGTGGAGGAAATAACCTAGCCCGACTGCGTCTGGCCGTACAGTACTATCGCAAGCTCTGTAGTACGGAGCTTGCGATAGTACTGTACGGCCAGACGCAGTCGGGCTAGAAATAACCTAGCCCCATAAATGTGGCCTATTTACTGGACTGCCTCCGTAAACATAGGCCACACGTCCACATGTACAAAAATCGTGTCGACTTTGCCAAATTTTGATTTTCACATTTAGGCTTAGTTTGTAGGATTTTTTTGCTTAAGAAGCATACTCACCCACTTTATAGGCTAGTCAGAAAGTGCTGCCTTTTTCAGATGTCAAATTTTTGTGAAATTTCATGTTGAAAATTTGATACGCAAACGTGTAAAAATGAATCTGGAAATTTCACGAAAAATATACATCTGAAAAAGGCAGCACTTTCTGATTAGCCTATAAAGAGGGTGAGTATGCTTCTAAAGCAAAAAAAACGTACAAACTAAGCCTTAATGTGAAAATCAAAATTTGGCAAAGTCGACATGATTTTTGTACATGTGGACGTGTGGCCTATGTTTACGGAGGCAGTCCAGTAAATAGGCCACATTTATGGGGCTAGAAATAACCATACAAGATGCAACTTTTTGGTGATTGAAAATTAATTGAAAAAAGTGGAGTCTGTGTACACAATTCTTTCCTTCAGTGCTGTTCCTGCATATCGTTTACCAAGAAAGCCGGATCCTGCTAAATATCCATTGCCTTTATTTTACACAATGCAAAATACATTCAGGCAGCTCAGCAATCTCATCATCAAAAAAAAAAACTCACAAGACACAAACTCAGAAATTTAATGAATTGGATGTATCAAACACAACATACTTCCCCATTCCTTTGCTGATGAGATCGCAGCTTCTGCTGTGATGTTCAGTTCTGGTTTCACTGATGGTTTGTCCGCTTCTTCACTTTCATTACTTTCTATGGTTTGCAGTTCCTCAGCTTCTGCGTCATCTGGATTGTGTTCTTTCTTGATTTCTGTTTCAGAATTTGCTCCCGATTCTGATGCCGTTTCCTTCTCCGTTTTTCCCCCTCCCCACCAACTGTTCAGCATATCCATTGTTCGATGTGTCAGTTGAACACATTTACTGAGAAAATTGGCATAATATCTCTTCGGACATGGAAATTATTGAAGAACTTCACCAGCTCCGAAACGACTTTCTATTCCGTATTCGACTTCTTACTCATCAACTGCGGGGTCAACTTTGTTGTTGATTATACGCGTATACTTCCGGTTTACTGACGATTCGGCAATCTCCGGAAAATTTATAATGTTTCCTGAAACGTTTGAAAAATAGTTTTCTTTCACAATATGACAAAGAGAATAATTATTTGAATTCAGTTTAGAGTTTATGATAATTAAACGATAACTAAATCTCATTTACGAATTCTTATTCACTTCGGATTTGTTCGGAATTTTCCCATATCAATGACCTCTGATTAACCTCTACACTGAACCGGATGAAGGGATGGCCGCGCGGCATTATGGGAGAGACGGTCTCTTTCGTTGGAAGTTGCCAACATGGTGGGTAGATTGAAATTGGAATGCTTTTAATCGCCCTCATCTTACCAATTACAGCGGAATAATTAAGATATATGGGATATTTTCCAAAATTATAATACTTGGACTATTTAATCACATATTTATTATGTTCATGTGATCCGTAATAGATGAAAAATTGCCCGTTCAATTTCGCGGGATGTTTCGTTCGTTCATGCTAAATATAACGGCTTCAGTGGAAAATGATGGCGCTACCCCATTCTGTATCCCTGTGTCCGCATAGACACTCCGGGGACCGACTTAGACTTTTCTCCGTATTCCCCATTTTTCCCATTCAATTAACGTTGTATGTTCTGATTTAACCATCCCCTTGGAGGATTTGGTAAGAAAAAACCTAGACTTTTTTATAGGGAAAATAGCGCCCTCTTTCACCACTTCCCTGACTCAGTCATGTCACATTGTCAGTTAATGAGTCAATCCCACTCCATATTCACATTGGGGGGACCTAGGCTACTTCACTTGAATTTTCTTTGTCTTCCGCCTTCTCCATTACTAGGCAATGCTAGGTTTACTTCCTGGATATTAAGCGGGCATAAAGTCTGCTAGTTTGCACAGCGTCCTCTTTGATGCGTTACAAGTAGGCCTACATTTTACGGTATTAATTTACAAATGTAAATTACCACCATCGTTTGTGCAGCACCTGTTGCAGAGTGGATAGCGCGTGTTTATATTATCATGAGTGAGAGATCCCTGGTTCAACTCCTGGCTAGCGAATTTATTTTTATATTTTTTTTTTCATCCCTAAAAAATAAGGAATATTGTTTTATTATTTTAATTTTACCGTCCATCATTTGTAATTTGTGCATTTTGCATTTTGTTCGTTTGAAGCAACAAAAGTGTTCAAAATCTAATGAAGGATACTGAAAAACTAACCTGATGAAGTTTCAGATCAGCTTTAGCTGTATATTCCGAGGAAAACAGCTTTCTAGGATCTCAATTTCAAATCAAAAGTTGCTGAATCATGTTTTGAATTGTTTTGAATTGCAGCTATACGCGATGTCGCGCACTGATCCGACGAATTATAGCAACCAAGGGCACGTGTGCGTTGTGCCAATGCTTGCGCGCGCTGCGCCGAATAACAAAACGAACTACTAATTTAAATTTTCCTACGAAAGGCCTTCTTTCGTTTATTACTTCAAAATGAAAGAATAATTTCACAGGGAGTTTAGTCCCCTTACTATCTTTCAACCAAGTATGTTTTTTCAACAATAATTACGCCAGTTACTTTTCGGATGGCTGCAAATGATGGACTATAGCTTTAAACACAGTTTCGAGTAATCGATTATTAAATTATTTGAAAAAGGGACAGCCCCGCTTAGCACTTGGTTCTAGGTACTGGCTTTTATATCCAAATCCATGATGCAAATGAAATGAAATTTTGCCTTAGTGTACAGCATAGGTCGACGCTAATTAGGTTCTGACGTGTCTGATTATGTTTAACAGGCACGAGGACCCAAGAAGCATTTGAAGCGCCTTGCGGCACCCAAGCATTGGATGCTGGATAAGCTGACTGGTGTCTTTGTAAGTATTCAGATATCTTAAACCCTAACCCTTGCTCCAAGTACATTGGACAGACCCTGTTAAAATGGACAATATTAACAACTTGGCACAGAATGTATTTAAAATCCTTAAAGGGAATGTACAACATTTGCCTTCGCTGCAGTTTTCAGAAACAAATGGATTTGGAGGATTAGCATGTTATAGCAAATATTGTTGAAATGACTTGTTTCATGTTTTGGGCATGTAGATGCTGGTAAAACCCAGAAAACCAATCATTTTCTTGTAGTCTAGTTCCCTGACCCCACTTAAGATGAAATGGAGCAATTTATAGACTTTGGGGAACTATAAGATCAGAGAATCAGTCTGGCAGGCTTGTACCTCTTCACAGTTGTGTAATCAATTGCAAAGAAAACGAGGAATAACTAATTATGAAAAATTTTGAGCAGTTTTTGAAAAAACAGCCAGTTTTCTCCAACGCTGGTCGGCTGACCAGCGTTGGAAATTGATACAAAAATACCATTTTCTTGAAAATGTCAGCACACCAGGAGCCACGATTTTACAGGATACTTTAGACTGTTATTCCCTAACAATCCAGTAAGGTATTTTGTGATAATTTGATCATTTCGTTTTGTGATGTTTGCAAATGTTGTATCTTCCCTTTAAATTACTTGAACTTAAAAAAAAAATCAAGAAATGTTTTGAGATTGTCTTCAAAATTGTATTCTTGCATGATTGCATTTTATGAGAGAATTCTGTCACTATCAGTTTGACCTGGAAGTGGAATCGTCTGTAAAAAAAAAAAAAACCAAAAAGTGTCATTTTACAGGAATGAGTTGGTTAATACAAACTTTTTACGAAGTAAAAATAACTGACCATCATTTGTTTTTGAATATTTGAACAGGCTCCCAGACCCTCGACCGGCCCCCACAAGCTGCGGGAATGCATGCCCCTGATCGTCTTCTTGAGGAACCGTCTGAAGTACGCCCTGACCTATGACGAGACCAAGAAGGTGACCATGCAGAGACTGATCAAGGTGGACGGCAAGGTGCGAACCGACATCACCTACCCAGCTGGATACATGGGTCAGTATCTTACACAGGGCTGTAAAAAAGTCCTGCAGTCTCAGAGCAAGTTATAGTTCTTCCCCTGTTACTGTGTAGTGGTGAGCATGTACAGGGTAGTATGGGAACTGGGGAACCCTGTTGAAGTAAAACACGGGTACCCGTAAAAGAAACCCAACCCCAAAAGTCAAATCCCAGAAGTTGTCTGAAAGGCTTTAAAGCTTTACGGTGTAAACTGAAAGTTGCGCGAACGTCATGTTGCACGTTAAAACCCTAATCCCCTAAGGGTTCCTCAGGACTTTTTTGCTAAATCCATCAGAGTCCAACGGTTACTTCCTGCTCAATCCAACAGAATCCAACAGAATCCAACTGTGCCTAAATTTGAGTTGCCTGCTGGATCCAACAGAGTTCAATTCGGCGTTATTTATCAGTACCCAACAGAATCCGACTCTGAATATATACATGTACATTTGTACAAGGGGTTTACTGCTCAATTCAACAAGCTCCAACGGGTTTATGATATAGTTGGATCCTGTTGGATTCAGCAGGATTAGGGTTTTACAAAAGCTGTTTTTTTTATGTGACTCACTGGCCTCTATCGAAGACTCATCAGTCATTTTTTCCCATTGGCTCCTGAGATCAAAAAGAGGCCGACATCAAATCTTTCTCTTAAGGTCGCTGGACAGGATTTCTTCACCCGGTTCCAGCATTACCCAGTGAAAGAACAAACAACACAATTATAATCAGGGTTATGTCTACACATGTTTTGATTTGAATTTTTTTTTTTAAAGTAAGGTATGACTTCTGCAAAATTTGCCTCACTCCTTAAAGTTAACTTAAGCCCTGTCCGCACTGGACATTTTTGGGTAAAACTTACCGCGACTATGGGTACATTTCCCATTCTCAGTCCAGTGCGGACAGCCTAGGACGTTTTCCTCTCAGTTGATTTTCCTGAGTCCAGCCAACTGATGCCCAGAAAAACTGACCAGGCGCCCAGGAAAACTGACCGGGTCACTTTTCCCGAGACGATAAGTCCAGTGCAGACAGTGCGAGTCAGTAATAGCGGCTCAGGAAAGCGTACATCCGGCCCGAGCGCGAGTATCATGCATACAGAGACCGCACGATCCCACACGTGATGTGGCCGAACATTTTGTGGAAACACGTACGCTGCGGTGTGTCAAGTCCGAGCGGTAAAATCTTGTTATAAATATATTTTAACGGAAAATACATTCACAGAAAAGATCAAGATCACGTTCTGGGAATTACTTTGCACTTGCAGTTATTCTTTTTCTCCACCGATGTTTGTTTGGTATTTTCTACGATCCAAATTCGTCCTGTTACGCCGTGTAGTCTGCATGGCACCGTACGTAGGCCGCAGTCACTGGTTCCGGTCTTACATCATAGCTTTGATTCTGTTAGCATGCGGTGGGAACCAGCGATTACCGATGGAACTGCTGCCACACGGAACATCGTAAAGTAGCATGGCTTCAATGTCGTCCATCACAAATGCGTCAGAAATATAGGCATTTCCGTCAAGATTTATCGTGTCAAGATGAAATAATATCATATGTAACGATTATATTGTGCATTTTAATGGCGTATGTAATATTATACTGTGAGTATCGGGGGCTGAAAAAATGTGATCGGCATTTTATTTCCTGTGTGAGTCATTATACTACTACAGCTCGGTCACTTCTACCGCGCGGTCTGGGTAGAATTTCCCGTGTCGAAAGTCCAAGTGCGGACAGTGGTCACATTTGACCATTTTTCCTGTTACCATCGTCTCGGCAAAACCTTTAAAAAAAAAGAGTCCAGTGCGGACACGGCTAAAGAGTTGTTTTACCAAAGAAAGTGATGAATTTTTTGTTGGTCATTGTTGTAGATGTGATCTCTATTGAGAAGACTGACGAGAACTTCCGTCTGATCTACGACATCAAGGGACGCTTTGCTGTTCACCGCATTGGCAGTGATGAAGCCAAGGTAATTTATAATCAACTCTTCTATGTTTCTCTTATTTTTTTCAGATATTTGAGTTGGTAATTTGGAAATTGTCTTTGAAGTTTGGAATATTTAATCAATTGAATCTTCACATTAGGAGGCAATATCCTTCTTCCTTTGTCTTTTCACATTCAGTTAATAAAAAACAAAAAAGTTTTAAGGACGTTTATTTTTTAGGACAATGGCCGCCACGGCCTCTGTGACATCAAATTCAAGGTTTGTATGTTGAAAATCTTATTTTTATTTCATCAACTCCCATGCTGTATGGGACAGTGTTTCCCCTGCCCATTCAAACGTGAGGTGGCCCACCTCGCTACTTTCAGTGACCACCTTGCTCAATTTTTGCCAATATCACCACCTCGCTGTGAAGATTGGCAAAAAAGGAAATATCAATTGAAAAAATTTTCATTTTGTGTAGTATATGAGCATTTTCCTTTACCTCCATGTATCAAGAACTCACAATTTTGATGTGTTTTTGGAATCATCGCGCATTTTTGTGAGCGCTGCATTCTTTTCAGTTTGCAGACTGCGTAAATTTCGTTTCAATCATCAACTTGAATTGTTACCACCTCGCTCAGTTCATTAGCCAGGGGAAACACTGATATGGGAGATGCATGAACTTGTTGTGCATGATAAATCAGTTACTGTGATTACAGAATCTATGCCGCATCTGAACATTTTGTCTTAGCGGCGTTGTCTAGGTCTTTGTTAATCACAAATGTGTTGGAACACGCTGACAATAAACATATCTATGCCTCTGGACACCCATTTTTGACAAGTCTTAAAATTTTTATATTCGAAATTAGTGTAATTTGATGTTAATTTTAGGGGACGATAACTTTTTAGCATTTATACCTCTGCCATTTTTAATATATGCTTTTTTTGTTAACACATTTTTATAGATTTTTATAGATTTATATATATTCTTTGTGTAGCCAGAGGTATTGGAATTGAAGGCCTTCGGGCCACAGTTTTTAGGTAAACTTTTTTAATTCCGGGCATATGCCCCTGGCTTTCGTCATGTTCGTTTTTGTTTTCTTGGTTTTTGGTTTTCTCTATATGTGAATGTTTGTTGTTTGTGTTTTTAATGCCGAATAAATAATAATAATAATAATAATAATAATTTTAATTGGATCGTAACTGACTCTGCTTCCAGTACAAGCTGTGCAAGGTGCGCAAGGTCTGGACTGGTCCCAAGGGTATCCCCTACCTCAGCACCCACGATGCACGCACCATCCGGTACCCAGACCCCCTCGTCAACGTCAACGACTCTGTCAAGGTGGACATTGCCACGGGACGCATCACAGACTACATCAAGTTTGACAGTGGTAAGCTTCTGAAACTGTAATGACCCTTCAAAAAGTGTATGTTTAACAATTAGATCACAACTTTTGGTTAGGTGACCACGATAGCTCACAGGCTTTCAAGTTTTACTAATTTTCCTACTTTGTCCTAGTTTAAAGTCTAAATTCCTTATTGAAGCGCCTTGCGGCACCCAGAAATCTGGTTTTTACTCACTGGTCTCTATCGAAGACTCATCAGTCATTTTTCCCCATTGGCTCCTGAGATCAAAAAGAGGCCGACATCAAATCTTTCTTTATGGTCGCTGGACAGGATTTTTTCACCCGGTTCCAGCATTACCCAAGGAAAGAACAAACAGCACATAATAATCAGGGTTATGCCTGCAAGATTTAGTTTATTTGTTTAGTTTGTGTGTGTGTTTGTTTTAAATAAGGTTTCCCATTTGCCAAGTTTGTTCTTAATCGCCGACAAATATGCCGTATCACAGACACCTACCACAGACTACTATCCTGGAACCAGATTTGAAACACACGATTATCCAATTCTTTGTTTCAACATCGGCTTCGGGCGATTTCTTAAGCCCTCGATGGCAATCCGGCTAAATGGATGTCCTACTTTCAAAAAATAATTAGATGTATTTCTGTGTAAACAGAAACAGTTTTGCATGTTGCAATTTGGTTTTGACGTCGTCAGCGTAAAAATTATTTCAGAGCAGAAGCCAATCCAGAGATAATACCAAATTTTCACTTCTTGTTAACTGTTACGTAGATCTTTGGTAGAAAAGTCCAGCAGAAGCTGTCTATTAGGTACCATGCAGCATATTTAAAGTCTTTTGGTCTTCATAACAACTTGGTGCCTTGTGTTCCTGCTTCCATTCTGTAATTTACTAGATAGTGTTCAAATATCACTGACTAGAATTGACTGGAGTCATTTCCTTAAAATGACTTGACTCGAGTCACAAAATTCAGTGACTCGTTCCAATTCGGTCATTTTTAAGAAAGAAGTGTGACAAAAAGTTGCTTTCGGTTACCTACTTTTCTGTTGATCAAATATATAAGGTATGATTTGCATTGAAATATTTGAGAATTATATTAAAATCATGAATGCTTATTTCTTGATTGTCAGGCAATCTGTGCATGATCACTGGGGGTCGTAACTTGGGACGTGTTGGGCTTGTCATGCACCGTGAGCGTCATCCGGGATCCTTCGACATCGTTCACGTTAAGGACTCTGCTGGTAAGACTTACCTTCATGAAATATCAGCTGAAGTCAAATGTTGATTGTTTGCATATATTTATATGTATTCATAGGAAAATCTTGCAGCATATATAGCCTAGTTGACCACCTTGTGCTGAAAATGTACAGCCCCCTATAGTTGCATAACTGTACATATCTAAATGTAGATAAAACTAAGATATTGCTTGGGCATGTAGTGGCTAATCCATCAAATTAGAATAATTGAGAATAGTCATTGTAGACTTTTTGATCCAGGTTGTCCACTCTAGGAATTTCGGGGTGGCTTCTTACCATTAACCCTAACCTCCCTAACTCTATCAAAATCCGTCCCCCATTTTGGTGGATTTTGGGGGACTTGGTCCTGCAGGCCTGGTTTGACTAAATATTGGAGTGCTGGAGGCTTAAAGCAAAGCATGCATTGGAAGCAGTGTGATTGATGGATTTTGGCGGACTTGGTCCAGTACTTAGTAAAAGACAGTAGGAAGTTATGGTTAATGGGACACGACAAAGCACTCGCCTTCAGTGGCCAGTTCAGAGCTTTACAAAATGCATGTGCGATGGGCTCTCTGGCATAGAAGAGTCCCAGTAATGATTACTAATAGTGTCGCCGTAATGGCAAAATCATAATAGTGTATAACTTTGGTCACTCTTCACTAATTTGATATTTTTTTTTTTTTCAATCCATTTCAGGCCACTCATTTGCCACCCGTCTGTCCAATGTGTTCATCATCGGCAAGGGCAACAAGTCGCTGGTGTCGCTGCCCAAGGGCAAGGGAATCCGCCTCACTATCGCCGAGGAACGCGACAAGAGAATCGCACAGCGCAACTAGGTTCACAAAACACCGGAATGAAAAACTCCGAGAATTTCTCGCAGTGCACAACCCCGCCACTGATCTTAATGCCATTCCAAAGAAGTCTTTAGCAGAAAAAAAGCGAAAAGTTATTGCAGTATCGGGGTTTAAACGTTTAGGAAGATTACAAAATTCTCTAAATCACTTCTTTGGGTTGGGGTTATTTTCTGTTGAGTAATTGGATCAGTCCCTTTGAATTCCATACAAGTGTTTCTGGGAATCAGCCCAAAAAAATTTGAATTTTTGAAAAGAAAATGGATCCTCCAACGAGTGTAAACATTAAAGCTATTACAGTTATATGAAACAACTGAAATGGATGTCGTGTTTGTGATTTCATTTTGTGTGGTTCATGCACCCCTCGTACTAGCACCTGGCGCTGTACTGATACCAGAAATACGTTGATAAACATTGTACTCCATAACAAATGTTCGACTTGACAAACTATTCCCTTATTTACAATGTGCTTTTATTTCATCTCGATGATGGCATTCCTGTCCTGCAACAACACTACATGTATGTGTAAATGTTTTGTACTATTGCTGAACAGTGTGAAAAAGACGGTGTTCTAGTCGTAGTTGAAGGGTTTAAAAAAAACTACAATTTGAAGACGGGGTCCCGGATGGGGCACCATGTTACCACCTTCCCTCTGGACATCTTAAACGGATTTTGGAAATCTGGCAAAAATATAGTCTATGGAATATCCACAGCAAGGGTCTATGATATGCAAGTAGATTCAGCGATTTATTATGCAAAACAAGACTGCGTCTTGACCTTGAGACTCTGACCACTCGGTGAGTGCCTTCTATCGGGTCTTTGGTAGTCTGTTGTATTACAAAAACCAGGTAGTCGAATTGACCAATCAACAGCTTGGTCCATGTTTCTGATTGAAATGACGGCACAATTTCTAAAGTCGACTCCGATTGACTGACACACGGGGTTGCATAATATCTGCCTTGCTCACATACGACTGTATCAGGCGACGATTAACAGAGGAGAGGGTTCTGTTGAACAACGGTGATACTCGTACTAGCAAAACTGCAGGATCAAGTTAACAGGCATGCAACTTTTCCTCGGATCAGCTGATTTCCTCTTTTTTTACTTCCCATGTGTGCCATTGAAAATAGAAAAACACTGTACAAAGTCTGGGGAAAATGTGAATTTCCTCTTTTTTTGTGATTTCCCAGTTGCATGCCTGAGTTAATAATGCATGTACATGTACTCATAATTTGCCATGTGGAACTGGATGCTGATGGATATTTGTGCAGTATAACTGAAGTCCACACTAAAATTTAATGCCAATTTCAGTGAAGCACACAAGTGATATTCTAACTACTCCCAGTTCAAAAAGGAAAAAAGAATCTGCAACCATGGGCATGGAATTCATGATCTAGGCTGCATGTAAACCTTTTGATGCTTGGTAGTAGTTGCAATAATATGGCTGTCGCTTGTCCACAAATGTTATTTAGCATTTTCTGGGTCTGCTTCAATCTGTTCCAAAGTATTTTTGTCCAAAGTGGTTTGGCGTGACTGGATGCACCTCCGACGTGAGTATTTTGATTCCTGAGTATTTGTTGATAACTGAACGAACACCTGACAAAAAATTAACAAATGATTACACATCAAAATGGTTTCTACCAAAGTATTCAAAGTAAATTCAAAATAAAATTAAGGAACAGTCCCTTATCATCACTTCTGGTGTGTTCCCAGTGAAATTAGGTCTTTTTTAATAAGGTAAACTGCACAGAAAAAAAAAATAAGCCCTGGGCCTTGTTAGGATTATGTTCAGCAGAAGAATAAGGACTACAGACAGCAATGAATCTGTCCAATCTACTGGCTTTTTCTTCAGAGTTTTCTAGCAACCAAGAAGCACCAGGATTTACACCTAAGTGACTCCAAATTTTGCACTGGGGGAAAAAATTATATCATTGACAAACATACCATTTGGCGTGCAGAAAATGGTGAGCAGCACAATCATGTTTTCTTTGACTCCATGCTCAGCGAGGACACGCACAGCTTGGATAACTGTATTCCCTGAACCTGAAACAGGAAGTAACAGAATGCTCATCATCTCTCTTTACAACTTATCAACATTTCTTATTCTTGATGATATTTGCATTTGTTGTTGGTCTTCCGAATGCTTTTCAAATCCTTGATCTTCGGGTGCAAATTCTTGACTACAATTTTTTTTAAAGGGAATATACATCATTTGCTTTTGCTGTAATTTTCAGAAATGGATGGAATTGGGGGATTGGAAATATAAAGCAAATATAGTTACACTGACTTTTTGGAGGTTTTGGGTTCGAAAATGCTATAAAAACCAAGAAAAGCGATCATTTACCTGTAGTCTGGTTCCTGACTCCATATAAGAAGAAACAGAGCAGTTTACATACATTGGGGAATTGTAAGGTCAGGGAACCAGTCTAGCTGGCTCGTACCCGTTCATAGGTTTGTAATCGATTGCAAACAAGTGCAATAGTCAATTGGGGCCAGTATTTGAAAAAAAGCCAGTTGTTTCCAACGCTGATCGGCCGATCAGCGTTGGAAATTGATACAAAAATACCACTTTTCTTGAAAATGACAGTATACCAGGTGCCATAATTTTACAGGATGCTTTAGACTGTCATTTACCAACGTCCTATTAAGGTATTTCGCAAAAACTTGGTAGTTTTATTTTTCGATGTTTGCAAATGTTGTATATTCCCTTTAAGAGTTTAGCTATTTAGGATGACATAATTGTCTAAATTGGAAGACAATTGGAACATGTTAGGATAGTTCAGCTGAATTTCCCAAAATTCTTGTGAAATTGTCATGAATATTGTTGAGGGAGGTTAGGGTGGGGCTGGATGGAATTAGTGGAGAAAAGAACATCTGTTTCAGCTCCCTCTATTACAGCTGTTTGTAGGTGTACTTGTACATGTATTTAAATAATTTATTATTATTTAAATCATGGCAAGAAAGTTCTCTAATCACACAGTTTAATACGTACTTAATATGGGGTACATGAGAAGTACCCTTCTCTTGTGAATGTCGGGAGGGAACTTAGCATAGAAGACTTTGGCCTCGTTAGTGTCATCGTCACTCCGGATGAGGATCTTGCCAATGCGAATGGAACGACAGCAATCACGCAAACCATGTTCCATTGCTTCACCTGACAGATGAAAGGAATTGAAAATACGTAGATAAATGATACTTGCAAATACATTGTATAATCAACAAAAGTGGCACTAAAAATACCAAACTGGTGCAATGGTGAGACTTGGTAAAATTGGTACTTTTATCTGATGTTCTATGAGAACTTGGTACATGGTAAACAAACTTTCTAAATTCTCCCCAAGGAACATTAATAAGGAGTCGAAAGGAAATTGAAGCTCTCAGAATTCAAATTTGCACAATAGCGAAACTAGGCAAATTGGGAATTGCTTTTAGTTGTTGTTCTTTGCATAAGGTGACGTTTCTGGGGGTTGATCGTTTTATTCGAGTAATTGTATCTCATTACATAAATTCTACAAGAACATTTCTCCTCGTTTAAAGAGGTTTGTCCCAATGATAAACTTCTCTCCAGCAAAAAAATCGTTTAACAGGTTTGTCCCAATGATAAACTTCTCTCCAGCAAAAAAAATTGTAAAAAAAAAAATCGGACTTCTTTGAGAACATCATGTGTTGATTCTGTTGAAAATTTCAAATGACAGTCGTCTGGAATCTGGATGTACCACTTCTCATGATGCTGACACCACAGTTTCCGTGCTCGAACTGTACTCCATCATACTTGCAACCAGTCGGTGTGGTCACCACTGCATTGGTGTATGGGAGTTGGTTCAAACCCTCCTCAACTACCAGCCGGATCTGGAAAAATACAAAGTGGGAGTTAACACTATAACAGTAATCAAGACAAAATTATGGAATATCACAATGAAAGGTAGTAAGTTTATGAACTGATCTCACTTACCAATCTGTCCGCATAGAATACAAAATCTCCTCTTGATGTTGCCCTGAAAGAAAGAAGACGTGCATCTAATAATAGTTGCAAGTAAAGTCACTTAATAATTATACGTACTGATGAAAAGATGATGTTTCGATGATAAGCCAGCTACTTTTACATTTTGAAAAATATCAGTAGGGCCTACAATGTATATGGCGTTAAAATTCAGGGAAAGAATTCTATACATGGACATCACTAATCTTTCCATGCAGTGAAGTATTAGCCATCAGAAAGTGATAACATAATCCTAAAACTAAAAGTCAAATTTAGCAGGGAAAATGTTAAAGCTTTTACCATGTTTACTGAGAAAACACTTAGAATTTTTCAGACCAGACTCATAAGGTTTGCGCATAGGGTGTCAAGTGATATCCAGGTATGGAACTCTTTATCATATAGCGTAAACACCTTTACCAATGACAAACATTACTACACCAAGACGTTTTGCCAAGTAATAAGTATAATGCACCACAACATGTCAGTGCCGCACAAACGAAAAATATGGCAGCCTACTTATTTCTGATAATCGTCTGAAGTTCCCGTATCTGGTCATTTGCCTTGAGCAGTTTCAACTGAGGACCAAATTCATCCATTTCCACGCTGTTGGAGCCAAATTTCTTGACTTTGCCTGCTTCCCCCATCTTACACGTGTCGTCGTCTGCTCCCATTTGATTGCATTGGCGGCAGAATGACCTGCAACACCCCGATTTTAGTATCCTTGCACATGTGTAGGTTTACAAAATATAGGCCAATTATTTATTGATTAAAGCAGTTTATGGCATCAATTACTGCAGATAACATATTAAAATGTTGTATTAAACTATTAAACGTAAATTTGGCTACTAGCATTTGCCAAAATTGGAATAAACTTAGAATTATTTTTATAGGAATCCATCCGCGGATATTTCCCATCATGCAGTGTCCAAGATGGCAGCGCTCTTGTCAGTTTCGAGATTAGAAACATCGTTCTTAAAAACCTCATTTGTACGAAATATTCAGTACTCTCTTACGACCAGAACGCGACAGAGCAACAATTCGTGTATATCTGTGAAAAGACTAATAAATTCAGGGAATAATCAGGTAATTATAAGCCTAAATGTGTTGATAACGTGCCGTAAAAAAGTGTACAATAGTCAATACGTACGCACATTGTCCTTGTCATTGACATTCGTAGGATGGAACGCCGTATTATCGCGGTACTTATCACGTTTCTCGTTCGGAATAGAGATTGCCCACTAACCTTCCAGAATTGTCCTGTCTTATGTGTAGTATAACTCTTCCTTTTTAAATTAATATAAAAAAATCCGACGGTGGTGTGGTTTATTCCGTGTACGATGCCTGTGAAAATAGACATGTGCGGCGTGTGCGAACGGAGGTGGACTCCCTATTATCGCGGTATGCGGGAAGTGGTTTTTATAATGATCCAAACTTTTTTGTTCATAGTTTATCTTTGACCAAAACACCCCCTGAATAAAGTTTGATATTTTCCCTGTAACGTTCAAGTTGATTAAAGACCAATTTTCTGCAGGATGATTTCTTAAGACCCTGCCCTTCCCCCGAAAGGAGAACACAAATCCCTGAGGCAAGTCTACTGATCGGCGATTGAGGGCGCCATTCACTTTACACGGTGTGCCGTTTTATTTTCGCTAACGCGCGCCTTATTTTGATCCCGTAAAAGTTGTTACGATTTCGCGCTGCCAATATCGTCGTGCGACTTCATTTTACATTTGCAGCTGAAGAATGGGAACCAGACAATGGAACTTAAATGGTCAGAGCGCAATTAAAGATTTATGTTAAAATATAAACGGTACCTTTTAGCAGACACGGTGAGGGAAAATTTTGCAAGTTTTGGAAAACGTTAATATTTATTAAAATCGTTAAAAGTCCCGAAAGACACAACATTTTTTAATCGTCCTTTTTATACAACTCGGTAGAAAATCCTCGATGACTGGTGAACTGGATAAAAATCGCCACTTGAAGGAGTTTTGACACTGTAAAAAGAGAAATTTCCCATGCCGCGATAATAGGGATGCCGCGATAATAGGGAGTCCGACTATACGTGCACAAAATGACAATCATGACAATGCAGAAGCTGGCACTTTTTCTGCTGCTTTCTTCTGACAGCACTGACCAACATGTACGAACAAAAATATTTATGGATAAGTTGTTGCTATAAGTAAACTAAAACTAGTCTATGGTTTCGAACTTGGTTGTCCAATCTTCCAAATAATAAATATTGTTTTGTGTCTCACTCACTCCACCCCTCCCCCTCCCAATTCTGCCCCGCCCCTTTTCATGATTTGGTCTTTAACTTTAAGCCTGACCCAGGGAAACTATATATTAAATATGGTTATGGGCCTAATCAGATGCCATTTTGACTGTGTAGGCTACACAATTGTGGTGGATTGTGGAACAGTGTTTTTTTTTGACAACGAAGTGGCTATAAAATGTATTTCCACGGAAGCCGTAATTCCATAAATCACTAAATGCGTTTTTCAATGGCTATAGTTGTGGAATTGCAACATTCCAAATATGAGTTTTTAAATTCCTACAGCGATTGAAGCGCTGTAGCTCAACAGGCTAAATGTTTGTTTTGAATGCCAAAGCTGTGCTAAGTACAAATCCCTGAGACTACTCCTAGAACTTGCACTTGTACGCATGCGCATACTATCATTTTCGCTTGTACCGTACCCCCCGCGGCGCGCTCTGAGCGAACCGAAAATCATCGCTCGATCATATGCGTGCACGTTTCAAGTGTCAGGTTGGCTCAGTGCGGAAAGGGCATATTTTTCATCATTTTGGCCAAAAACAGACAAAATCCAGCGATGTTGGTTCTGCACATATTACGTGAGTATGTCATGAGGTATAGTACGGAGTTTAGGGGCAAACTGTGCAGCGGTTCTGTGGGAAATGTCTGCATTTTGATGGATGTTTTTGTACTTAATTAGTGTTTTGTGCTGCAAACAATTTTGCGGGGTTCTTAATCTATGAGGCTCCACTACGTGGAGCCTCATAGTTCTAGGAGTACCCTGAGACAATTGTTTTTTATTTCCCAACATATGTATTTCCTTACTTTTTATTGAATTAGAACTTGTTCTTCTTTCTGACTTACGGCTACTTAAGTCCGAGAACCATTTTGTTGACAACTGACGCATGTGTGCGACGGTCCACTTCTGTAAAAATGCAATTCAGCATTTGGACAAAGTGTTTAAGTCTCTAAGACTTTTTTTCGTGGGGGAGGGGGTGAAACTACTGACTGCCATTAAAGGATGTGCTGTATTCTTTCACGCCCCTGGTTGGAACGTTGGTCCTTATTTAGGCCAAAAAAAAGAATAGTTCTGCTTCCAAAAAAAAAAAAAAAAAAAAAAAAATTGAATAAATACAAATAAAATCTGTCTTTTCCTGTCTTCACAAAATACCTCTCAACAACCCTTTTGCATCCAAAAATGCTTGTATTTATTTGTTTTCTTACTTACATTCGCTTTTTTTTCACAGAAACCTCCGTTATTACAAATTCGCTTCGCGATATAACTACTTCGCAATTCGATGTCACGCACGGTGACTATAATCACGTGGCGACGACTGGTTCCCGCCGCGCCGCGCAGGGGCCAATTTAGAAGACATAATGAAAATGCGGTAACCAGTCCATAGCTAGCTATGTGACCGATAGCGCGCTATCAGTACACTGCAGGCCACTGTCAACTGGTCGGATTCGACATCGTAAAAATGCCAAGAAAACACCGATGGAGAAAAAACATTTTTGCAAGTTAATTTACAGAATTGATCTAGCTTGTCTGTGTATGTATTTTTTGTGTTCAGGAGTTCATTTTGAGATCACACTACTCGTATTTGGAGTGATACATGCCACGTGTTTCCCGAAATTATTGACGGTAAAAACAGCTCTGATGGCCCATGGTGGGCCGCTCGCCACACACGCACGCATTAAGCTTAGCACGCATTACACACCTCGGAGTTTTGGCCAGCTCCCCGCGTCTTGACTAGCGTTGTGCATATGGTGCGAACGGCCTGAATTTTCCATTATTTTTTGAAATTATCGAACGTAAATATATTGACAATAATTAAAGGTAGGTTTTACTCACTTTTTGTTGCCATTTCGTGTATAGCTTTCGTAGTGCAATAGAAATAGTTCAGGCTAAAACTTCGCATATAATTGAATACCCCATTCAATCTGCATAAAAAAAATTGGCAAAAAAAAATAAATTTCCGACCGACCGACCCTATTTTTGAAAGGCATGTAATCGGAAGCAGAACTATTTTTTTTTTTGGCCTTATTGTTCAATGTGACTATTAACTAATTACTGGTGCATCTGTGAAGTCTAAAGTCCATTGCTTTGGAATTAATAATGTTTAAGACAGTGTTCAGTTAAATTTCACAGTTATATGTAGTTCTGTCCTGTTTGTCTTTTGCAGAAAAGTTTACCGTTTCTCTTCAATAAGGTGAAATCTCCAAATTCCAGAGTGTGTTTGTCAAGCAGACAGTATGGACTGCTGCAACAGAAACAGGTATTTTGTTTTTGTGTGCTAAACTTCTGATGTAATGCTTAACCCTAACCCCCTAGGCCCTTGTTGCTTACAACCATCCTCAATCCTCCAAAATCCTCCAAAATTTTCCAAAATTTTGCAGTTCCGCCTAAATTTTTCAAAATTGTCAGACAGTCCTGCCTCAAAATGCATTCATCCTCAATCCTCCAAAATCCTCCTCATCCCAAAACTTTGCACTCGTGTTTAAATGAAGGATAACCAACGCCAAATCCTTCAAAATCATCAGACAGTCCTGCCTCAAAATGCATTCATCCTCAATCCTCCAAAATCCTCTTGTGCTTCAATCACCATTCATCCTCAATCCTCCAAAATCCTCATGTGCTTCAATCACCATTCATCCTCAATCCTCCAGAATCCTCATTTGATTCAATCACCATTCATCCTCAATCCTCTAGAATCCTCCAAAACTTTAGGAGGATTTTGGAGGAGTGAGGTGGGTTAGGGTTAAGGGTCAGTCGGTGCATTCTGTTGTCAGATGATGTTTGTTCTAATCCACTTCGTCTGGAGCTCACCTCACAAATTATTAAATTTTCCACTAGGCTCCAGTGGGTGTTCTGGCACAAAACTTTTTTTTTTGTGGAAATTAAAGACTTTGACATGCTTTGTGTCCGTACTTGAAATAATCCAAACCAATGTCTTATTGAAATTTAATACTTCCTTTTCAATGACTGACTAATTAAAGTTCAAGAAGATAAAACTCCAGTTTGTATCCTGAAATGAAACTTGTTTCATGTGGCAACTTTCTAGCTTAAATTATTATTTGGTCCACATTTTTGTTTTATAGCACTGGGTCAACCCTGTGGTCACGGCGTCCACAGTGCGCAAGGACAGACTGCACGCCCTCAGCACGGGCGTGCCGGCCAAGACAGGTGTGGCCAATCAGGTGACAGGGTGGGAGATTATCCGAGAGATGATGTCCTATATATGGCCCCGGGACGAAAGAGGGATCAAGATTAGAGTGCTGACTGCCCTCGGTCTTTTGATTGGGGCCAAGGTAATGATCGTGTCAAAGTTCAAATTCGTTAAGGTCACCAGTTTTATTTACTTATGGGGTTTATGAAATCTTGGGGAAGTGTGGCCTAGTGGGGGAGTGTGGCCTTGTGGGTAGGGTTCATGACTCATGATCAGAGGGTCAGGGTTCGAATCTAGCCGCTGGCCATATGTTGTGTCCTTGGGCAAGCTACTTTATCCCCCACTTGCCTCTCTCCATTCAGGAATATAAATGGGTACCAGCATTAGCTAGGGAGTAACCTGTGATGGACTAGCATCCCATCCAGTTTGAATAGAAATATTCTCAGTTGTGTCATGCTACTAAAAATGCGGCTTGATGGGCCATATTGGCTCATGACAGACTTTACTTTTACTTAATGAAATCTCAGCTTTGCTCCAGTAGTGTGGCGTTAGGCTTCAGCCTCATGGTTTTTGTCCCCTAAAATGGACCTGAACTGTAGTCCGTCAAATCAGGCCCCAAGTCGACCCCAGTGTTTGTCCATACATGTAGAGACACCAAATTCTGTGTATTTTCATCAGGTGTGAACGTAGCAGGATCCTCATGAATCTTGAGCTGGGGATGGAGATGATGCCAGGGTTTCGTAAACCGCTTTTTAAAAAAACCAACATGTTCACACATTTGCTGATTATGATTGCAGGTCACCAACGTGTACGTGCCGTTTCTCTTCAAATATGCCGTGGACAATTTGAATGACCACCAGGCAGCAGCAGACACTATGGCATCTGGAGGCCAGGCTGTGACAGTGGCCACAGCTCTGCTTATTGGGTGTAAGTAGATACGAGACTGGCTCATCATTCATGCAATGCAAAGCAAATTTGATGCTTAGAAACATTCGCAACGACTTTTGCAACTGATGAAATGTGTCCAACTTTCATGAATTCTCACCATTTGAATACTGGAAATTTGTTTTAAGAAGACTATTAAGAAATTTGTGTCACGTTCTTTCTATGTATGAACTGACCATTACTTGCTTTAACCCTAACTCCGTAGGCATTTTTGCTAGGATGTAACCTCAATCCTGCAAAATCCTCCAACTGCCCCATGTAAAAATTACGTACATGTATAGCCTCAATCCTGCAAAAACCTCCGTTATTTCTTGAGTGTGGTACTTCGAGGAGTGGCCACTGCAAAATCCTTCGGCAGTCACTGTCAATATGTTGAGGCAGAGCCAGTGACATCCTAGAGCGGTATGGAGGATTTCAAGTATTATCAAGGCCTAAATTTATGCGCGGGTGAGCATAAACAACTCAAGGTCCGGCCCAAGACCTTGACACAGTGCGTCCTCCGAAATCAGCAACACACTTTTGCCATGGAGCCTCAATCCTGCAAATTCCTCCAATTTGCAAAGAGGATTTTGGAGGGTAAGGGTTAAGCCAGTGGTATTTTGGGGCAAGGCTATAAAAGAGTATTCTGTATTATTTGTTTGCCACTCTTGTCCATAGATGGAGCAGCCAGGGCCGGGTCCTCCCTCTTTAACGAGATGCGAAATGCTGTCTTCGCCAAAGTGGCCCAGAATTCCATCCGACGGGTGGCTAGGAATGTCTTCTACCATCTACACTCCTTGGACTTGAGCTTCCACCTCTCGCGTCAGACTGGAGGCCTGTCCAAAGCTATCGACAGAGGGAGCAGGTATAGAAATGCCAACAAAATTCTAAAAATCTTTGCCATTTTTGCTGGAAATGTTCTTGAATCCTACAAAATCCACTGATGAGTATGAACCAGTAGATTTCTTTGTACTTCAAGGGGTATTGAGCGCCATGGAAAGTAATACTGGGCAGTCCTTTCTTCAATCCTACAATATCCTACAATTTTGTTGTGTCCGTGCAACAAGGTCGTATCTCCTAACATGGGCCGTACGTGAAAACGCAAGTTTCAGAATGTCAAAAGGTGGTATCTCACTTAAAATAACCTGAATGTATAACAAAGTCAATGGACGTCGAGATCGCGCGAGATATGACTTTGTTGCAGAATGGAGTTATGACCTTGTTGCACTAATGCGACAACTTTGTGGATTTTGAAGGTTCTGTGAATGTAAGAATTAACATAACAGTGTTTTTCCCTACAGGATTGTAAATAGTTTATTCGGCTTGTTTACCTCTGTGTTTATGTGATCTTTTGTTGTGTTTTGTTCTGCAGAGGTATTAACTTTGTTCTGATGGCCTTGGTCTTCAACATTGCCCCAACAATATTTGAAGTTGGTCTGGTCACAGGAATTATGGTGAGATGAAACAATTTCTTCAACTTCAACATTATTTTTTTTTGAATTATATATTTCGCAGAGAATTTGTATAATTAGGTATTATTTGATGGGATTGAATCCTAGTGTCCGTAGTAAGGGTTTGTCACTTTTATTCACAGGGTAAGGGGTTCGAATCCAGATGGTGGCCATACGTTGTGTCCTTAGGCAAGCCACTTTACCCCCACTTGCCTCTCTCCACCCAGAACTGTAAACTGGTACTGAAACTAGATGAGTGAACTTCAATCAAACTGGCAACCCATTCAGGGGGAATAGAAATATTCAGAGTCACTTCATGATAAGAAAACAAGATAAAAGCCGGCCTGCTGATGATCCTCGTAGGCTCAAGACAGAAATTACTTAACGACTTGTATGTCCTTGCAGTACTTCAGTCTAGGAGCACCGTTTGCTGGTGTTACGCTAGCTTGCATCGCAGCCTATGCAGCCTTCACACTCAGCATCACGGCGTGGAGGACAAAGTTTAGGGTTCAGATGAATCAGGCAGACAATGAGGCTGGTAACCAAGCTATCGACTCACTCATCAACTATGAGACGGTCAAGGTAAGACTGGTACCCATATCATTTGCATATATCCCTCAGATAGACCGTATCTGAAATAGTCATTTTTATCTACGGCTATGGCTAGTGCTGTAGTTCGTCAATGACAAAAAGACTAATCGTAGCCACAAAACTTCCTGTACGGTCACAAGAGGTGACGTGAACAAAAAAATAGTTCCTTGACATTGTAACACACTCTGTAATAATCCAGTGACACAATTTTTTCATATGAATATTTTTTTCTTCATTGGGAAAAGTTGACTAGTTTTTTTTTTTTCCAATCTGTTTTGATTGATTTAGTCAATCTTGAGTTCTTCAACAAGCAGCCTGTGTTAAAGCTATAGTCCATCATTTGTAATTAGTGCATTTTTTTCGTTTGAAGCAACAAAAGTGTTCAAAATCTAATGAAGGATACTGAGCAACTAACCTGATGAAGTTTCAGCTAAGCTTCAGCTGTACATTCTGAGAAAAGCAGCATTCTAAAATCTCAATTTCAAATCAAAAGTTACTGAATCATGTTTTGAATTGTTTTGAATTGCAGCTATACACGGCGTCGCGCACTGATCCGACGAATTATAACAACCGCACGCGCGCATGCGTCGTTCCAATACTTGTGCGCGCTGCGCTGAATAACAAAACGAACTACTAATTTAAATTTTCCTACGGTGCTTCTTAAGAATCACCATTGGAAATGCCTTCTTTCGTTGATTACTTCAAAAATGACAGCTTCCCAGAAAGAATAATTTCACAGGGAGTTTAGTTCCCTTGCTATCTTTCAACCAAGTTTGTTTTTCAACAGTAAATACGCCAGTTACTTTTCGGATGGCTGCAAATGATGGACTATAGCTTTAAGTGAACGGGAGCCGCTCTGCAGAAATGAATTTGGCCTTCACTGACGAGCATCTTTCAAAGTTGTGAAGATTTTTGAAAGTAGAAGCTGTAAATAACCAAACTCCCAAATCTTTCTGATATGGTTGAGCTGAACTTCATTTTGTCTCAATATCTCCAGTACTTCAACAATGAAAAGTACGAGACAAAAAACTATGACAAGAGTCTTGCTGGATACGAGGTAGCGTCGCTGAAGACCACGACGAGTTTAGCACTGCTCAACTGGGGTCAGAATGCCATCTTCAGCGCGTCACTAGCTGCCATCATGGTCTTAGCTAGCAAAGGAATCATCGCAGGTATGGAGCCATTTTGATGACTCGCCCCTAGTAAGTTTGTGAGACTGTGAGAGAGAAAATAGCCAATCATTTCCACTTCTGGGTAATTTCAGCATTATGTAACGTCCGCGACGGCGCTTTTAAGAGCTCAGTAAATAAACCTGAAAATCTATTTTTCAAGTCTTACACACCCATCATCAAGTAATGGTCAAGGAAAATACAGAATAGGCGTTTTGGATTATTTCTCTGAATCGTTAATTAGATATGGTTAATTGGCTCTTGGTACTTGGTTGTTTTCCTCCAGAAAACTTCTAGGAGTGTCATAACAAGGAGTTATGACACGGACATTACACATCCTATCATGAGCTGGAATTGCCCATCTTTGTTTGCATCAACTTGCATGCAAAGTTTGCATCAACTTGAACTAAATCGAGTTTCACGTAAATCACAAGTTTACCCAGTCTCAAAGCAAAGGACAACATTTCAAAGAGAGAAGGGCATTCCTATGTCGATTTTCAGCCGCTGTTAATCGCCACCCTACAAAGATACGGCTTTTGATTTGACTTAAAATTTGACTTGTGACTTGACTTGACTACGGCTCTGCACCTCCATGGTACAAGTGAGTCCTATTTTGTAAAAGGAACCAAAAATCTTGAGTTTGGTGCAAAGCACATATATATATCACACCTCTGATTTTTTAGCTAGGTAACTCCAAGCATGATTGATCGTAACCTGCAGGTGTTGAACAAGTCTTAAGCACATCAGTTTCTTGTCAGAATGATCAAGTGTACAGGTTAACAGTTTTTCAGTTCTGGATTTTCTGGATTTGTGGAAAGATAATTTGTAAGGATCTTTGTTTTCTTTTTCATCTTTTTAGGTAACCTGACAGTAGGGGACCTGGTCATGGTGAACGGCCTCCTCTTTCAACTCTCCCTCCCCCTCAACTTCCTGGGCTCAGTCTACCGAGAGATCAGGCAGTCTCTCATAGACATGGGCACCATGTTTAGCATTCTCAAAGTGCAATCCTCAATCAAGGTAATGATAGAATTCACTTTGTTAAATAGGTAGGCATAGAGTTTGTAAACTTGAAAAAAACGCGGAACATCTCATCAGAAGCAGCACCTGTTTAATCCAGAACAAAAAGCAGTTTTAAATTTGAACAGGCTTGGAAGTGGAATGCATTTACGTTACGCTGAGGATTTTTAAGTCATTTCATAGCGCTGGAAACTGTTACAGGCAAGTTCAGAAGTAGGAAACAGTTTTTACATTTTTTTTTTGGGAGGTACGTTGGAAGTTTCCACATTAGGAATACTATATATCAGGAAACTTTAAGTTTCATTGTCAAGTATTTGGAAAACATACAGAAGGTTATCGGTTAGTGGTTCGAATCCCACCTGAGTGGGCCTTTTTCTCGTTGCTCAAAACAATTACTCTTCACCTTTTCTGCACTTGGCAAATAAATTTCCAGTCACATTTCAATTTTTGGTGAGAAATTTTCTTTCGTTCATCTTCTTCATGTTCCAGAGTAAACTGAATGCCCCAGCCCTTGATGTGTCGCCCCAGAACTGCTCCATCACATTTGAGGATGTCAGCTTTGCGTATGTGGAGGGGCAACAGATCTTCACGAACTTGTCTTTCACCATCCCAGCGGGGAAGAAAGTTGCTATCGTCGGCGGGAGCGGATCAGGGTGAGGCAGTGCATTGTGCCAGTGGAACATGTCAGTCACATGTCCATCATAAGTCAATCACAGGTCTATCACATGTCAGGCACATGTCCATCATAAGTCAGTCACAGGTCTATCACATGTCAGTCACATGTCCATCATAAGTCAGTCACAGGTCTGTCACATGTCCGTCACATGTCCATCATAAGTCAGTCACAGGTCTATCACATGTCAGTCACATGTCCATCATAAGTCAATCACAGGTCTATCACATGTCAGTCAAATGTCCATCATAAGTCAATCACAGGTCTGTCACATGTCAGTCACATGTCCATCATAAGTCAGTCACATGTCTATCACATGTCAGTCAAATGTCCATCATAAGTCAATCACAGGTCTATCACATGCCAGGCAAATGTCCATCATAAGTCAGTCACAGGTCTGTCACATGTCAGTCACAAGTTGGTGCCATCTAGTCTCATCTAACAAGCTATTCTAGTGGAACTGTGACAAGTACATTCCTTTGTTATTGGTCTTCCCCTTGTTACTCTGGGCTGCACTTGTGAATTGACTGGCGATTGACTTGTGATTGACATGTGATTTAACTTGTGATTGACTTGTAATTGAGTTGAGATTTTATTTGTGATTGACTTGTGATATAACTTGTGACTGACTTTGATTCCTTTGCAAAGGCCTTGTGATTCACTCGCAATAAACTTAATTTAATCTGTGATAACTGGGACATGAATTTGGACTGTATGAATACCATTAAAATTCTGCAACAACGCAGCTACCCTTAACTTTGGCGTCCTTCCGACAAATCAAGTACTTTAGTTTTGTTGGGCCAACTTTGTCTGTTTTCTTGTTCTTGCAGGAAGTCTACAATCATCAGAATGCTGTACAGATTCTATGACCCTGATTCGGGGCGCATTTTAATCAACGGCACCGATATCCGAGACGTTGACCTAGATAGCCTACGAAGGTCAATTGGTGTGGTACCACAGGTAAGTAGACCAGTGAGCTTATTTTGTTGCTCAATTTTTTTCTTTTTTAATAATTTAAAAATTCTTTTTATTTAATTGAAATGGGAGCAAAGAGGAATAGTGTCCGTGCACAAGTACCCCCTCAAGGGTAAGAAAGGGAGAGTTGGGGGAGACCACTGGGAGAGACTTTCAAACGCAATGCCGACGACACCAGACACTCGCGCAGAGATGCTATGGCTTTGTGCACATTCAAATAAGTTTACACGCGCATGAACCAATACGCACATGTGGCGTGTCACATCCAACACGATAAAAGCGCCCTCTGTTGTTTGCGCACCGAGCCCATAAACTTAACCAGCATTACTGAGGTGGTACCACACTACCTCGGAAATATCTCTTTCTTGATTTGTCTAATAAGGTTGTTAATTAGCCATGGGCAAAGTGTGCAGCGAAGCAATTGCAGCAAAGTGTCTATCTGAAGGACACACAAATTCCTAATGCTTCTGATTCCTGGAATCTGCATTCAATCAGCGTGCACATGCAATGTGTATATCACTGCCTTTTACAATTGGGGATCGGCTGTTCAGCTGCTACAAAGTTTTATGATACTGTTAAAAATTGGGTCAATAAAATTTGACTCAAAAGTTCCAAAATTGATTCTCAAATTGCCTTAGAATAGGGGAGGGGGCATGCCCCCTGACTCCCTATAGCAGGGGCAGGGGCACGCCTTCACTCATCGGCTGTTCAGCTGCTAAATTTTATGACACTGGCAAAATTGGGCAAATAAACTTTGACTCAAAGTTCCAAAATTGATTCTTAAATTGCCTTAGAATAGGGGAGAGGGCATGCCCCCGGACCCCTATAGCAAGGGCACGCCTTCACTCAAGTATCCCCCCCCCCTGAAAACTAGATCCGCCCCTGCATGGAATCTGTTGACAGTTCCACCTCATTTTAATCAACCTCATTTTAATGAACGTTTTTCTTTTTCTCAAAGGACTGTGTTCTCTTCCATAACACCATCTTCTACAATCTTCACTACGGGAACTTCAACGCCACGGCCGAGGAAGTGTTCCAGGCAGCCAAGATGGCCGACGTGGACGATAGCGTGAGGAGGATGCCGAAGGGCTACGACACCGAAGTAGGAGAACGGGGTCTGAAACTGTCTGGTTAGTATCGGTGTGAGAAGAAATTATTGCTCGGCAGATTTTTTGCTCAGCAAAAATGAGATGTGAACCAGTCACAGGTATGAAACATTGCAAGAAATGTTGGTTGGTAACCCATTTTTACTAAGCACATATTTGTTGGATTCAGCAAAGTTCAGTGCTAAGCAGCTTCTTAAAAATCGATCTCAGCTTTGCATAAATTTAAAGCTGTGTTACAGATCCAGTTTTTTTTGGTCATGAAGTATTTGTTTCCCAGTTGTTAAAGGTTTTACTTCCGTACAATTTTTACTTGCTTATCTCAAGAAATCTTTTTCATTTTTCCATTGAAGCCAACTTTTCTTAAAGCCATTTAATTTTGTTTGCTTTCGTCTGCATACTCTAGGTGGTGAGAAGCAGCGGGTTGCCATTGCGAGAACCATTCTTAAGAATCCCCCAATCATCCTGTATGATGAAGCCACATCATCTCTGGACTCTATAACAGAACAGGTATTGGGCAAGTCTCCCTTTGTTGTCTGTGATACTAGTACCCCTAACTCCCCGGACATCCTACAAACCGTCCCAAGTCCTCCAAATTCCACCACTGGGGGAAAGCCAGTGGCACAATCTTTGTAATTGAACTGTCAAGGGTCATCGGATCATATAAGCCGATTGTACCTTCCTCCTCCTTAAATCCTACTAAATCCTTTAAAAGCCCAATGGATTTTGAAAGATCTAGGAGAGTTAAGGTTAATAGCCAACTGAGTGAACTATAACAAACATTTTTTCGCTGGACCTGAATGACCAGCCTGTCGTCCTCTGACTGAGTTACTGAGTGACTAGGGGAGTGACTGAGTGACTGACTGATTGCCTGACTAACTGACTGACTGTATAAATGTTTTTAGCTGAGGCCTTCTAACAACACCTCAATTCAGCCAAACATTGATGCCCATTCTTCCTTTGACGTTCTTCCATTTCTCTTCACCACAGAACATTTTGAACTCAATGAAGAGCGTCACAACGGGCCGCACCTCCATCTTCATCGCCCACCGCCTGTCCACCGTCGTCGACGCCGACGAGATCCTCGTCATCAACGATGGGCGTGTGGTGGAGCGCGGCAACCACTACATGCTGCTAAGCAACCCGGACAGCATGTACTCCACGCTGTGGAAGAACCAGAACAGGGTGGCCCTGGAGGGGAACAGGAATGGGGCGGAGTTTCAGAGCAGCGGGGAGGAGGAGGATGAAGAATCATTACCGTGATTGGCTAGTTTATTTTTTTAAATGAAGGCAGTGAAGTCATTGTAACATACGTCGGCGAAGGGCAAAACCTAATATTGATTTACATCGCCTCGACGCAAACTCCATCTTATGAATAGTTTAATTGCGGTACCCGCTGCTACATGTACATCAGATTCAAACCGGCCAACTGATCCCGCAAGCTCGATGGTCGAGTGGTAAGACGTCTGCACTAGAAAGCAGGAGGTCGTAGGTTCGAGTCCCACCGAGTAATTTTTTCTAAACTTTCACTCGGGAGTTAACACACACGAGTATACAGTGTTTATATGCCGGTGAAGGGCAAATCCTAATATTGATTTACATCACCCCGACGCAAATTCCATTTTCGGAATAGTATTGATTCGTTGTAACTCGATTAAAATCTCATGTATCTGTTGTCAAATTGAAAGCACAAATTTCTCAAGGTGCAGTTTTGATAATTGTCTCTCAAGTAGCCTTTGCATTGGTGCGTTTTCAGTCCATTTTGTGTTTGTTGCGTACTCAAACCCGTTTTAAAGGAATGGTTTAACTTCGCATATTAAAGGACGCAATAATGACAGAAAATGTGTTTATGGAGAGGTGGCATTACAATTTTTAAATCTCCAACTTGGTCATTGTGAATTAAGAGCAACAGTTTATCATAGACGTAAAGGGCTTCCTTTTGTATACAAAAATCGCCCCAATCTACTCTAATCTATTCTTGGATGCCTCACATGCATTGAATAAGTCCCAACTTAGTGCACTTGGTATTTTCTGGTATAAAAAGGCATTGTTTTTCAGGTATTCAGCGTAGAAACATCTCATTTTATCAACAACAAAAAAATAGGACAGATATGAACGAGCAGTTTCACTGTCTCGTTTGTAATGTCAACTTGGAATCAGGAATTTTTAGCACCGGTGTAGTGTGTACAGTTTTGCTTTAAAAAAATACCAGGAAAAATAAAATTGGAAGTCATTGGCACAAAGGTGTTTTATTTTATCATCAGTCTGGATTTTAGGATTTTTTTTTACTGGCACTTGTCTGACAAACAAGCTTGAAATGTAAATAAAATTCTGTTGTATATGAACTTTATTAATTATGAGATTATTTATCTTGTAGTTAAAGGGAATATACAACATTTGCAAACATCGAAAAATAAAACTACCAAGTTTTTAAGAAATACCTTACTAGGATGTTGGTAAATGACAGTCTAAAGCATCCTGTAAAATTATGGCACCTGGTGTGAAGTCATTTTCAAGAAATGGTGTTTTTGTATACATTTCCAACGGTGGTCGGCCGACCACCGTTGGAAAAACCTCACTATATTTCAACTACTTCTCCAAATTTACCTTTTTTCAGTCCAAATTTTGTTTGGTATTGGTTACATGTTCATGAACGGGTGCAGGCCAGCTAGACTGGTTCCCTTACCTTACAATTTTCTGGCAACTATAAATTGATCCATATCATCTTTAGTGGAGTCAGGGAACCAGACTTCTTGAACAATTTTGTTTTTCTTGGTTTTTCCAGCATTTTCGAACATAAAACTTCAAACATGTCAGTGTAACAATATTTGATATATTATACTAACCCCTCAAATACTCCATTTCTGAAAATTACAGCAAAAGCCAATGATGTACATTCCCTTTAATACGACTATATGTGCTTGTAAATTATGTTCGAGAAAGTTTATATTGGTTTAGAATGATAAAAGTACTTTAGCTTTGAGTGCTGACTTCAAATTGTAAGCAATGATTTGGGGCTTTTATTGTTTTTAAAATCTTTATTTTGGTGTAAAATTTTCTGAGTATCAAGTCTTGTATGTGTTTTTCTTTTCTGTTTGCCCATTTTCACAATAAGCAAGCATGTGAAGAAATATGTATCTAATTGTACACATAAATGTGTATAAAGTCACTGTGTATGCAATGAAAATGTTTTAGGCTGAAGAATGTGCTTCAGTGTCAGTATACACAACACAATACAGGGGTAACATTTTAATAAGGAAATCAATTTGTGCTTGGTCGGTATTAAACACTATGTTTAAGACTGGTTGGAGTCTGGACTCCAACCAGTCTTAAACATAGTGTTTAATACCGACCAAGCACATATTCCCATTCATTATTCCCTTTTCGGTCAAAAAAACCCCAAAACATTTCAGTCAAAAAGTCAAGACAAGTGAGGTTCGAACCTATGTACCATGGCACATGAGTCAAACACCATGACCATATGCATTCTTGCAGCTACTGCCATTTTTCATATATATATATTTTGGATGGGGAAAGTTCTTTGGGGGGGGGGGGGAATATTGCTGAAGTTTGATGTTTCGAATGGGATTTACTTTATTTTTATCGAGGTCCCAGGCATTTAGTAATTTATTTTCCTGCATCAGAATCTACACAAGTGGTGCATTAAGCACTAGAAATTTAACTATGTGCATTTATTAATACCCGGGTGAAAAATAAAGAGATACTATTTTTGGTAATCAGAAAATTTTGATTCTTGTCCTTAATATTCCTCTTTTTTTTCGTATAAAAATGTTTTCCGTGGGTTATCACAAAGTTGAGAGACAGGAAGCCCGTTGAGCAAGTAAAAATGAAATAATTAGTATATTCCATGATTTCAGAGGCCTGTGGGCGAATTAGGTGTACAACCATGGAGGAAAGAACACACGTTCAGCAGCACGTGATTGTTTCTATATCCCGTGGTTTTTATAACCGTGGCACCCCCGTTAAAATTTGGTGGCGAGTGTGGTACCCAGACCATTCAGCTGATTTGAAAGACGCTAGCGGGTGACAGACTATTTGGTTGTTGGGCGAAGGTTGGTGCAGGAGGTGCGGTGTGACGCGCGGCCGCGGATGGGCAAAAGTTTGTGAGTTTGCGTGACGTTTGTTAGGAAACTGATGCCAGTTTTAATATTTTAAGTGAAGAAATGTATTGATGCTAAAATATGCGTATTAAGTTTTCACCAATGCATTAGAACTATGCCCTGTTATTCTCAAAATAAGAACCACTAAAATTACATGGTCAAGCGAGGCACGGTGATTATGGTTGCATCTCGAGGCGAGAGGGCGCTACAGATCTGAACCACTTCGCACACATTCTTCATAAAATACTTTGTATCTCAATACTGGAATGCGTTATTCCTATGGCAATTTTTTTTTCGCTACCTCGATGATGATCAGTTATTGCAAACATTAAAAAAAAAAAACTTTGTATCTCAATACTGGAATGCGTTATTCCTAATCCTATGGCAATTTTTTTTTCGCTACCTCCAGTGTGACCTCGATCAGTCGATGATGATCAGTTATTGCAAACATTAAAAAAAACATGAATTTTGGTCATCGGACAGACATATTTCAGATGTTCTATACTTCTAATGTGGAAAAAAATTCATAAAAGAATGTAAAATCCCGCCACTTCAGTTGTTGTGTATAAAGTCTATGGAGAGTCAAGACAATTTCAAAATTGGAAATGTTTCTCAGTCCCAGATTCATGTCTCATCATCATTTTTGCAATGACCGACCTTTATTGAGATGATATATGAAGACAAAAGTGGCGTCGGGTTGCAACATTTTTTTGAACGACAGCCAGTGAGACGCAGACAGCTCACATCACGGACTAAAATAGCCAAATGTGGCCAAGGAGTACTTGACTACCTCCGTTCAGGGCTACACTTGGAACATGAACCTGAAAATGCAGAACTTTGTCCAATTTTGATTTTCACATTTAGACTAAACATGTATTTGTAGTTTATAGAAAAACAATAGAAAAGAAGTCCCACCTTTCTTATACATCTATTTTTTGTGTAATTTCCAGGTTCGTTTGCACAGGTTTGCGTATCCAAATTCCAACATCGAAAATATGCGTGGAGCCCCATAGTTCTAGGGGTACTCACGGACCTGTCACAACACTGAAGCCACATCACAATTAGACCGAGTAACTTGGGCCCAACTTATCGCCTTTTTTAACATTTGGACATGGTCTGGTGATAGTCCATGTCCAAATAATAAAAAGGCGATAAGTTGGGCCCACGTTACTCGGTCTAAATCAGAATCAGGATGCCACTTTATTTGTGTGTGGGGAGAAGTCAAAATGTATTTCTAACAAAATTGGAAATGTTGACTGTTGAGAAGAGACATTTGTTGCTATTTAAAAATCAAAATTATTTCCCCATCCTTTCTTTCCAGGAGGTTTGGCTTGCCAAGTGAGAAATACAGCATGTCGCATTTCAGCAGCAGAAGCACTGACTGCAAGGTGTACGTTGGTAACCTGGGGTCGAGCGCCAGTCGTAGCGAGCTAGAAGATGCCTTCATTGAGTACGGAGATCTGACCAATGTCTGGGTGGCTCGTAACCCTCCCGGGTTTGCGTTTGTCGAGTTCAAGAATCGCAGGGATGCGCAGCGTGCTGTGGACGCATTGGATGATCGGTAATGGTTTGCCAAACCAAAATACAGCTTGCTCTAACAATTGTTGCTTCTACAAATTTTGTTGAAAGCAGCGATTTCTTTTGGTTTGAATATGCTTAACCTCTCAAATCATTCAAAAATTTATCAGGTTTTATGGAGAATTTGATTGATAATTTCGGAGATCGCCACCATAGGGTTGGACGGCTCAGTTGTCCGAGCAGTAGTCTTCCATAGATGTACGTTCAAATTCTGCTTCTGTCAATTTCTTAGCTGTAAAACTGATATTTAAATTAAATATAAGCGTGGTACTGTTATTTATGCGATGGAAATTTGTGGTATTGTTTGTGTCTATCCCAGTCATATCTGTGGGCGTCGGGTCTCTGTCGAAATGTCCACGGGAGAGTCCCGTAACCGCGGCCGGTACCCGCCGCGCCGGTCCATGAGCGGCGAGAAGTGCTACGAGTGCGGCCAGAGGGGCCACTTCATGCGGGACTGTCGCAAGTACGGCCGGCGCCGGCCCAGGCGATCTCGCAGCAGGTAAGGGTTTGACAATCTTGGCTTCTTCTAGGCCCATCTCCAGTACTGCTTCCAGACTCCCAAATCTGATGATACAGACCTTTTGCCTTCAGCAGCCATGTTTGAGTTTGTTGAGCTTTCATTTACTACTCATTTGTTTCCTTGTGGAACAAAAAACACATATTTGCGTTGAGTTCATTCCTTTTGCCACAGCTGTTGTGGTTCTGTAGGTGTCCCTACGATCTTTCACAAATACCTTTTTTGTATTTGCCGTTCCAAAATAAAGTTATAATCTGGACAGCGATGATCAAAGTTTCTGGAAGGTTGTCCAGGAATTGAGCCTTTTGTTAGTCCACAGAAGCGGCATAGACATTGAAGTCTGTGACATGGTTCACTTGATCTCAGTGAGAAAAAAATCATGATAACAGAGTAACAAAAATTATAAGAGAAGGTTTCAAAGTGAAGCTCATATGATGTTACATCACTCAGTGCATGTGACTTTATTAGTAAAGAAAAAGTGAGCCATTTGTGTTTTGCTTGTAATCATAGTATAGTAAGTACACCACTCTGGTAGCTGCATTGCAGTTTGCAGTTAATTCTATAAACTCTAGTGGTTACTGTGGCAGATATTCAGCAAATAATTATAATAATGGATATTATTGACAATATCATGTTAGAATTGATTGAAAATTAATACATTGATATGGTGAGCAGCTATTCAAAACACTAGTATGTTTGAAGCCCAAATTGTTGCACAAGTGCAAATGTGATATACCCAGAATGACGCCATAGTAAGGAAATAGCAAGTTTCTAAAAACTGGGGAAGCTATCTCACTTGCCGTCATTCTGATTTGGGCCGTAAAAGGGCTCTCTTTATCATAAATATGTATGCGTAGATAATACACATCATTATCATATCGTGTGTGATTTGCATTTTATACAGGCACTGTTGCATAATATGAATCTCATCTGTACTTCTTGTTGTCCTAAATCCTAAAATATATTTACTTCTTTGATTGTTTTGTAAGACCTATCTCCATTTTTCTGTCCCTGTTGGCTCTTTACAGGACAACAAAAAAGTACTTATTTTCATTCTTTTTTATGCAGTCCATACTAATATTATGCTTCTTTTTGTTCTGACAGAAATGTAATATTCAAATAAGTACCTGCAAATTGTTGCCATCTGGGATATCTTTTTTTAAATGCATTTGAAATACTTTGCAAACGCAGCCTAATGTGTTCTTCACGGATGATTACCCCTAATAATTTTTTTTCAGTAACTGATACGACACATGATTGAATGAAATTTGGCACAAAATTGACAAAAAGTACAGGCAGGCATGCAACTTTCCCTCTGATTTAGCTGAATTCCTTTTTTTCTACTTTTCTTTGATGCATTAAAAAAAGATGTCAAACTTTGAATTTCCTCCGGCTCTTTTTTTTTGACTTCCAAATTGCATGCCCAAAATTAGGAACAGCTTGTGAAATCTACGTTTGACAAAGGCAAATGAATTACTGTTAGTTTACCGCAGCTTCAGTTTCAAGTTGATCTGTTTATCGATTGAAATATCACCCAGTCATAAAGGGCTTAATTTTTTTTTTGTGATTCCAACCTTTATTGATACTGTATTCAAACTCAACTCATCAACAGGAGTCCCCACTACCACCCCATCTAGTACGCTTGTCAGCTAGATCAAAAGACTACTAGTCGTCTAAACCAAAGACTGCTAGTCAGCTAACCAAAGACAGCTAGTCAGCTAAACCAAAGACAACTAGTCAGCTAAACCAGCACGTCAGCTAAACAGCTAGACGGCTCTAGGTGCAACCAACCAACCAACCAACCTACCCCCACAGAGCAGCTAGTTCAGCTTAAACCACTAGCTAGCTCATCACTACTCAACTCAACACATGACCATCATGAAACCAACATGTGACCAACATGTGACCAACATGTGACCAACATGTGACCAACATGTGAACAACATGTGAACAACATATGCCCATCATGTGATCAACACCACCTGTCCACATGACTCACCAGTGACCAACATATCTACAACACTTGCGGCATGCCCGTCTTTGCAGACTGACGGCTACACCAAAATTCACCAACATTTCATCAACTTTGTTTGGGTTTTGGTTTTGAAGGACAAAGAAATGATAAAAGTGTGTAATCTTATTGTTCAGTCTTTCTTTAAAACAAATGAGTATTCCCCGTTGATAAAATGTGCTTAAAAGTATGTGTACATGTATCTCGTATATATTTAATGTTCATGGTGGTACGTGAAGCATGCAGTTGTCACACAGCCTAAATTCTTATAAATTCTGGTATGCCATCTTTCCCCTTTTAGGATAAAAGTGGGGGGGGGGGAGGAAAGGGGGGGGTTACAATTACAAGTTGTTTCACTAAAGAGTTACAACCGAGAAATCCGAAAGCTAACTGTTTCGCATCTTTCAAACCTTCTAGAGAAACTTTTTAAAATTTACGGACCGTTCATTGCTCTAAAGTGTACCAATTTTCTCTTTTGCACTGTACTCTGTAGGAAACCAAAATCTTGTTAAATACTAAAATCCCAAGGCAATCTTAAATCTTGACCTGCTGTTGGGACATTTTTCATTTGATATTTCTCTATTCCATACCACAGATCTCGCTCCTATTCCCCACGCCGCTACCGGAGCCGAAGCAACTATCGCAGCCGCTCTAGAAGCGAAAGGTAAGAAAACTTTCTTCAGGGGGTACAACAAATTTAGGGTAATTGTGTCATTAACTTTTGTGGCATATACATGTACTCGCAAGATCCGGCTCAAAAGAGTAGCCATTGAACTTAACAGATCGGCACTAGCATGCAACAGCCCTGCTGTTGGTACAAGCGAGTGTCTAAACCAGGGTAAACCCCATTTGGTGCTGTTAAGCAAGAAATACATGTGAACATGTAGCTAAGGCTTAAACAAATCATTGTGTTTTTATGGTAACTCAAGTACAAATGTACATGAATTTTGTGTGTGTGTCATTGGTCAAGTGGGCAGTTCCATGGTTAACTAGCGTTACAATTTTAGCAAGTTACCATATCTTATTTGACTCTTACATACATTAAGAGGTATAAGTTCCAAGTCCCAGTTATGTTACCATAAGTACCTCCTACCTACTATACAGTAAAGAATAATATTCCAATAATATTACACTGGAGTTGTGATGGTTACTTTTAATGTTGGTATGTAATGTCTTTGCATAAACAGTTTCCTCAAATGGGATATACCCATAGAGCTATATTAAATTACTAGAGCACTAACTTCATGTACAAAGTAATGCCTGCTGGGCGCATCCATGTTTGTGCACAAACCTATGGAGACCTAGACATTTTGTACGGCTTTTGTACGGCTATTTGCGTATCTGCGTTTGTATTCCATACCGGAGCGTTATTGAAGCCAATACGCCCAAAACCGAAACGCACGATCAGCAAATGAGCGTGTCATTTTGCTCTACGCAAACAGCGCAACGCGTGCGCGTATTGGCTGCAGATGCTTCTTGCCGTCACGTTTTTTTGAACCGTCAATGACGCACTTAAGTTGTTTGCGTATGTTCTACTTGTGCGTTGCATGTAGAGTACACTTTCAAAATTCAATCTATCTAATTTCATTATGTTCTACAAACACGCACATGAATTCAAAATGTCTGTGCCCAGGACGGCTTCAAAGTGTCTCTACGCGCAGAATGACGAGTTAGCGCTCTAGTAATTTAATATAGCTGTATGGATATACCTGAAACAAAGTGTCATATTTATGTTACTACATGTACTTGCTTTATGGGAAATGTTTTGATAGATAATTGTTTACAACCAGTCTTTATTTTGAAGCAAGACCAAACAATTTTTGCTGTAAAATACTAACCCCCACTCCATTCATTTCTGAAAGTTACAGCAAAAGCAAATGTTGTATATTACCTTTTACAATGTTGAAGATGTATAGTTCTAACTTTTTTTTACCATTTGTTTCAGCCGATCTCGTTCATACTACAGCCCGCCACGGCGAAGCCAGTCATACGAAAGGGACTATTAAAACATCTGCTTTCCATAATCGAAATATCTCTTTCTTTGAGTGGTTGATACATCTGCATTGCCAATAGTTTTTGCTGTACATGTTGAACTTTTGATGGTTGTTGACATTGTTTCACGAAGAAGTGACACTTCACGCTAACTGGCAATTGAAAGTTAAATTTATGGAAACTCGGAGTAAATAAAATAACGTAGTTATTGTTACTCAAAATGACATAGTTCCAGCTATTTTAGCACTTCTTTGCAATACTCAGAAAGAACTTAACATCAGCACTAGCCTATTTTGAAGACACTGTAATACTTTTATGTTTATTATCTGTTTCTTAGTGTAACGCTGTTTGATTTTTGTAAAAATATGCAGAAGGCGTGTGAGCACGGTACTTTTACACAGTTTTTAAATTCTGGTTTTTGTTTTAGTTCAGAAAATCAAGATGGCATGACGTGTTCTTTTAGCTAAAGGGTTATTAATCTTTGAGGATAATTTTCCTGATGACTTTAGGCCTTTCAATTTATTCACTCATCCAAAATAATGCACATCTGTACATATTTAAACTGTTTGTCTATGTAGTATTTCATTGTTAATTTGTCAAAACGGCAAGAATATTTCTGAAAGTTATTTTGTTGAAGTCGGGCTGCCTTCATTTTTTAGATTTATTTCGTTAAAGATCGAGTGCTTCACTTATTATTTGTGTATTAATTATCACAACTATTGCACATGCCAAACAATGATTAAGATACATGTAAAACCTTTTCACAATATGCAAGGTTTGGTCAGGATTTAAATAGCCTTTCCAAAGACTTCTGTAAAATGCAAAATTGATTGTCCAATTAAAAAAAAGATGGCTTCAATCTTTCCATGTGTTTTTTTTTTTTACAAACCAAATGTTACGAGTATTGAGGTAGTTTGTACTCGCGTTTAGGTAAACTGTGATAAACTGTACGAACTTACCTATTCTGCTAGTATTTTTTTTTTTTTTTTTTAATTTAATAAGGTGAAATGTGAGAAAATAAACAACAGAATGGAAAAGTAACCATGGTCACTCTCAAACGCCAATGGAAGAACAAAATTATTTGGACTCAATCTAGTATATTGGACGATTATAAACTCGGACTTTCAAAATAGTTTTAATAAAGAGATATCTCGCTATGTAACCCTGTTATATCTCGTCTCAATGCTTTTTCTCGTTGATTTTCCAACTGTATTCACAACAAGGCTGGACAACTTTTATTATGATGACTTAAGGGTATTTTACTACCCTGTTATTTTAGGCATTTAAATGAGCACAATATGCAAGGGGCCATATGGATAGTCATTTAAGCGTGACACACGACTGTTTTCTGTATTAGACGCGTATCCTCTTGATGTATTTTCCGTAATTAAAATTTAACCCAATGAGTGCTTGGGGTTTAGCAGGCCTATGCTACCTTGCCTCCATCTCATTTGGTTTAATTTGATAAGAGCTCATACAATTATTTATAGTGATTGATATTATTATGATCATCGTGCAGACTGGTCATGGGACTTGGAGGAAGTCTATTGTTGACCCTTCAAAAACGAAACCCAGACGTCACATCGAACTTTGCGATGATTAGACCGCTTGGTGCACATGCTGCGCCGTACACTTGCCTTGACCGCGCACTGTAACACGTGCATCGCGTATCGATATCGATCATCGCACCATGTACCACTGCAGTGCTACATAAATAAATACATTACAGTGCTCCTACGCATTCGGATCGGGAGTTTTATTCTCGATCAGCAGAACTATGGCATCGACTACACTTTTCAACTTCCATGTACCGTCCCAGGTGCTGCTTAATCCAGGTATTTATGCCCCTTCGATTTGTGTTTTGTATCACTCCACTGTCAGTACTACAGTACAGTAGTGTCACTGTAGTTTTCGTCACGTCAACTGCAGCAAAAAGGCGTTCAGTCATTGTTGCAGTGGCCATATGGCGTAGCCAGGAATTTTTCGGGGGGGGGGGGGGCGCTGGGGGGCTGGAACATTTCATGGGGGAGCGTCATGTACTCCGATGTAGATCAATGATAATTATTTTAGAAACTCAAAATCTCAGTGGGGGCGACAAGGTTTCATGGGGGGGCTATCGCCCCCCCCCCCCCCCGCCCCTCCCACGCCCACAGTGGCTACGCCACGGCATTGTTGGGTCCAACTCCTTCATCCGTCCATCCTCGATCTCGGACCTGCGAACTGGGTTTTCCTTGATCCAGCTAAAAATGTCCCAACCTAGTCCCACTAACTGGGGTGCTAGAACTCCTTTTTTGACATTTGGGATGTTGGTGCTAAAAAGTAATACGACAGACAATGATACTTGATCATGTTGATAGGGCCTACATTATTTGAAAAAAAAATATTAAGAAAAAATGTTGTAAGCTGACGCCACTTTTTTTTTCATTATCAATTTCATTATCAATCTCATTCTCAATGAATTATGAAGGTCATTCAGTGCAAAAATGATGATGAGATTAAGACATGAATATCGGACTGCAAACATTTCCAATTTTGTTAGGAAAAACTTAACTTGGCAATTTTTCTTGACTCTTAATTGACTTTGTACACATCGCGGAAGTGGCATCAGGTTGCAATATTTTTTTCCCATTATTTTATTTGTACGTAGGACATCTTTTCTTCAATAATTCATTCAGTTTGCATTTAATACCAGTAGACCCTGCTGGCATAATAATAACGAGAAATGATTACCATTATCAGTGATTATGTTAATATAATGGCATGCATGCACAAGCTTTCGCTGTCTGCAATTTTACAAATTAAGCTATATATTTCTGATATTACTTTATTTATTATAATAGTACAGTCAGCTAGCCTAATAAAGGTTTAAATTTTGAAATATTTGGATATTTTGAAATAAAGTTTATCAACTCATTTGAATTGTTTCACTTTACCCCTTTTTTTAGTTGACTGGAAGACAATGCAGCAGGGAATGAATGCCATTTTCCATGAGGCGGGATTCGATGGCAGTCCCCATACCGTAGCGTTTGAATCCAACAATGGCAGCTTAACACTCTACTCTGGCTCAGACGGAAGGTCAGTGGCCATAACTAGGATCAAATTTCTGGGGTCATGTAAAGGTGCATCAGTTTTTCAAAGGGGACACCAGAGGTATCAAAATGAAAAGTATCATTTCAAGAGTGCATCCCCCCCCCCCCCCCCCATTACAGATTTCCAATGGGAGCACAGAGTGTTTCATGAAACATTTTTGTTTCAAGAAACTTTTTTTTAACTCTACAGCTTTTTAAATTTTATTTGTTTGGACTATTTTTAAACTAAATACATGTACTTTGTTTGTTGTTGGAACAATATACGTAGGGTTAAAAGGGGAGTATTCGACCACTTCAGGAAAACTGGCACTGCCTTGTGTAAACGAGAGAGTGAGATCTTAACCATAATTACTCATGACATGATCCTGTATGTTGTGTTTACAGCATAGCATCAGCCCTAGTCAGAGCCAAGGTACAATTGGTCGGATTTTGCCTCTGGTGGAATATACCCCACTTTACTAGTAAACAGATGGTAAAGGGGGAGAATTCGACCGGATAAGGAAAACCAGCACTGTCTAGTGTAACTGAGCGAGTGAGATCTTAAAGTTCTGTAATTACTTATAACATGACCATGCACATACTGTGTTTGCAGCATATCATCAACTCAATCAGACCCAAGGGTTGTAATTAATAGCAAGTGGTCGGATTATGCCCCGAGTTTCACAAGGTGTCACTGCAGACTATGATTTCATCAAATTCTCAACAGTTCTTTTTTCCCCCCCGCAGGTCAGCAGTGGTACAGAGCTACACAGAGGGTTTGATCACAGTCAACTTACAAGAACCTTCCAAAGAACACAAGACTGCCCTGACGGACCAAGAATTGAGCACATTGCAGAAGAAACTGGTGACGCTCCTGGGTTGCGAAAAATCTAAAAGGTCAGAGTTTGGGACATAATTCAAACGCAAAGAGGGTACTGTAACATGACAAAAACAGTCTTCTGACAGCATTAAGAGGCATTCATTTGATTGGTCTGAACCCACTAGCACCTGTACTACATTGTACTACATTGTAGTACATTGTGTTTATTCATGGAAGTATCAATAAACCATAGAGTACTCCAGCGTTTTTGGGTGCTGTAGGGAGTAACGACAGGGCGGTTTTGGGTAGTACTGTGACTAATAAAGGGTTAACCTGTTTGTCCCTGTACCACCTGATAGCCCCTATACCCACCAAAACTACCCCAACACTGTATGGTGTCATGGATTCATCTGGGAATAATACAATGTCATACAATGTACTACAAAGTAATACAATGTACTACAATGTAATACAATGTAATACAATGTAATATAATGTAATGCAATGTAATTCAATGTAATACAATGTAATACAATGTAATACAATGTAATACAATGTAATACAATGTAAAACAATGTAATACAATGTAATACAATGTAATGCAAGTGCAAATGGGTTAGGCTGTGGAAGCAAGTGGAATGTATGTTGCTTTCAACTGTACAAGTCTTGCACTGTAATATCTTTATTCATATGAATGTACTGACGTAGCCTTTAAAATCAATCCTCAGGCATTGACCTCATGACTTTTTTCTCCTACTCAGGTTTCCACAAATCCGACGGAGCACTGATCCCTGCGACCCCTATGTACCGACTGTCGATAATCGTCTTGTGGAGTACGACTTTGACAGGATTGTATTTGAGGAGAATTCCAAATATCAGAACATTAAGATTCAACACTCACCGCAGTATGGAAACGTACTGATCCTTGACGACGACCCAAGTAAGTCAATTCAGCCTAGAACCATGAGAACATCAAAATTATCATGATTTTTTTGCAGTGTCGTAGTTGTGTCCGTTTCAAGTTCTCACGTCCTCCTAAGTCCACCACAAGTCAAAATTATCATGAATTATTTGCAGTGTCGGGCCCATCACAAGTCCTCACAAGTCCATCACAAGTCCATCACAAGTCCATCACAAGTCCATCACAAGTCCATCACAAGTCCTACAATCTGAAGTCCAGTCACAAGCTATTCAAATGAAATTTGACAAAAGCGTTCCTTTGTAATTCTTGTGATTCAGGTTTTGACTTGACTTGTGATTTAGTTTGTAACTTGACTTGTGATTTAGCTTGTGACTGGACTTGTGATTTAGTTTGTGACTGGACTTGTAATTTACTTGCGACTGGACTTGGGATTTAGCTTGTGATTGAGCTTGTGAATGGACTTGTAATAGCTTGTGACTGGACTTGTAATAGCTTGCAACGGGACTTGTGATTTAGTTTGTGACTGGACTTGTGATTTAGCTTGTGACTGGACTTGTGATTTAGCTTGTGACTGGACTTGTGATTTAGCTTGTAACTGGACTTGTGATAGCTTGTGACTGGACTTGTGATTTAGTTTGTGACTGGACTTGTGATTTAGCTTGTGACTGGACTTGTGATTTAGCTTGTGACTGGATTTGTGATAGCTTGTGACTGGACTTGTAAAAGCTTGTGACTGGACTTGTGATTTAGCTTGTGACTGGACTTGTGATTTAGCTTGTGACTGGACTTGTGATTTAGTTTGTGACTGGACTTGTGATTTAGCTTGGGACTGGACTTGAGATTTAGCTTGTGACTGGATTTGTGATAGCTTGTGACTGGACTTGTAATAGCTTGTGACTGGACTTGTGATTTAGCTTGTGACTGGACTTGTAATAGCTTGTGACTGGACTTGTAATAGCTTGTGACTGGACTTGTGATTTAGCTTGTGACTGGACTTGTGATTTAGCTTGTGACTGGATGTATGATTTAGCTTGTGATTGGACTTGTGATTTAGCTTGTGACTGGACTTGTGATTTAGTTTGTGACTGGACTTGTGATTTAGCTTGTGACTGGACTTGTGATTTAGCTTGTGACTGGATTTGTGATAGCTTGTGACTGGACTTGTAATAGCTTGTGACTGGACTTGTGATTTAGCTTGTGACTGGACTTGTAATAGCTTGTGACTGGACTTGTAATAGCTTGTGACTGGACTTGTGATTTAGCTTGTGACTGGACTTGTAATAGCTTGTAACTGGACTTGTAATAGCTTGTGACTGGACTTGTAATAGCTTGTAACTGGACTTGTAATAGCTTGTGACTGGACTTGTAATAGCTTGTGACTGGACTTGTGATTTAGCTTGTGACTGGACTTGTGATTTAGCTTGTGACTGGATGTATGATTTAGCTTGTGATTGGACTTGTGATTTAGCTTGTGACTGGACTTGTGATTTAGCTTGTGACTGGACTTGTGATTTAGCTTGTGACTGGACTTGTGATTTAGTTTGTGACTGGACTTGTGATTTAGCTTGTGACTGGACTTGTGATTTAGCTTGTGACTGGATTTGTGATAGCTTGTGACTGGACTTGTAATAGCTTGTGACTGGACTTGTGATTTAGCTTGTGACTGGACTTGTAATAGCTTGTGACTGGACTTGTAATAGCTTGTGACTGGACTTGTGATTTAGCTTGTGACTGGACTTGTGATTTAGCTTGTGACTGGATGTATGATTTAGCTTGTGATTGGACTTGTGATTTAGCTTGTGACTGGACTTGTGATTTAGTTTGTGACTGGACTTGTGATTTAGCTTGTGACTGGACTTGTGATTTAGCTTGTGACTGGATTTGTGATAGCTTGTGACTGGACTTGTAATAGCTTGTGACTGGACTTGTGATTTAGCTTGTGACTGGACTTGTAATAGCTTGTGACTGGACTTGTAATAGCTTGTGACTGGACTTGTGATTTAGCTTGTGACTGGACTTGTAATAGCTTGTAACTGGACTTGTAATAGCTTGTGACTGGACTTGTAATAGCTTGTAACTGGACTTGTAATAGCTTGTGACTGGACTTGTAATAGCTTGTGACTGGACTTGTAATAGCTTGTGACTGGACTTGTAATAGCTTGTGACTGGACTTGTAATAGCTTGTAACTGGACTTGTAATAGCTTGTGACTGGACTTGTAATAGCTTGTAACTGGACTTGTAATAGCTTGTGACTGGACTTGTAATAGCTTGTAACTGGACTTGTAATAGCTTGTGACTGGACTTGTAATAGCTTGTGACTGGACTTGTGATTTAGCTTGTGACTGGACTTGTAATAGCTTGTAACTGGACTTGTAATAGCTTGTGACTGGACTTGTAATAGCTTGTAACTGGACTTGTAATAGCTTGTGACTGGACTTGTAATAGCTTGTGACTGGACTTGTGATTTAGCTTGTGACTGGACTTGTGATTTAGCTTGTGACTGGATGTATGATTTAGCTTGTGATTGGACTTGTGATTTAGCTTGTGACTGGACTTGTGATTTAGCTTGTGACTGGACTTGTGATCTAGCTTGTGATTGGACTTGTGATTTAGCGTTTGACTGGACTTGCCTACAACCCTTAGTCTTTTTGTGAGACTTTCACAAGTGTTGCATTTTTTTTTTATTTTCTCTTTTTTTGCCAGATTTAGCTGAGAGTGACATTGCCTACACCAACGCCATCACTGGGAACGGTCGACAGGACTACAGGGGCAAGGAGGTCCTGGTCCTGGGAGGAGGAGACGGTGGAATCCTTCACGTCCTACGCCAGCAAGATCCAGCCATGATTATCATGATAGAAATATCCTTGGATAGTTTGCATTTCTTCTAACCCTAAATTTTCGAAATCCTTCAAAATCCACCAGGGACCGAAGCTGCTAAGCAGATATATTTGCTATGCGCATAATATTCTTGCTTAGCCATAAAAATGTTCCTGCCAAGATACGTGACATGATTGCTTGTGATTGGTCTCCAGCAATTACTGATTGGTCAGTAAGCATCCTAATAAAATTGCATCCTGGAGGTTTAGAAATTTTTTGGTTGGTTTGAGAACGGTAGAACAAGCACTATAATTGTACATTAAGCTTGATGTAGCTTAAAAGTTAGAGTACAAAGAATGTGTCATTTGGTGCCTGCACTGTTGAGGTTTTTGAAGGATTCAGTCAGCAAGATTCTTAACACATTTCAAGGGAGTTAACCCTCTTGCATGGGTTTAAAGGCCTTGGCCATCTTCTGCCCAAATCTATTGCCGTTTTCCTTAACTTTGTTTTTCTCACATTGATCAAGTTGTGATTACTGCAGCAACCAAATACTTACGAGGAATCTGCTTTGATTCCATGGACAAGTTGGAAGGCTCCAATTATAAAGTAAGTGGCCAGCCAAAAAAAAACAAAACAGCCAGGCATTAATATCTGTCTTTAACAGTGCACATTGAAAAGAAATCTTTAATTGAAAGGAACCAATTTCAGTTTGACAAAAAATGGCATGTGATGGATTATAGCCCTGACATGCCTACACAAAACAGTAATTTTCAAAAATGTTTACGGATGAAATCACTGTTAAACCATTTTTGCTGGACATAATAACCAACCAATTGTCTGTCGACTGACCTAATCGCTGACTGACTAACTGACTGACTGGGTCACAGAGTAAAAATGTTGGCATAAACTCAGACTTTCAATTCCAGCTCAACTAAATAAGCCTTGCCATGTTTATTAAAGAATACTTTTTATCTGTAGTCTAATGTTTCCAATCAAATTCCCCTTGAAATTCGTTCCCATCTGCAGGTAATTGTCGAGGACTGTATTCCCTTCCTGAAACAGTACGCAGCAGAGGGCAAGCAATTTGATTTTGTCATCAATGACCTGACAGCAATCCCCATCACAACCGAGCCACAAGGTGGGTCAAGATCAGTGGACTCAGTGCCCCAACATAGACGCTTCCCATAGCCAAGTAGTTCGGACGTAGCCTAATATTTTCAGAAGAACCGTACGTAACCTACTGTATAAAATAGATTGTTACCTTCTGCGATATTTCTTTTATTAATTGTGAAAGATTTGCTTTTTTTCCTCAGGTGACCAGTGGGACTTTCTCAGGCTGATTCTGGATCTGTCCATGAAAGTCCTGAAACCAACCGGCAGATACTTCACCCAGGTAAAGCGCCCTCTGTTGTATCAACTCCAACATGCCCGCCTATTCCTAGTCTTATTTTTATTGTATTTGCTGTCCTTTTTGGAGTGGCCTTATCAGTTAAACACTGCTTTCCATCAGGACCCTGGTTCATGTTACATCAAATATTAATTCAAAAACAGTATAGGAAATTGAATTAAAACAAAACAAAAAAAACGTAGATATTATTAACAATACAAACATTAATAATCAAAAAATTAATACTTAGAATAAAAGAAATCCTCAATAATTAGCCTGTTAAAGTGACCCAATTTTTACTGCACTATTAAAATGCATTCTTTGTAACTGCGTTCATCACTGCCTATTTTTGTACCGCACATGTCAAAAGCTCACAATTGAATTTCATACATTTTGTAATCTACGAGATAATGTTACTGGGCACAATTAATTTTGATGTGATGATTCCCATTATGCAGCTAATTCAATAGTAATTATTGCATCAAAACGTCAAAAATGGTTGATGAAACGGTTGCTTATGTTGTGTACTTTGATATGGCGTGAGAACATATTGTTATTTGTTGTTTATTATGGAAAATAATGAAGTTATTTTTCTGGTAAATAGATCACCTTTTGCCGCATGCATTATAGATTTGTTTTACTTTTGGTGAATGCGCGGTTGAATCAGCGGCCTAGCTGAATCCGGCTGAATCCATGCTTTGCCCCCTCTAGAAAAAATCCCGGCGACGCCCATGGCCAAATCCGGTTGAAAGCTCACACACACAACGTTTCAAGCTCATGCACAAATAGTACATTGTAAGTCTTATTTTTGGGTTTTGTACTCCGCAGGGCAATGGAGCCATCATGCGGGATGCATTGGTCATGTATGAGCAGCAACTGAGCAAGCTGAGTGTCCCGGTGGACTTCAGCAAGGAGACCGTCTGTGTTCCGTCCTACATGGAACTGTATCCTTTTCCACATATGTGACCTGTTCTGTCAAAATCAGACTTTTCTGAGCATAAGGTCAAAAATGAGATTTTTGCATATTGTTAAAGTATGTTCTTTTTCCTTTTAATAGGTGGTTTAATTTTTGAAACCGGTAATTTTCTGGGCAGAGTTATGCTATTTTGAAGTTCATTGTGTCGAAAAGTACAAAACGGAGAAAATGGCCACAAACATCACAAAACAGTGATTTCTTTAACTGATATACCTTAACAAATCATCAAAAATACTATATTTAGAGTTCAAATTAGGGTTTCAAACTTTTATAGTATATTTAAGACATGTTCAGGATTACAAATATGCCAAAATTTGAATATTGAAAAAAAATCACCCCCACAGCGTTTTTTGGCCCTATCTTAATTTCAACCTCTGCCCAGAAGCGTCTGCTTTTGACAGAACAGGTCACATATGCTTTACATGAAACATCGTTCCAATGTCTTGTTTTACATCTACAAATGAATTGCTGGCTCGTTTTGTTATTGATGGCTGATGACATAAGCTCCCCTGGATAGGTGTGTTTATCACTGCACCTGCGTACATGTGCTACATAAGCCCAGAGGACAGACACACAAAGGGAGAACAACAGATCCTTTCAGTCCTCGGGAGTTGGGTCTTTTGTTGGAAACGGTCCTCTGTAGTAAGTTTGTGTGCTTAGTCTTTGGGAGAGTGTCATGTTAATATTAATAGTCTATGGGAGAGTGTTATAGTTATATTAAAGGGAAACACAAAGCATTGTCCTCGAGAGTATAGTAAACCAAGAGAATACCAACTGTTTTGTATCTTATAATGTGATGCCTACAAATTAGAGACGGGGCTTAAAATTAAAAAAAAAATTGTTTTCCTTTCCTTCAAAAAGTTTTGAAGTTTCATAAGAATGAGGTCAAATTTGAAGTATTTCTCACCTGAACATTTTTGTTATGCGATATCACTGTATCATACGTTCATTCTTCGTAGTACAATTCCTTGACTGTGCTGAACCAACTTCAGGTGGGTCTTCTACGAAATCTGGAAGAAGCAAGACCAAAACGGGAGCTGAAGAGAACGTCGCAGTGTTTGGCTGGATGAAAAGCATTTCCAAAACCCTGAATAAAATGTAATAGTGCCAGTATTTACATGTAATTCCTCTATGCTCATTTTTTTTCTCTATTTTTTTTACTGACGTGCCTATAAATATTTGTGTGACTGGGTATAACCTACAGGTGTTAAAGATATAGTCCATCATTTGTAATTTGTGCATTTTGTTCGTTTGAAGCAACAAAAGAGTTCAAAATCTAATGAAGGATACTGAACAACTAACCTGATAAAGTTTCAGCTCAGCTTCAGCTGTATATTCCGAGAAAAAACAGCATTCTAGGATCTCAATTTCAAATCAAAAGTTGCTGAATCATGTTTTGAATTGTTTTGAATTGCAGCTATACGCGATGTCGCGCACTGATCCGACGAATTATAACAACCGCGCGCGCCTGTGCGTCGTGCCAATGCTTGCGTGCGCTGCGCCGAACAACAAAACAAACTACTAATTTAAAAGAGTTGCGACAATATCAGACTGTTGAACCATAATGGCCGTCCATTATGTGTACAGCGCAGCACGCGACTATTGTGTACGAATTATATATGTGCACTGATGCATAATCCGCCATTTTGTTTCCAAACAGTGCAACCCTCATGTTGCAACTCTCTTTATATACGGCTCTGGAAATTTGTGCACTCTGGGACCACATTTACTAGTTTTCTTGTTTTCTCGGGTGTCATTTTATTCCTGAAATCTATATTTTGACTCGTAGATCACAAACTAATGGTACTTTATCTTACAAGCCTGATGGATATGGCCATGTGTTGGTATATATTTTGAAAATTAAGGGAGTATAACTTGCAACAGGTTTTTATCATTTATACAAATTATGCCTTAACTGCCTCTTGTGGCAAAAAATGCAGGTACACGTCTGTACTTTCTATAGCTCTCTACCCTCAAAGACGTAGTGGTTAGGCCCCCCCCAAAAAAATTCGGTCTCTGGTCAGACCAAAGTTCCGGAATTGACGCGGCCACGCGGCTTTTTTTTTTTTTTTGCTTTTTTTCTTTTTTCTTCAAACTTGGATTGTACAGACAAGGTGGGTACTATTTTGCTTTTTTGGTGTCCTCATGTACATTGGTGTCCTCCATAATTTGCCTTGGTGCTTTCGATCATTTGCCTTGGTGTAATTTGCCATTCCTTGGTGCTCTTTGGTAAAACAAATTGAGGAGGTGCGGAAATAGAGGGCGCTGTTGGAGCTACCGCGAAACATTTTGGAAGAAAAAAAGATCGACGCGCATGATTAAAATCGACGCGCATGATTAAAATCGACGCGCGCGCTGACCAGAGACCGACATTATTTTTTTTGGCCTTATAACAGGTTTTTTTTTTAAAGTTTATCCATGAACGCACATATGCCACATATCCAAGTTGTGGTTTTTCATTGCACATGTATTGATTTCTTCCATTATTTTATTAATTATATAAATAGATTTTTATTTCAGTCGGCTCAGGTCATTTGTTGCATCTGAAACATGATTTTGTGGCATTATATATGTTTTTTTTCCACATGATGTGCTTCAAGAGATATACCACAAATGTTGATTTGTGAAACGTGGAGGGCACTATATGCAATAAAAGGTAAAATTAGAGTTGGTTTGTATGATTATTGTTGAGGGCGTTCAGTTGAATCCAAAGTGTAATTTATGTACACGATATGAAAGTACTATGCTTATGTAGTGGTGTGGGAAAACTCTCATCTTCTCTGGTTTTAGGCCTTTTTCATCATGTTTGGACTATATACTTGCCAACCGAATACCGTGGGCACTCATTTTTGAATCGGTGTTCCAATTTAGTACTTCTGTTACTGGGTTAATATTCAATGTACAATGTAAGTAAATTAACGGCACCACACGTTAACTTCGTTCAGTTCAGGTTCTGGACCATCTATTTCGTTTTAATTGTCAACTTAGCATTTGCATGTGTGCTGCAGATCTGCAATGAAATAAATGTAACAATGTTGACCATTTTTGGGTTTTTTTTTTTTTATTCGCATGAAAATTTGAACAAAATTAAAATATCAGTGATTAGGCCGACCTGTTTTTTCTGAGTTAGTTTTTCCCGATTCCCGTTTTCGTATTGCCACTTTTTGTGATTTCGGTGTCCTTGGCTATAAACTCTTATCTCCATTGAATTCTGAAATTTGAACTGCATTCCTCGTGATCAGTGATGCATAACGACCAACAAATAAAACAGAAATACACTCCTGGTTTTTTTTTCAAAGCTTGATTGTCACTGCAACTTTTAATGCTAACACAACTTTACAAAATAAAACTTTGCATATCTGATATACACTGTAAAGCAACATAAAAAACTTCTTATATTAAAAAATGAACAACATATAAAGTTAGATTGTCTTTTTAGGTTACCGTTTGTTATTGAGTACAATATGCCTGCTTGTTGGTACATGTTTCATTCCCAATCACTCGGTTTAAAAAAACTATAAAAAAAAATAAATTGTGTTTTCGTACATTACCTACAATGTACATAAGTAACCTGTACCTACACATAATTTTGTACACAGGCAAAAGTGCCAGGCGCAAATTTAAGTCACATCGTTTATGTCAAGTACATTTATCTAAAATGTAAGCACACCCACACGCACAGACAAGTTTGTTCATGGTGTAAATCAAGGATTTTCTATTGTTCCTCTTCCCTTTTCCTTTGTTCATACTCAACAACTCAACTTTTTCGCAACAGCTCTCATTGGTTTTGTACACGGTTTCTAACCGAGGAGTCCTCGATTTGGTTCCTGTCCTCAATTCATCCATGATGTTGCAGGTGTGTGTCCTCGATTTACACCATAAACAAACATGAGGTCCGCTCCATCTTGGTATCATTGCAAAACACCAAAGAGTAGGCCCCTACTTGAATCTTGCAGGATAATTTTGTTATTTTTTCCCTATTTAGTAGACAGAATAAAACGGAAGTACCAGTAATGAATGTTCTGTTGTACGAATCAGTTTTTAAAAGAATGTGAATACTGCAGAGCAACCAACTTTAACTTTATAACAAAATATACATCTGCTTAACAAACTTGAAATGCTGTAACAAATTTAATGCGTGAATTCACAGTTTTTCATAATACATGTTATGTAATCTCTCTATTATATCAAAAAATAGACTTTTACCATTCCACACACTGACAAGTTACACTTGTTTGCTTTTGACGCCAACTTTTTTGCCATCATTTTAATGCATAGCTATCTTTGATATATTCAGCATCAATGACTGTGCATAAAATACCCATAGACCTTAACCCTAACCGCCCTGGATCCTACCAAATCCTCTTTGCCAAATTGGAGGAATTTGTGGAGGATTGAGGTTACATGGCAGAAGTGCGTTACTGATTTCATCGGATGCACTTTGTCAAGGTCTTGGGCCAGACCTTGTGTTGTTTTTGCTCAGCCATGCATAAATATAGGCCTGGATTATGCTTGAAATCCTCCCTACTGCTCAGGATGTCACTGGCTAAGCCTCAACATATTTACAGTCACTGCCGCAGGATTTTGCAGGATTCAGGCAGTGGTCACCTCTTCACGGACCGTATTCAAGAAACAAAGAGGAATTTGCAGGATTGAGGCTATACATGTATGCTATTTTTCCATGAGGCCAATTGGAGGATTTTGCAGGATTGAGGCGACATCCTAGCAAAAAGGCCTAGGGTAGGGAGTTGGGGTAAATTTTGGTGCTGAAATGCTCTCAACTCGGCTCTAGGCTCCCGGGATATAGTCGAGTCCATCACAAGTCCCTGCAAGTCCACCACAAGTCCTCCAGTCCCAATTCAAATCACAAGCTATTCAAAGAGCTATGACAAAGGCATTCCTTTGTTATTGTTCTTCCACTGTTTCCTGTGACTGGACTTGTGATTGTTCTTGTGACTGGACTTGTGACTGGCTCAACTACATGTACATTCTTGCTGAATTCAAGTTCCATTGGTCTATAGACTGTTCAAAGTTCAACTTTACTGTGACAATTTTCTTTTCATTGCTTAAGCTGTCATATGCTTTAAGCACCAATCATGAAGATCTGAACGTAAAGACACTGTTGTGGTTCAGTAAGTTCTGAACAGATTAAAGGGTTAGTATGTTAGTATAAGCTGCCAGATATAAGATATTAAATATGCGAACATCTTTGATAAAAAAACGTGATTGTCTGAAACTTGCGATCAATAAATGTCTCCTTTTTGACTTGGAACAGTTTCTAAACATCGCCACTTGCCCATATAAACACCAAGTTCTATCATTTCTGCACAATCAGAACAGTCCAGATTTTGTGCAAGGCATGAAAAAAATAACTTGTTTAAAATTTGGAAACTGCGCAGGCACCGTTCTATAAATTCCGTTCTGATAAGCATACAACCTCAATTCAATACTTAATAAACATTTAAGAGAGCTGACAGTTTTCTTTTACAACCATAGGTTTTTAAATGGCACACAATAAAAAGCCCAATTAAAAAAAATGTAATTAGTAGCCATGCCAAAGCTCTCGGCACTAAGCCATTGTATGACTTTGGGGCCATTTTTTTTTTTAAATCCATACAGCAAAAGCGATCACTCAGGCTCAAGGTGTCAACTGTCAATGCGGATTTGAAACTCATTTTTATAGCTCCATGCTCTATTATATATGGCCGAAAAAAAGTAGTTCTGCTTCCGCTTACATGTATATGGCATTTGAAAATAGAGTAGGTAGGTAGGGGAAAAAAATTGGGGGTAATTTTTTTGTGTACGATCACATGGAGGTGTCTGCGTGAAGTCAAGGGTAAAAGATAGTAATTGATGATTTTCAGGATTTTCTCATTTTTTTTCTAAAACAAATTAGGGTAGGGTAACCAGAAGCAGAACTATTATTTGTTTTGGCCTAAACTATCCTATACAACTATTAGTTAGTATTGTATAATTTGATGGTATAATTGACTCATTCTTACTCTACATTTGTATCAACAGGACCTTGTTATTTGTCTCGGGGTGAATTGTGGCAAAGAAGTATGTATCTTTGTCACAATTCTCATATGTGACTGAATGGCTTGTTTTGGCTTTGATGACTAGTAATGCTTAAAATGACTTGACTACAATTTGCTTGCAACTTTGACATCAATCTCAGCCGATATAATGCACATTTGAACGCCTTTTTCAATCACCACACCATATTCTTAAACTCTGCCTCATACACGTCGGGTATCAGCCCAAACTTGGAATTCACCATTCTGACGCTGCTTCTGCCGAACAGAACTTTCTCGAAGGCGATCATCTGCTTCCAGAACCCCGGATTGGGGCGGATGAGCGGCCGGCGGGCTTTCACATAAGCGTGGGCTTGGCGGAGGGTCATGCTGCTGTACTTCATGAGGTACGCGATGCAAAGCGTCGCCGATCTGCTGCGACCGGCGAAGCAGTGCACGAGAACCCGCCCGCCTTTCCTCTTGACGTCGTGGATCATGTCGGCGACTTTGTCGAAGAAGTTGTACAGACCCGCCGAGGGGACGTCGTCTATGGGGATGCGGGTGGCCGTGATCTCCTTCGGGTATTTGGGCATGGCGCACTGGGTGTGGAGCGTAACGTTGATGACGTGAGTGATTCCGCGGGCATGGAGGTGGGTGGGACTGCGGGCGGCCTGGGCGCTGCTAATCAGGAGATAATCCGTCAGCTGGGAGATGGTGTGGAAAGCTGACTGGGAGTAGGCCATGACTGGATCATCCGCTCACAACATGAAGGGATTCTAAGCCGGATCTGAACACGTACCGGTATGCAGTCGTAACACTGAACTCAGTCAGTGATAACAATTCTATAAACAAGAAAACATCGAGTTTTTAGATGAAGTTAACAATCAATATGTACAGACAAGATTACACTTTCAATTTTTACTGGTCTTATTACAAAATGGTACAAATTAGTTTAAGTTTGGCTAAACCCACATCAAGAGCGATATTTTACAATAAGGTATTTGCATACAGTCTGCTGACATGATAGTGATACATGTACATGTATGTCAACTTGAAATGGCTCCCCTGGAGATTAGGATGAGAATATATACAATCGGCGTCATCTTGCATTCTTTTAATTCTGTCTGATTAAAGGGAATATACAACATTTGCAAACATCGAAAAAAAAAACTACCAAGTTTTTGCGAAATACCTTAATAGGATGTTGGTAAATGACAGCCTGAAGCATCCTGTAAAATTATGGCACCTGGTATACTGTCATTTTCAAGAAAAGTGGTATTTTTGTATCAATTTCCAACGCTGATCGGCCGATCAGCGTTGGAAACAACTGGCTTTTTTTCAAATACTGGCCCCAATTGACCATTGCACTTGTTTGCAATCGATTACAAACCTATGAACGGGTACGAGCCAGCTAGACTGGTTCCCTGACCTTACAATTCCCCAATGTATGTAAACTGCTCTGTTTCTTCTTATATGGAGTCAGGGAACCAGACTACAGGAAAATGATCGTTTTTCTTGGTTTTTATAGCATTTTCGAACCCAAAACCTCCAAAAAGTCAGTGCAACTATATTTGCTTTATATTTCCAACCCCCCAATTCCATCCATTTCTGAAAATTACAGCAAAAGCAAATGATGTATATTCCCTTTAAGAGAATTATTTAGAGAGTATTAGGCCTAGTAATCATAATAAATCGCACACATAGGCATAACACACACTACTGACATTATGACTGACATTAAAGTCTTTAGGCTAGTTATGTTATTTCTCCATCATGTTTACAAAACATTCACTGATTCAGTTTCATTTCGATCTTAATTAAACACAGACACCGCAGCAGTCACCTTTAAACTGTCATTGTCCTTACAAGTTATGGACCACAACACAACTTTTTGAGGTCAAACCTGACGACAAACGGAAGGAAACTGAGTAAAAGAGCAACAGATTCCGCCACAAAACGTACACAAACAGCGCAGATGAAAATGGTTGTATTAGGACGCCCTCTTGTGATCATGGTTTTTCAGCAGTATGGTCCCCAAACTCATGTCACAGATATAACATGTAACAGCGGTAGTGGGTTGATGGACCTGACTATCTGCGTGTCACGCTGCAGTTCGCGATTTTGGTTTGCCGGTAGTCGGAGTTTCATCATGTCGTTGACTTCCTAATATCTTATGGAATGAAACATTCATTTTGAATAGACTACAAGACAATGATTAACTGCATATTTAAGTATCATATTGAGAAATTTCCATCGAGGGCTGTGAGTTCTTCACCAAGAAAACATGGCCTTTTATGACGGAGCTGTGCTGAAATGCGTTCACGCCGCGCTTCAGCTGTGGACTTTTCTGTGGACGTGGTTTTATCTGTGGGGATGGAAGCCTTTGCTTTCGAAAGTTAAGGGTCAAAAGGCGACGTTGTCGCGGTGCAAAGAGGACAGGAAAAGCCTGCAGAAGCTGCCCTGCCATCTTGGTCTCCTCGTAGCTGAGCAGAAGATTTCCTACGGAGATGTCTGTAGTTTGATGGTGTGGAGTATGGCGCTTGGAATTTCCTACATCAGTGTTTATGATTGGCACGGTAAGCACCGGGGGGGGGGGGGGGGGGGGCAGGGGGAAAGGGGGCGTGGCCTGGCAGGGGGAAAGGGGCGGGTCTTTTGTGGAGAGGGAAGGGGCAATATGTTGTTATGAAGATGAGTGACATTAAATATTTTTCGTGATTTCTAACCACATGTCTCAATTACACAATATATACCCAAAAAATAGGGAAAAAAACAATATGAGATTTAGGTCAGATCAAAATTTAAATATTTACAAAAACATTACCATGTTTTCTCTTTGGTTATCTTCATTTATTCCTTTTACAAATGTATATTTCACATAAAAGTGGAATAAAGTGATTTAGACTTTAGACATGTTCGAGCAGTTTCAGACACTTTATTTAAGTCTTTTAGTAGTTTATCTGCAACTCCAACTTAGTGATGTTATTCCTTTAGGCATTGCAACTTCTCCTCAGACATGTCACATGTCAGATCAGCTGATTTCCTCATTTTTGACTTGTCACCTAAGGGCCAATTCAGAACAGTCAATGTTTAAAACCTTCGACCTATTTTTTTTAAATTGTGTTGACCCACCCCAAATTTCGGTCAATTTTCTCCCAGCTCAGGAGTTTTAACCCTTACCCTACTTGACCCTCCAATGCATGCCAATTGTGCCTCAAGAAAATCTCCTATGTTTTTTGCATGGCCCTCCAATATCTGCCATGTCATTTCAAGGATAACTGGACAGGCACTCCAATACATGCCACAGAGAACAATGAGAGTCCTCTGATAACAAAGTGAGTGCCCCCAGCTGGTCAGTATCAGGCACCCTCCAGGGCCTCCAACTCCTGCCAATTGGAGCCTTCACTGTTAAGACTTGTTATCTGCCAAATAACTGCAGCTGGAGGGCATTGGCATAACCAACTGACATGCAGTAAACTACCCTCAGAGAGTAAGGGTTAAATGGTTTTTATAGGCTCCCAGCATGCAACTTTGTAGTTGAAATGGAAGACAATGGAAGAGGAAATTGCAGAGCACACAAAACTTTGTACATTGTTTTTCAATTTTGTAAAACACCTTATTAAAAAACAACAACTAATAATTAAATGGTGATTTCGGCTTAGTTATGATGGAACGAGGTGGACTATCAATAGCAACCAATGACAATGAATTGATGACTAAAGGAGCAGCACATTACAGATGATCTCGAAGAGGCGTAGAAGCCGCTGGGTATTTTTGTTTTTTGTTCCCGTCGTAACTGGACTTCGATTTTCAGTTATTTCCTTTAACCCACCCGCCCTCAATTTCGAAAAAAATCTACATTTTTAAATAGACTACTCTCAATGGCCCATAAAAATAAAAATTAAAAAACGCTATAAAGCCTTGCGAGGTTTGAACTTTCATCTTTTCTTGTTCTCAATTGCATGCATGATGAGGGGTAGATAATTTATTTTTTCCATTTGTTGTCCTGTACAACTTGTACTCTCAATGAACCATAAAAATTGAAAAACACTGTATAAAGCCTTGTAAAGTCTTGTAAGTCTTTTCTTGTTACTTCTCAGTTGCATGCATGATGATTGAGGGCCAGATAATTTATTTTTCCATTTGTTGTCCTGTACAACTTGTACTCACAGGAACCTTGAAGAAGAATGCAGTACTTGTGAAAAGCCACCTGGACAGATTACAAGAAGAGATATTTGGAAAGGACAAGTCCAAATACACATTTCAGCTTCACCAGAGTAGCAGTAAAAAGCACAGCAGTAATGGTCAGTATGCCAGCTAGATTGGGAAAGAGTTCCATACCTGGACATCCAAGAGTGTATTTGCCAGCAATCGGGGACCCCCTATTGTCCCTCTTTTGTTTGTACTCTTTTTAGGAAGACCTCCCATATGTTTTGCACACAAATCCAAATTGCGAACCTCTCAGGAATTGGGGACCATATTGTCCTCTGTTGTTTAACGTCCCCTATTGAATGCAGTTAACAAACTCATCACTTGACACCCTGTGCACAAACCCTTTGAGACTGGTCTGAAAAAATCCAAGTGTTTTCTCAGTAAATGCTTCAATATTTTCCCTGCTAAATCTGGCTGTTTTAGGACATGTTGAATTTTTCTGATGGTTGAAAGGTCACTGCAAGGAAAAAGGAGTGATGTCCAATTAGTGATGTATGGAATTCTTCCCCAGCATGCCCAGGGTGGTTTTCGTTCTGCTGAAAGTCACAAGTACAGTGACTCCTACTTTGATTTTGATGGCACGGTTTCTAGTCAGTAGACAGCTTGTTTTAAGCAATAACTTGATGATAGCTATTCAGAGTTGGTTCAGATTTTGAAATGCCTTTTCACAAAACCCTACTGTATGTCTACTGACAATTGTAGTCACTGTTCATACTCGTCACATCCCTGCGTATATGAAATAGTTGCTGAATGAATAACCAAAACCAAAAGCAGAACTACTTCAATGAAGCTGATTTTACAAAGGAATGAAATTGAAAACCTACAATTGTTTAGTTTATCCCCACTCTTTGTTGCTTTCAGTGTCACAGTAAACTGATTTCTGTGTGGTTCAAGCACAGAGCATCTACAGGCTTTGCCTTCTGTATGTTCTTGGTTCTTGGTTGGTTTTTCTCCTAAATACTCCACGTGGGAGTTTATACAGGAGGCCAGAAACACCGGGGCAAACCCCTTCTCTTAGCGATAAGTGTTTACTGGGTTCTTTTACGTGCATTATACAACACACGGGACCTACGGCTTTACGTCCCATCCGAAGGACGAAGCAATAATGGTTAAGTGCCTTGCTTAAGAGCACAAGTGTCCGCCGGCAGGCTCGAACCCACGTCACTGTTGCCTCTGAAACACCAGAACATGAGTCCGGTGCTCGTAACCGCTAGGCCATGACACTCCATTGTAAGTATTCAATTCCATACTTATCAATACTTCATTCTTAATGGGTTTTGTTTTGTTGTGTTTTTTTTTTTGCAGAAGGAGCACAGGTTCACATATTGCTGCTGTCGCCCTCAGATGGTAGACTTGACCTAGTCCGGACAGCAGGGGACTACTGTCATGCCGTAGCCAACCGAATACTCAAACCAGAGGACATTAGCACAGACTTGGTCAACTCAATGTTGCATTGTAAGCAGTTTTTAAAAAAAAATGGATATATCAAGCTGAGGGTTTAAAAACCAAATCCCTAGAAGTTAAAATTAAAAACAGAAACTTCAAGTGAGCTGTGTAATAATACTGCACTTCAGGTTTCCAACAACCAAAGTTGAATTTTTTTCTCTGATTCCTTAGAAGTTTAACTCTCTGAGGTTTTTTAAAACAGTCACAGACAGTCAAAAAAATCTATCCTCTCCCTTGCCGTGCCTTTTACGCAGGCTAGTCACCAACAGTCGGATCATATTTCAACTTCAAGCAAGCACGTTGACTAGTCAAAATCAGTCAACAGACAAAAGTAGGCAAGTGATAGGCACAGCTGGTTTATCAGTCACCTACAGTCAAAGCATAGCCTGTATTAAGTTACATAAACAGTCACAGCCAGTCAATCCTGCTTTCTGTAGGCTAGGAGCTCTTAACTGTTAAAAACAGTCACTTGATTGATTTTGACTGAAAGGACAACTTTGCACAAAATGTATGTTTGCATAGGAAGGTTAAAAACCATGTGTGGTGCTTATCGATTCCTATTGATAAATTATGTAATGGAATTGCCTGGTTATTGATAAGATATCAAATGGAATTTGATCAGTGTAATCAGCGCAAGGGGCTTTGTACCTACAATGTTTTTGCACTATAAACACTTGTTTCATGTTATATTTTTGTCTTCTTTGCAGCCACCAAAGGCTTCCCTGACCCTGATGTACTGGTGAGGTTTGGACAGATCGAGAGTCTTCTTGGCTACCTTCCGTGGCAAATACGTCTCACTGAGATCTTGTAAGTTTGTGTTATATGTACACCCCTGCAATAACCCTCTCCACCCTCACCCCTACCCCCTACATGTACCCCCACCCCATCCCTGACACCCCCCATCCATGACACTCCATCCACCCACCATTCGTTCCACCACACCCCTGGCAAATATTCTCATTAAGATCCTGTGATTTACTTCTACATCCCCACCCTCTCTGACAGCCCAGAATAACACCCCACCCTCAAGTAGCCCCTACCCCTCCCTCACCCCCTCCCACCCCCCTTTAATAGAACTCCGTCATATCCACACCTCACTTGTGAGGCATATTTCTTTTGTCTTTAACACTCCGTAAATCAGTCCTTCATTTGTACTTGCATGTAAGTCATCCAATGTACATAAAAACATCAGAAACATTAAATCCTGTTCTGCTCAGAGTTATAATGGAATCACAAGTTACAAGTCAGTCACAAGTCAGTCACAAGTCATGTCACAAACCACATCACAAGTAACAGAGGACATGTACAATAATAAAGGAATGCTTCTGTCAGAGTTTGACAAACTTGGATAGAATTTTGATCAACTTGTGATGACTTGCGATGACCTGTGAATCATTTGTGATGACTAGTGATGACTTGCGATGACCTGTGAATCATTTGTGATGACTAGTGATGACTTGTGATGACATGTACTCACCTGTGATCATTTGTGATGACTTGTGATGACTTTTGATCATTTGTGATGACTTGTGATGACTTGTGATGGCTTGTGATCATTTGTGAAGACTTCTGATGACTTGTGATAACTTGTGATTGTTTGTGATGACTTGTGATGACTTATGATAACTTGTGATCATTTGTGAGGACTTGTGTTGACTTGTGATCACCTGTGGTCACTTGTGATCACTTAAGTTGACTTTGGTTTTCCTTTTTAATTTTATGTCAGATCCATGCCAACTCACTGGGGTGTAGGTTACGAGTCATTCCTAGATGTCCTTCATCAGTTCGCAGGGACGCATCAAAGATTTGGGAAGTAATCATCGATATGCTTATTTTTATGTTAAATGTGCTTTTTATTTGAATGCAACAAGGCATATGCATACATTTGTACAAAGCTAATTTTTTTTTTAATATTGTGAGTCAGGATCATTTGTGGGTATACAACCGTTCATACAACTTTAACGACCTAGACATTGTTTTAAGGAACTGAATCCTACAAAATCCTCCACTGTTCCTCAAACACTTTTCATAGTACTTAAACGTTTTAGGTTGTCTAGTCTCATGTGAATGACTTTGGGGAAGTCAGGTTTCCTCGCCTTCCACCGCTGTGACCCGGGTTCGATTCCTGCCCGGGCCAATATGTGGATTGGGCTCTCAGTCCCTACCTGATTCCATGGGTTTTCCTCAGAATATTCACCTGGGGTTTTCCTCTCACACCTAAGACTGTAATTTCTAAATACTTTCTCCTCTTACTGGGCCCAGGGGAGACCTGTTGATTCCACTGAATGGGCTACCAAGTTGAAATAAGAATTACATGTATACTAAACCTGTGGGTAGTTCAAGGATTCAATGTCTATGACTTCATGACAGCTTTTAAGAGTAAGAGTGGATTAAACTGAAAATTATTTCTCAAATCTTATACATCCATCATCTATTAAACTCTTTCAGTGCCCGCGAAATTTGAAAAGTTTAACCCTAAAGTGCCAAACTTCGAGCGTTTTTTGTAATTGTTCAAAATTCTGTAAAAAAAAAAGTAAATACGTTTTACTCACTATAAAATTTGTTGTTGTTGCTCTCTGGTATATCCTTGGTGAATTGGAAAGTCAATAGTAGTCACGTACATACATGTAGTGCTACACCCTGAAACACTGTCCTGCACACAGGGGAATTCCGCACTTTTTGCAGAAAATACAAGTGTCCAATACAAGGGTGCTGCACCCTCTCGCAAGAACTTGAATAAAACAAATAAATACAGGGCGTGCCTGAATGAAAATGATATTATTAGAAAGAGCGAGAGGGCCCCCTTGTGATAACATGCTTACTCTACCTCGTACATGTACGAGGTTTGGCGATTTTAAGTACGAACATTACCTTGTACATGTACGACTTTGGCACTGAAAGAGTTAATGGTCAGGGAGATTACAGACTAGGAGTTTTGGATTTCTTATCTCAATCATTAATTAACCAGTTCGTACCGGGATTATTTTTACTTTGACCAGACCCAGGCGCAGTATTGTTTTGCACGAACCTCGATGCCAGACCGATTTTGAATACAAATTTTTAGCTTTCCATTATTGTGCACAGTATAAACTTAATATTCAGTCACATTTTCAATTAGATAATGTTGAACTCCTTTTTCATTGTTTTCTTTCCATTTTTCATTGTTTTCTTTCCATTTTTCTAGAACACGGACATCAAATTTAAGACCTTTGTAAAAAAAAAATCCTTTACATTTCCAACTACATTCCCAATCAAAATTCTTAATTTTTGTTTTTTGTTAAAAATGGAAAATGGCCAAATGTTCTTCAAAGACAGTATATTTATTTGAACTATGACCTCAAAGTTTATTCAACTCTTGTAAACTTCTTTTGCCAAAAGTGCAGATAACATTAACTTCTGAATAATTGTGTTGAATTAAACAATATAATTTTTTTTCGTGGTTTGAAGGATGAAGATTTGCTAATTAAGAATGTCTGATTTTAAATTTTATAGAGCTGAACGGTCATTATGAAACTTCACAGACAGTGTATGTACAAAACTCAGAATCTGGTTAGATAAGTAAAGTCTAACAATGGTCCCCATATCTGCAAACTGTCATTATATCTGGAGGGCGATGGTTTGACAGTAGAATTGAGCTTATCGTTGACATGAACTTGAAATTGTATGAAATACTGTGGACTTTGAAATTGGCAAGATGATATGACATAAACAATCAAACCTTTTACTGTGCGTTTGTGTGTAATTCATTCATTGTTGATTTTGTGTCGGCGCAGTCCAATGTGAAGGAATGGTTTTTAAGGGGCCTCAAATCATATTCTCTAACATTCTCTTGCCAGGTCTGCTATTCAAATGAAATATGAGGTGCACACACATTGAAAAATTAAGTTAAAAAAATGATTGTTTTTGTCTCGATTAATCTGTAAATATGTGAAATAATCACGATAGGATAGCTGTTCAACTTAAAGTGTTTCTGAGGTGTTTCCAGAAAAGTCAATTTATGACCCAAATTTGTTAAAAATGTAAGGCTAACCCCTTGCAATTTTTTCAATTTTGGCCAAAAAATGAAATTGCTTCAAACTTGCTAGGAAGATGTCTGAGGGCCCTTAGAACACATTCCCAAGCGTTCTCTTGCTCGATGTGCCATTCAAAGGAAATATGGTTTGCAAAATATTGTAAATTATTATTTTTTTTTATATTTCTCCATAAATCCTTTATACTTGGCCAAATCTCTTCAACAATCACTTTTCCTGTATAAAAGTATGATTATTATGGCTCCTAAAGTGTTTCTGAGCTGTTTCCTGAAAAGTCGATTTTTGACCCAAATTTGCAAAAAAAGTAAGGCTAACCCCTTGCATTTTTTTCAATTTTGGCCAAAAAATGAAATTGCATGAAACTTGCTAGGATGATGCCTGAGGGCCCTTTAAACACATTCCCAAACTTTCTCTTGCCAAATGTGCCATTCAAAGGAAATATGGCATGCAAACAATTATAAATTGAATTAAAATATTTTTAATATTTCTCCATAAACCCTTTATACTTGCCCAAATCTCTTCAATAATCACTTTTCCAGTATAAAACTATGCTTATTATGCCTCCTAAAGTGTTTTTGAGTTATTTCCTGAAAAGTCGATTTTTGACCCAAATTTGCAAAAAAAGTAAGGCTAACCCCTTACATTTTTTTCAATTTTGGCCAAAAAATGAAATTGCATGAAACTTGCTAGGATGATGCCTGAGGGCCCTTAGAACACATTCCCAAACTTTCTCTTGCCAAATGTGCCATTCAAAGGAAATATGGCATGCAAAAAAGTATAAATTGAATTAAAATATTTTTAATATTTCTCCATAAACCCTTTATACTTGCCCAAATCTCTTCAATAATCACTTTTCCAGTATAAAACTATGCTTATTATGCCTCCTAAAGTGTTTCTGAGTCGTTTCCTGAAAAGTCGATTTTTGACCCAAATTTGCAAAAAAAGTAAGGCTAACTAACCCCTTACATTTTTTTCAATTTTGGCCAAAAAATGAAATTGCATGAAACTTGCTAGGATGATGCGTGAGGGCCCTTAGAACACATTCCCAAACTTTCTCTTGCCAAATGTGCCATTCAAAGGAAATATGGCATGCAAACAATTATAAATTGAATTAAAATATTTTTAATATTTCTCCATAAACCCTTTATACTTGCCCAAATCTCTTCAATAATCACTTTTCCAGGATAAAACTATGCTTATTATGCCTCCTAAAGTGTTTTTGAGTGATTATCTGAAAAGTCGATTTTTGACCCAAATTTGCAAAAAAAGTAAGGCTAACCCCTTACATTTTTTTCAATTTTGGCCAAAAAATGAAATTGCATGAAACTTGCTAGGATGATGCCTGAGGGCCCTTTGAACACATTCCCAAACTTTCTCTTGCCAAATGTGCCATTCAAAGGAAATATGGCATGCAAACAATTATAATTTGAATTAAAATATTTTTAATATTCTCCATAAACCCTTTATACTTGCCCAAATCTCTTCAATAATCACTTTTCCAGTATAAAACTATGCTTATTATGCCTCCTAAAGTGTTTTTGAGTTATTTCCTGAAAAGTCGATTTTTGACCCAAATTTGCAAAGAAAGTAAGGCTAACCCCTTACATTTTTTTCAATTTTGGCCAAAAAATGAAATTGCATGAAACTTGCTAGGATGATGCCTGAGGGCCCTTAGAACACATTCCCAAGCGTTCTCTTGCTAAATGTGCCATTCAAAGGAAATATGGCATGCAAAAAATTATAAATTGAATTAAAACATTTTTAATATTTCTCCATAAACCCTTTAAACTTGCCCAAATCTCTTCAATAATCACTTTTCCAGTATAAAACTATGCTTATTATGCCTCCTTAAGTGTTTCTGAGTCGTTTCCTGAAAAGTCGAGTTTTGACCCAAATTTGCAAAAAAAGTAAGGCTAACCCCTTACATTTTTTTCAATTTTGGCCAAAAATGAAATTGCATGAAACTTGCTAGGATGATGCCTGAGGGCCCTTTGAACACATTCCCAAACTTTCTCTTGCCAAATGTGCCATTCAAAGGAAATATGGCATGCAAACAATTATAAATTGAATTAAAATATTTTTAATATTTCTCCATAAACCCTTTATACTTGCCCAAATCTCTTCAATAATCACTTTTCCAGTATAAAACTATGCTTATTATGCCTCTTAAAGTGTTTTTGAGTGATTATCTGAAAAGTCGATTTTTGACCCAAATTTGCAAAAAAAGTAAGGCTAACCCCTTACATTTTTTTTCAATTTTGGCCAAAAAATGAAATTGCATGAAACTTGCTAGGATGATGCCTGAGGGCCCTTTGAACACATTCCCAAACTTTCTCTTGCCAAATGTGCCATTCAAAGGAAATATGGCATGCAAACAATTATAAATTGAATTAAAATATTTTTAATATTTCTCCATAAACCCTTTATACTTGCCCAAATCTCTTCAATAATCACTTTTCCAGTATAAAACTATGCTTATTATGCCTCCTAAAGTGTTTCTGAGTCGTTTCCTGAAAAGTCGATTTTTGACCCAAATTTGCAAAAACAGTAAGGCTAACCCCTTACATTTTTTTCAATTTTGGCCAAAAAATGAAATTGCATGAAACTTGCTAGGATGATGCCTGAGGGCCCTTTGAACACATTCCCAAACTTTCTCTTGCCAAATGTGCCATTCAAAGGAAATATGGCATGCAAACAATTATAAATTGAATTAAAATATTTTTAATATTCTCCATAAACCCTTTATACTTGCCCAAATCTCTTCAATAATCACTTTTCCAGTATAAAACTATGCTTATTATGCCTCCTAAAGTGTTTTTGAGTTATTTCCTGAAAAGTCGATTTTTGACCCAAATTTGCAAAAAAAGTAAGGCTA